AGTATTATAGCTGTAAGCCGGCGACAAAAATTTTCTGTCTAGCAACATAACATATCAAAATGAGGTTAAACTTTGAATAACACTAAAATCATATTGATGGTTGAATAAAAGCACTAGGTTTATAGCCAATAAACATGGCTCCCTGTACATTAAATGTCTAAAACTTAGACGTATTGTAAAAAAAATGTTTTAGGTACAGACGAACTGTCTGTTAGGTAAGACAGATGTTTTGTCTTGATAAAACGAATCGTGTCTTCAGATTCACTTATCTAATGACATTTGGCAATTAATTACCCCTAATTTGATGATAAATTACCCACTTTATTAATATGTCAGCGTTAATTACGTCAATAGGGTAGATGCCTAATTTTTATTTTAATGTCCGTCTGGTAGATTGTTTCAAATCATTAGACACGTATTTTTCACGTCACAGAATCGAATACTTTCGACGACATATTGATTTGAAATGTCGCGTGACGTCACTTCTATGTACATTTTTTAAGTAGAAATGACGTTTTAGACTTATAAACTTCCCACTCATAAACTTTGATTCGTTTTATCTAAGTATTGTTTTCTTATACGACAAAATAAAAATACGTGTCTAATATTTTTTCATTACCTAACTTACTTGATTTGAAATGTCGCGTGACGTCACTTCTATGTACATTTTTTAAGTAGAAATGACGTTTTAGACTTATAAACTTCCCACTCATAAACTTTGATTCGTTTTATCTAAGTATTGTTTTCTTATACGACAAAATAAAAATACGTGTCTAATATTTTTTCATTACCTAACTTACGGACTAATCAGATTTTTAATTTTCATACCCTGTCATCGTCCCAATTCTTAATGTTTCGTAAAAAATGTGTTGTTGTGACTTTAATGAACGACGCTAAACCTCAATAAAGGTTCATTGCATTGCTTTACATTATATTTTTAAACTGTAATTTAATGTACAAGCTTTCATTACTGAGTCATCCATGTGAGTCAGTCCTCGTATTAATCACAAATATTTTAAAAGCAATAATTTTTGGCGTTAGTACTGAATTCTGACGAAGTGACGAGTAAATGTATCGTCACGATGTAATTCGGGTTCCGTAAACATTGACGTGACGGAATTACGTTATGGCAGAAATAGCGTAAGAACTATTTTCTGTTATGGACGTTATGGTTGCTTGTTTTACGGGCATGTGCTATGTTTACTTGGGAATTTCAGACGACGTGTATCTTAGGGATCTGTGTACACTAGATAATGTTTACGTGTATCCACTAGGAAATATCGTACCTACTACCTACATAAAATGATTGCATTGTTTTTATAATAACTATCGTGAGACATACTAAATTAAGTAAAAACGCGGGTTACTCACGTGAATATACTGATAAAAGCTCTACTAGTTTCGAACCACAGAGGGGTTCTTCCTCATGAGCAGCGTGCGTGGTCGCGGCGACGTCGCGTAGCTCATTGTGTTTGTTCTGTGGTTCGAAACTAGTAGAGCTTTTCTCAGTATATTCACGTGTGTTTACTTAATTTAGGATTGCATTGGTTTATAAAGTCTTTACTTTTCAATCTTATAGTCTTCGTCCAATGGTAGAATATCGTTTTTCGGAGAAATCAATTAATACAAAATAGAAAAATGTTGAGAAAACACTGATCACACAGTAGTAGTCGTTGTAACAGTAAATGTATATTTATGTGGTTTTCTAAAACATTGTTTTAAGCAATTATTTCGTGCTCAAGTAATTAATTTATTATTATGTCAATACGATGGAATTAATAATACCTAGGAATAACCTAATTAATTTACCATTACTAAGTCAGATCTAAGTCACGAAACCTAATTCTCATTAAATTATGAAATTAAATTGATAAACCTACATTTTGGGAGTATTGTTTGCGTTAATACTTTCTCAAATTAGTTATCCTAACTATCCTTACTAATATTATAAATCGGAAAGTGAGTTTGTTTGTTTGTTCCACTTTCGCGCCCTAACTACTAAACCGATTGCTTTGAATTTTTGCAGACGTGAAGTTAGAAGTCTGGATTAAATAATAGGGTACTTTTATCCCGGAAAAATTTGATATTTTCGAGGAAAAACAAAAGTATTGGTATAGATGGCGCTGTATGTATTGGTGACGCGAGCGAAGCGGCGGGTAAAAGCTAGTTAGTTATAAAACGATTATAAAAAGTAAAAAAAAACTTAATGTTAATCTATTTATCGCTGACTTGTTACAAAGATATTTATTTTAAAATTAGATCTTCGGTTCAGGCTGAATTGATAAACAAATCGACACATTAACACAATTTTCTTATTAGATAAGTTTTCTAGGTAATATTATTTTGAACTTATGATGCTACTAACTTAGTTTTATTATTGAACTCAAACCTTCGATATTGATGTAGATAAGGATTCAAATGAGCCCCGAAATCCATGGCTTCAAGATCAATGACAATTACTTATGGTAATCTACGTGTACTTCAAAGAATTGCTCGATTTACCCAATTTACTGAATGTTTGTTTCTGTTTTCGTTATGATTTGTTTAACAGTCTTTAGGTTTGACCTTTCGTTTTGAATGCCACACTAATAAATATATATTTAAAGTGAAATACATAAGTGCAGTTCGCCGAAGTTGCTGGACTAGTTTCAAGCTCCGCCAAGAGTCCATAATCAACGATCAAAACTCGTGTCTACGTGTCATCCACGGATGGACTGTCACTTACCAACTATCATGGCGGCCCTCGCCCGCAGAACCTAGAATATAATAGACTGTCCATTCTTCAACGTCCAATTTTAAATACTTGTTTGATCCCTGTTTATATGTCGCGGAGAACCTATCGGGTTATCGGGGCTCCGGCTCGAAGAACAGGAGTAGGAACGGGGTGGTTTTTAGTCAGTAAGAGTCTGACACTCCCTCCCGCCCCACCCAGGCGGGAGCAGTCATTCGATGATTTTCCCCCCTTTAAAAAGAAACCTATTTATAAGTCGCGGAGAACCTAACGGGTTATCTGGGGCTCCGGCTCGAAGTACAGGAGTAGGAACGGGGTGGCAGTCAAAGGCTTAATTTACCCTTTCACAAACCAATGAATCTAAAGAAAACAAATACTACAATTCCACCAGGCGAATTTCCGATGCCTTCTTTATAATATTAAAATATCACAAACATCGTTATATTATCTGTTAACCAAACTTGGTATTTACAAGTCTACGAACAGTTATTTGTCTCTTCATAATGGCCTGCTTTTAACGTGTTTCGTTTCGCGCCCACCCCAAATATCGGGTTGCAAAACAAAGTGATTTATTTCACTAACAGACACAGCCCAAACTACTTTCTTACTTAACAAAAAAACAAAGGATATGTCATTAGTTATTATTGTTATTTGGAAATGGATTGACACAAATATATGCAACTTTATGCATTGGATAAACAGTAACTTACTGCTGCCATACCGGTGCCATGTAAGGCGTTGGGGAACTCTCCACAGTCACGGCAGGTTAGGGACCTTTTAGAACGAACCTTCTTTTCCTGTACACCAAAAACATAACCAACTTTTTTGTGTTTATAATATTTTGTGTCCATGGTATTTTTAATTCAGTTCCATTTATTCATTATGTAAACTTAAAAAACGCTTGCTTTTTACCATCATTTTGTCTCTGCGTAATCCAAAGGTTTGGCAGGAAGAGAATGCCACTCATGTTCCTTAAAATAAATAAATATTTAGTGTTGAGTTGTTATCTTATTCAGTTAATTTATGTATTTTTAAGTAGTGACACGGACAATCAGGTTAACCTTGCCACTAAAACGTTGCTTCATCTGTTCTATTGACCGCAAATTAATAGAGTAACTCACGAACACACGTTCATTTTAATCTCGTATTTACCTATGTATGTGTCAATGCTGAAAAATAAATTACTCAATATGTAGTCTTTGACCTTTCATTTCATTACCCACTGTAATTATGATCTTAAAATAAACAAGATAATTAAAATAAACAACAATCATTATTAATAGTAAATTATAATTAAAACTAATAAAAAGGATTTTATACTGAGAGGTCCGCAAAACATTTAAGTTGCAGGCTGTCTCAGACCAAGATTTCTGAAAGCATAGCTTATAATTAAGTAAGTACCTAAAAATTCCTAAATTCAAATAAAACCTAACTTCTTTTCTAGTTATACGTAGTCTGTTTATTTAATACACAATTATAAACACCACAAAAATGAAGTGTGAATAGTTCTTTACATAAAATTTGTACCAACATGTGGTGTCGGTGGGGGCCGTGCCATACCGTGCCAGCCCCATCGTACACCACGATAAAGGTCTCAACTATGACACTGAGCATGTAGCGTCAAAACTACCAAAAGTTTACGGCGACGTCGAGACGTCTGGCCGGCTGCGTTGTATATCCACATTCTGACTGAGACACCGCCAAAACGAGTGCTGAAAGAGACTCCACGGGATCAACGCGGCTCTGGTAAGTTTAAAAAAAAACGGACTAAAACCTAATTGTTTATGCTCACGTACGCTTTGTTTATACCTCCGTTTGTTTCTTTTTTATTGTTGTGGCACATTACCATATGAATGACATCCTCTTTTATTGACATTTGCGTTTTATTGTTTACTTCACGTTCCAGTAATTTGTGAAAGTGCGGTTGTTTCTGGTGAAAATTGGCGCCAAAATTTTTTGTGACTGTTGTGTTTCCTGTATATAGGGTGGTTTATAGGATTATGATTACATGCCCTAAGTTGACTTTAAGACAGCTTCTGATAATGTTATTAAACGTGTTTAAAGGGTATTGCACATTTTTGAAGCTTTTATATATTGCGTTGTTTATGTTCGTAACATCAAAACAATTACCTAATGTTTATTTTAATCTAAAGTCGTCTATTAAAACTTTGATTAATAGAGAAAGAATGAAGATTAAACACTCTTCTTTTAGTTAATTCATTAAGAGACCAGTTCTAAAACCTTCCTCATGATTATCTATCTTTCACAGCTTCTCGCACCCGCACGTCCGCGCCAGGCTGGAGAAACACATGGGATCCAACTTGGTGCGGCTGACGGACAAAGCCTACATGACGGAGCTGGAGGATCGGATCCGCGCAGTCAATGAGGAGAACCTCAACAAGAGGATCACCTCGCGCGTTGTAAGTAGATACCCTTAAGACCTTGATAAGAATAAAAAATCACATTTTGCTCATTTAGTAAATAAAATTCATCACAGAAATAGACAAGTGTAACTTTAATTGCACAATGCACATTTTAGGAAAACTACGTAACAACTACTAAGTAAAAATACCAGTTCTTTTCGTGAATGATAACCTCTCTTTTTATTTTCATAAATGTTTCAATGGAAGTTGAATGAAATGAAAATGTTGTAGTCTATTTGTAACAAAACTTCGCTACTGAACAGTTCTCAAACTCTACTCAAGTTCAATCAAACGTAATTTACTTCTGTATTTATAGTGCTTACTCAAAACAAACAGCTTACTTAGACAAACATTCTTGTGTAGCAGTTTGATACAAATTTCTTTCATCATTGTCATTTATGAGCCACAAAACGATCACTGCTGAATCTAGACCTCCCCAAGTCCTTTAGCAAAGAAGTATACCTATAGAACCTTACTTTACCAAAGTTTAATTAACGCCAATCAATCAAAATATCATTCAACTGCCACTGGTTCCGTGTTCCCCGCTTAGTATACGTCAGTCAATGTGAAACTAATTATTCTGATCAGTCATCAATCGTAAATTGCTTTATGAACTTTACGATTTCATTTACTACCGGCGCCGCTCCATAATCTACCCTTTAAGTTCGAGTACTTTACTAATCAATGTTATTGATGTACCTACTTCGATTTATGTTCTTTCATGTTGAACTGATGTTCAAGAGGTAAAATATGATTTTTGGACTTGATTTAGGGTTCTCCTATAATTATATATAGGGTCATTTAACTTCTGTATTAAGCATTTGGTCACAAAAGACATAAAAACAATTTACCTAGTTTTAAAAATTTTATGTTGTGTCTATACAGATAAATAAAATGAAGTATCTGTTTGTTATATTAAAATAACCGCTTTTTACTACATACGACACACGTACCAAAATAACACTTTTTACAATTTTTGTCGGTCTGTCTGTTTGTACTGGCTAATCTCTGGAATGTCTGAACCGATTTTTGGTTTTGATTGGCAGCTGATCTCCTAGTAAATCAGAGTAACATTTATTTTAGGAAATAAAAGCTATGTCCTAAAATTCATATTCTACGCAGACGAAGTCGCGGGCAACAGCTAGTTGTGAAATAAAATTACTGACATCTTATAAATCTTCTTATATTTTATTTTACGGCTAGCAACTGTATAGCTAGGTAGATAGGTCTGAATAGGATCCATAACACACGAAGACTACAATAAAATCAAAGAGCCATCTATGTAAATGTTATCACTTTAGTAGTAGCACATAACAAAGAGTTTTATTTAATTTAACAGATGGATGAGATGGAAAGGCTCAAACGACTAATCCTAGTCGGGAAGACGCCGCTGAAGGAGTGTCCACCAGAGTTATTCCATCACCCAGTCTTTGTGTTCTGGCGTATGGTCAACCGAGAAGTAAATCGGGCGTCAAAAAAACGTGCCGATATTTATTATAGAAAGTTGAAAGCCGCACAGAAACTGGACTTGGTAATTATACTTATTGTTTCGTGAACTCCTTTCATTAAATTTCATATTTTTGAGACATAAAGACGTTCCTACTTATATCCAATTGTACCTATTGTGTCTAAACACAGATACAGAATAATTATCTAATAATGATAATTTATTTTACAGTCCATGGGCGAAGAACATGTTCCAGAGGACGTAGTGGATGGCAAAACGTTAACAGCAGAAGAGCTTTTATCAAAATGTCGTGAGGAAATGGAGAATCAGAAGCAATTAGACCTGGAGAGAGGTGTTCGCTTCACCGACGAACAGTTTGCGCAACTCAAATACGAGACAAATGATATAAAAACTCTGAAGAACCTAACGGTATGTAGCAACCATACATTATTTCTGTATTGTGTTATTCTCGTCAGACGTTATATTGTATTGTATTGTATACACACAAACTTTCGCATTAATTATTAGTAATGTCACGTAAGTAGGTAACGTTTAGTTGAGGTAGCGCGACTAGATTCAAGTCATGCCAAGGGCTCATAGTCATGAGAAGCAACGACCACAGTTACTCATAAAACTAGCTGAGATACCTCGTCCAATGTGAATATAAACATAAAGATAGACATTACATATGAATCAAAGAAAATCGCAAAGCTCTGTGTTACGAGTTGATTATAGACTTGAAGTCTCAGACGATGTTCGTGACTAATAGGATCCGTAGACAAGACGTAACCATCAAGTTTTATGACGACTAGCGTGTTCTAATGAGAGATGTTTTTGAACGTATTGAATAATTGGACCTTTTTACAAGGATATGTGCAACCTCCTGCATTATAACCTTGGTGTCTTCAAGGCCCGTGTGAATAGGTTGCTTATGGGACGACGTGCTCCATCGTAGACCGCATCATCACTAACCACTAGGCGAGATAGTGTTCATACGTCGGCCCATATAAATAAAAAAAAATAAAAAAAACCTCGTTTTAACTTTGAGCTCTTGATAAAACTTCAAATATAAAATTAGTTGGTACTTTCTAAGTATGACCGTAGCTATAAGGAAGCTTGTGAAAGTATACTTACATTGTAAATGTACCATTTAGCAACTAGAATAGTCTGGATGCGTGTCTATCACCGTGACACCGTGTCACCGGTGGCTATCAAGCAATCTAGTAGGTTTACATAATTTTGATTTGTTTATATAGTCTGCTAGTGATAGCTCGTGGTGAACCGCTTAAAACCGGACTATCTCTAGCTTAACATGACCTTAGGAGCCTGATAATCGACCTATGGACTTGGGTAGTGCTCGTGTAACAGTGATTAACTGGTACATTTGCACATAGAAGCTGGACTAGTCATGACTTAATTAGTGATTCAGCACATAGTCGCAGATGCCGAGTACCTTAGCACTGACGGTTATCTGTAAATGGTTAAGTGCATTAACTTCTAATATTCTAATCTACTAGATAATAGAGAAACCAGTTCAATGATATTTAATGCGCGTGCGTTCTTTGATCCCATTGGTTGAATTCAAATATGGACGTCTTGTGATAATTTGTGTGCGTTTATCACACTTGATAAGTCTGCTTATCCCATAAAAAATGTACATACCCATCTGCAGTCCGCTTTGTTTATATTAAACTTATTTCAAGCCAAAGACTAGATAAGTATGTTACTATACCAATTACCAATACAATAAAGATGAACGAGTTTGTTTGTTTGTATGTTTACTTGTTTGAACGCACTTATCAACGGAACCAGCAGTTCTATTTGAAAAATTCTGTTTGATTCCGATAGTACTATTATTGAGGAAGGTTAGGCTGTCGACACAATGAAAACAAGCTACTTATTTTATTTTAATACTAACTGTACGCATGACTTTGTCCACGTAGAAAAAGTAGCCTAAGTTACTCCTTAGTAAATCAGCTACCTGCCAATTTAAGTCCCGTTGAAATCGGTCCAGCTATTTCAGAGATTAGTCAGAACAAATAGACAGACAGACAGACTATTAAAAAAAAAGTTATTTTGGTAAATTATCGTACGTACATTCATATGCATGAAGTAAAAACCAGTTATTTCAATATTACAAACAGATATTCTAATTTTATTTATATGTAAAACAACAGTAAGAAAGATTACAGGCCAGTTGATGGTTAACAGTCACCGTAAGTCGGTACAATGTGCATAATATGCATGCATATATGTGAATGTGCAGAGGCATCATAAGTGTGTTACCAACCATAAAGAAAGACTACATCTTTTTTGAAGAACCTCTTTCTGTTCTTGTAGAAAACAGTTTCAAGTGTATAAAATGGAGAATATAAATACAAGAACTTTAGGTACTAAGAATGTGCGTGTTCACAACACATTTACTGTATATAATTCGCGTTATTTCTTATCTGATTTGGAAATAGACTAGCAAGTCTAGCCGACAGTTTCATCTTACACAACAATTCGAAGTAGAACAAAGGCCGATTTATTGAAAATACAATAATTTACAAATCACATAAAGACATTGAAGCGATGTAAGCATGCAATATTATTATCTTGTGTAGGTAAATAGTTCTGAAAATTAAACATCAAACTAAAACTTAGCAATAGAAGCAAAATCATTTTAGCAACTCAATGATTGCGCTTGACTTTGATCAAGTGATAATCAAATATTGGTTGTCGCGGTGAACCTAATGGGTAACCGGGGATCCGGCTCGACGTGCAGGAGAAGGAACGGGGTGGTTTTTAGTCAGTAAGAGTCTGACAGTCCCTCCCGCCTTACCCAGGCGGGAGCAGTCATTCGATGATATTCCCCGCTTAAAAAAATTGGTTTAATAATACTAATCACCAGTAATGAAAATTGTGAAGGTTTCAACCATTGAGTTGAAATGTGATGGTCCAATTTGTACCTTAAAGAACTTATATTTTAAAATTAACATTCTTTAAATATATATTGCCATCGTCATGGTTTACTGAGACTCTGTCTAAATATTTTACATTTCTTTTAAAACCAAATTATTCACAAAATTGCTCATATTTCATTTAAACCGTAAAAAAGTGGTAAAAACTTTGCTAAATTGCCCATTTACCCCTTTTCTTTCGCGAGCTTAATTTGTTAAAATGCCTCGCGAAGTTTTAATACAAAATCGCGTGATGTTGGTGCATTGAACTTCAAACTTCCCCTATTAACGTTTCCGAAGTAATATTAAATACACCTAAAATGATTTATTATAATCATTTAAAATAAAGTTGATGCACACTATAGCATTTAGTTTATCACTAGTTTACATTGCATTAAAAATAAATTACACCAAAAATAATTTAATAAAATTAGGTCAGCGATACAACATATAAAAACAAGAACTTTGGAAATCGGTTCACAAATGGCGGAGTACTGAGCGAACAAACAAAAAAAAAACAATCAGCCGAATATAGTACCTCCTCCTTTTTTTGAAGTCGGTAAAAAATCACATGATACGTCCCAACTGCTGACACGTCCACCAATACAATCACAGTAACGACTCGTCTGTTCGGGCCTTTAGTTTATCCAGTTCGAACTGGCCACAAACTGGATACAAATCACGTTAGTACATGGTAGATAAGTAATGACCTAACCTCGCTACTCACTCGTGCTATTCAAACGTTTAATATTATCGACATTTAACTAGAATCATAACAAATCAATGTACATAAATTGTTAGTTCAGGCTCTTAACTTTTACAGCTCGATCATACCATAATTTAATTTCAATGCGTATAGTCTTTGAAGTTTTTTCATCGATTATTTGATTTATTGTCTGATCAAATTTCGTGATGTAAAATGGCCTTTTCAGCATTTTATTAGGCTTCTAGGTCATTGAGAAAGTCAAGAGTAACTTTGAAAAGTCTGAACATACTTTCAGTTACATAAAGATAGGTTCTTAATATAATCTAACTTTCTACCATGTGATTGACCTCAAGTTCACCGAACTCACGAATACTGCCTATATGCCAGCTTCATACGACACATTTTTGCGTCCCAAAAACAACATATAAAGTATACCTATAGTTACGTATCTAATTTAACATATTTGTTTTACAAACTTGTAATTTGGCGTGATTAAAGTGATTAAATACCAAAGTTATCAATGTTTTTTTTATAAAAACACTCAAATGAGTAAATTATGCTTTCATCAATATCAAAACATTATTAACAGTTCCGTGCTGGATTACGGGCCTCTACAAAAGAGGGACTTGTCATAATCGCCAGTCTTAACAGACAGGTCTGTAAGGTGAAGGTTAAATACTGAACAGAATATATCTTATGTACTTATGAATTAGAAGCAAAGTGCATTGTTTATGTGCACCAGGATGTGATATTTACAAAACAATGCGTTGTCTACATGTATGTTACAGTGACAGCATGTTGTTTACATATTCGATAGATAGTGAATCTCACTGCGCCGGTCGCAAGTCGGTCCGGCGTCGAAAGCGCATTGCGTAACTCGTGATTAATGTTTTAATATGTATAAACTAGAATAAACTAAATATGAACACTTAACAAACTGAAATAAAAGTAACTATAATAAACCTCTAAAAAATTGTCATCTTAGCCAGCAAGAGATCAGCAGCTTTGCCACGTTGAATGGCAGCTTATACTTTGTCCAAGGCCTTCCGATCACCTGAAGTATGAAAATAAGAATAAAATCGGCATACAATTTGGAAAATTTGCATTTTTAATTAACAGCAAGTCGGAACAAAACTGTCTTTGTTTTGTCGGTCTTGGACCACACATTACGTAATAATAATATGTACATACAATCTAGTTAAATGATCCTTGAACATTCTCCAAAAATAGTAATTGAGGAGATATGTAGTCGTTTACGTCAACTGTAGATATCTATCACGTTGTGTAGTAAGGTCAAAATTCGGAAAACACAAGTCTTTTTTCTTGGTAATGTTATAATCAGTTATCGAAATATATATATCTACGTCATACGTAATGACTCAAACAAATAATTAACTTTTGCAATGTGGGAAACACAAGTGTAAATTATTATCGTTTACTCGTTATTTCCTCATTTCACATGTCTAATAACTCTATATTCAAAACTACCTACTTGCGCGCGGTTTCACCCGCTCTGCTCGGCTCCTATTGGTCGTAGCCTTCCTTGATAAATGAACTATCCAACACAAAAATAATTATTCAATTCGAATCAGTAGTTTCGAAGATTAGAGCGTTCAAACAAACAAACAAAAAAAACAAATTCTTCAGCTTTATAACATTCGTATAGATGTATGACAATTCTGTGTCTATTGAGCAAATCCAGGGATTAACTAATAGGTCACTGACGAGCCGACTTTAACTACGTCGAGGTACTTGATCTCACAAGAATTGGAGGCCCTTATGGAATGTTTATTTTCCTTTAACGTTCACCACACTAGGGTTTTCTCCTGAGTCGTGCGTGCATTCATAAACATACCAAGTTCACATACACATGACGCACAGACCCAAAACAAGAATTTGTGGATCACACAAAGATTTGCTCCGTGCAGGAATTTAATCTGCTACACGTTGCGCGGCAACCGGCTGCCCCGCAACATGTAGCGGGTGTGTTCGTCGTAAAAATTGACGGTCTTTCTGGGCCTCCTGAGGATGCCCTCGCCATGCCGGGGCTTTGAGCACGGTATTGGTCACTGAAATTGGCCATAGTTGTTACCTCTGTTCTGACTGCCTCGTTGGCCGAGTGGTTGCTAGCGCGACTGTTGGGCAAGGGGTCTCAGGATCAATTCCCAGGTCGGGCAAAGTATTACTGGGTTTAAAAAAATCTCAGTATTAGCACGGAGTCTGGTATTGTGCCCGGTATATGGCAATAGGCTCACCTCCTATTACATGGGACTCATAACATAAATAGTGAAAAGTGGGTGTTACATTGTAGAGTGGCATTAAGTGCCGTAATGTGCACCTCTGCTCCCCTTCGGGGATAAAAGGCGTGATGTTATGTTATGTTATGTTATTGTTTTACCTTTTCTTAGGCTAAGCTCGATTCGATTTAAAAAGTATGTAAACAAATCACAAAGTTAAGTCTATATCTAAAAAAAACCAAGTACCACTTTTCTGTGAACCTATCCTTTCGCTATCACTCAAAACTGTCACTGAACAGATGAAGGGAGTGTGACAGCACGCGACAAAATTGATGGTTTGTATACAAACATTCCATAGTGGGTTGGGTTCTTGGCCTAAGTAAAGTTAAAAAGAAAATTATATATTACTTTGTTAACTTTAAACTGCTTTTTTTTTTATATTATATTGAATATTTTTCTCATGTTTTATATTTCAAAATCAACTTTGTTTCAACATCATTTTCACATTCATTTTTTACTGTGACTGTATACGTATAGAAATCCTATATAGATTTTTTAAATTTAAGACTTTGACTGCCAATAAAAAACTGTTGAAGGTAAATCCTCCGCTAACGCCGGTCACTGGTGACCCCCATGGCGTTTAACGTGTTAATTACGTGTACTATGATACCACACAACATAACATAACATAACATAACATCACGCCTTTTATCCTCAAAGGGGTAGGCAGAGGTGCACATTATACCACTGTACAATGTAACACCCATTTTTCACTATTTATGTTATGAGTCCCATGTAATAGGGGGTGAGCCTATTGCCATATATCGGGCACAGTTCCAGACTCCGTGCTACTACTGAGAATTTTTTAAAAAACCCAGTAATACTTTGCCCGACCCGGGAATCGAACCCGAGACCCCTTGCTCGGCAGTCGCAATTGCGACCACTCGGCCAACGAGGCAGTCTAATAGTAGTACTATGTAGTAGTACTATGATACCATGTCATGTTATAGTGATATTTTTTTGCTTATTTAAGTATACATTAAGTTGTCTTCTTTGTTACAGACTGTCGAGGAGCTATACGCCTTGGCGGATAAAATCATCGGGACCAAACGTCTGTAATATGCTATATTTATTTTATAAGAGTAACTTTCGAGTATGTATAGCGTGATGTACCTGATTTCAAAATATACGTAATAGTATGTCGGTCTTTGTCCTAGTACTATCACATTATTATATCTCTTTACGAGAATTAAAAAACATTGTAAACTTCAACGTAGTCAAAGTAAGTAACGTGTGATTTTGTATTTAATAAATGTCCATCAAAAATACTATTTGTTTGTATCCTTTTAGAAGAAAATAATTGAAACAAATATTAATACTTTGCACGTTTATTTAACTTAGTCATACTTATTAGATTATTTGTAACAAACTTATATGGATAGTACCGTATTCACAACTGTAATCAATATACATTTAGTACAGTTTCAAATTATTACAATAAGAACTTGACTAGATTACATAACAAGGAATTTAGATACGAATTAATTAACGTTGTTTATAAAGTAATGAACTTACAATGGCGATATTGGTCTATAATTCTGAGCGAGTAAATTTTAATTAATTAAAATTAATTGGGGGTGATTAACAGAAACTTCCCCCGGTTTATATTACAACTATACTAAATTCAACGAGACAATAGTAAAAAGGAAGACAAAATGATTCGTAAAGTTTTTGAATAGTATGCATGTATGGAATGTAAAATTTTAAATTATAACTACGAATTGATAAAAAGCTTATGTCTCGTTGACTGCGACTTTAAAATGATAAAACGACTATAACCTAAAAACGCGTAGCGCTACGGCGTAGCGGCGCCGGCGTCGGTGGCCTGTCACAAGTGACTCTTAGGCTTGCGACGTAGCTGCGCGTAGATGAGGCCGGCTGGCTTGTCAATAGGTTGATAGATATTATGATTAGGGTCTCCTTTCGTCACATTTGCAGGGAATTTTGACATATCGATATTGAGGTAGTGCTTGTTCGGCATTGTCATTTTGATCCAATTGACCTGTGAACAAAGATAAAATAAAAATCAAATATTTTATCATTTTCTAAAACATTTCTCATAGCTAAAACGTCTCATATATCACAATTTTTAGTAAAACTCTTCGCTGCTTAATGATTTGTAATTCTACCGTGAGTTTGCACTTTCTGTTATTGTCAGCTTATAAACGTGGAGAATATGCCAGTCGTGCCACGAAGTGTCTACATTGTTGGAATTGAATCGATATCACTGAATAATTCATAATAATGATGTATAGTACATATGTAGGGAAATGTGCAATGTGTGGCCTGAGTTGATATTATAACTTAAAACTTTCTGTCTTGCCAATGATATTCTATTGATACCTGAATTATCTGAATACTATTCAAACTTTTTGCATACCACTTTCTGTAATGAATGCATTTTTCAGATAAAACAATATGTAGGTCGTCTAAATGTATTTATGTAAAAAAATGTATTTATGTAGGTCGTCTATAATCAAATAATTAATATTTGTCATCTAATAATTTCAGCATAAAAAAATAACAATTTCAACGCATTACCTACACGCAAAAAATACAAGGTCGTATCACAATAAATCTTAAACGAAAAAAAATAGATAATAATTATAGGCCCCCAGTTAGGTTTTAATTGCGGCTGATAACTTGCGACCTTTGCCTCACGTGACTGTCGCTCGAAAACAAGTATAGTCTGATTGTGACGTAGGCCTGGTATCGGCCATAGACTATATCGCAACGTTGCCACAGACTGTCTCTATATGTCACTAAAATAATGAGGATTCGCTTCCGTATATCAACAATTTTATTTACCATTCCGTCTATCAAGAACAAGGCCCTTAAATTAGGGTAAAGATACTATTATACCATGTCTGTACTCGAAGTTGTGAGTAAGAAATATTGGCACGCGCTTTGTTGTTGTTGAAATATCTTGACGCTTTCTTTATTCATTGAGAGTTATCTTTACTGATGTGTCTGTTTTTATCATTATTACATTTATATAACTAGTTTTAGTAATACACTGAACATTTCTGCGTTAAGTCACAACTACATTTTCATTACAAAAGCGCACTTTCGCGATATCGATAACAGTATACAATAATCGTTACATTTTATTACAATAACATTTTGCTGAAGACAGCTGTAATTTTGTGCCTTTGTTATATCCTGAGAAAAGGTTCCCGAGAGGAATTAGAGTACGGCCACCGGCGGCTATTGACCGACCGGCTAAACATAGACTTGCAATATTTATTTCCGTAACGCTAAGAAGACATTTCACATTTGTGTGAAGCGGTATGCCGGCGAAAGTGAAATTAGGTGAAAAAATATTTACTAAGATATTATTCTCAATGAGATACAGACGACAGATGGTAGGCGCGAAAACTGTTTCTTTGTTATCCACTGAATCTGTCGATTTTGATATTAAAAAGAAAATGAAGTGTAGAAAACTATTAATATTGTTGACATAAGAAATGAAAAGACCAGATATTAAAAATAATCGTTCGTAAATTAAAGCAACGTATCACTACAATGACCGGTTTAGCGACCTAATATTTCATAGACATAGACGTCACACAGTTAATACTAAATACAGCTATTAATCTACTTGTTTACATTAGAAGTTCGAAGATTTTATCATGGCACGAGGTTGATACTAAAATTACTTAATTAAAATAGGCTGAATTGATGCAAATAACGTAAGATTCACAAATAACTTCTCAGTAAAGATAAACATACTAGAAGTACCCAAAAGGCAAATGTTATCATAGTTATTGATAAATTATGCTGTATGTACGTACGTAAGCTTTGATATCAGTAACCCGTGTGCAAATATTCAGCAATTTTTACGTCAATTTGCACACTGTTCAATAAGAGAAAGCACAGCAGAAAATTGTATTGACTTGAACAACTCATTGTACTCATGATGTAATGTTTTACTGGTGATAATTTGTGGACTTGTGTCTATTTAGAACTTGTATTCTTTTTTCGTACACGAAATCTCTATACACGAAGGGAATTCAGTGACAAAATCTTGAAAAGTTAGTATGCAAAGGGAAATTAATTAAAAAATTGAACAAAGTCACAGAATTGACAAGATACCTAATATCCGAAAATGAGACAGAAGGATAGAAAGGTTTACTGAACTTACCTCTGGAACTTTTTCTAATACAGTCTTCTCAGCTTGGTAGAGGGTGTGTTGAACTGATGGCGAGTACACGCCAATGTCTGCGGGACCCGCGAATTTGTCCAAAATGGCGTCCTTGACTGTTAGCCAGGCGTTGTCGAAGTCAGCCGTACGCATATTGTCGTAGATCCATTCAGCTTCCACCACAGTACTGTTTGAAGATTACAAATTAGCAATAGAAATAAAAATAATATTGTCAATAAAGTATGAGATACTAATGTACAAAATAAAAAACAAATTCAATTGACAAAAAGTTCAACAAGTACCTGAATATTCTTTCAGCGGCATCTGTTAATGTGGTGTATTCGTCCTGAACGAAGTCTACGAATGCTGACTGTGTTGTTTTAAGTACACGGAGACCACTTAAACCGGATTTCACAGTCACTGCCTCTGTTTTGCGAAAGAAAATAAAACAGTAAGATATTTGTCACAACTTAAAGAATCACAAGAACAATGCGTACACAATGCTAGCACTACTAACCGTGACGAGCTTGGCTCACTTGACACCACCTGGTCGCAGTCGGTGAGAACACGAACGCATGGTTATGAGGCGCCTCCGCGTGAAGACGCTCCCAAGGGTACTCTACTACCTTACATCTAGCCTCCACCACTTGCTTGTACATGTACAAGAAGTGGCTCACTACCACCGCACCAAATTCTTCTGGAGTCTTCACTCCGTGCTTCTTCGCCAACAGATACACAGTGTTCTTCTGCGAATCTGTAGCCACCACGTCCTTGTTGTCTCCCACAACATATGCAGTTTCGGAGTGCAGTTTTAATTCCGTGAACACTTCGTATTCTCTGATGGAATGGTAATCAGCATCTCGTTGTACATGAAGTAGTTTGACAGCACTTTTGCCGTAGCCGTGGTCACTCAATTCAAAACGACCACCTGAATCAGCAGAGGCCGTCAAAGCTGGACCAGCCTTGAGGCTGCTGCTTGTGGGTGGTGCTTCCATTGAGCTGGTGTTCGATGGTTTCGCGTAAATTCTGAAAACGTATTAATTTTATCGTTAATAACTTATGATAGTCTATTTCGGGATGGAATACGAAAGATAAGAATTGTAGGTTGATTTATTGTGAGCAAATAAATAGATAGACATTGTTATAAACCAGTAAATTATTTAAATAAAATGACATATTAAGTAACTTGGCAATCACAGAGTCAATTACCTGTTGATGCTTGCCCACGGCATTTTATTCAAGCCAATTAATCGTAACAATCACTTAATTTTGAGAGAATGTAGGAAACCGCGTCGCCGCATAGCCCAACGTACTGACTGTTCCGGCAGAGATGCTGCCCTCACTTATAAGAGTAACCTGTGACCTGCGTTATCAGCGCCGAGCACGCGCCCGCGCCGCTCGCGATATTGTAACACTCATTAATTATCTAATGCGGTTCAGTGCCGGATTAGATGACATCAATAAACAAGAAATAATAAATAATGAGATGTTTTCAATTTTTTTTAAATATTATATAAGAAATGTGCATTGAAATCCGAATTTGGTTATGTTCACTACGTTTTTAAACGACGGCGATCTGATTTGTAATTTCTATAAATTTGCAGTTGCATTCAAACGTAATAATTGTATTGTATGCAGTTAGAATCCGTCACTGGTGCAATTTATCAACTGTTTATATCTATAGCGAGCTACACATGAAGTCAGGGTATGTATTCGCTCACTTTCCTCACTCTGAGGACTTTAGACCAGGAGTCATGACGTGGTATTTCCTTTTTTATTATCTACTGTAATCTTATCGCTATGGGTCTGATTTTTAAGATAAATAGACGGGAAAAATGGACGCACAAAGTTAACTATCACCTTTCTCCTTCTTCGCTTCTTTAGGAGATAATTCGCGAGTGATATTTGAAAAAATCACAGCTTGTTCAATCATTCCTTCCAGCTTATTATTATATCGCTATTACTACTATAATAAGGTACGAGCGTTACAATATACTAACTTTACCTCTATATATTTTGCCATTTTACTTGTCTAATTCCAAAGCTAGACACTTAGGTATGCCCAAATATTACAAGGCTACTCAATTATAAGTCGCGCCTAAGTATTTGTGTTACTATAAATTCTTTGTAAAATGACTGATACGTAAAATGTCATGCTCTGCAGTTACATTTGTGACCGGTTTCACCAACCAATCCAAAATCATCTCTAAACTACACTAGGTAAAATCGAAACTAGTTCGCACTTATAACCTAAATGTCGTTTTACCTATATTAGCTTGAGGTTATAACAAGACAACTCTTTGGCCTAGTGATCGCAAGTGGGACTACCGGGCGAGGGGACTCGGCAAAGTATTACGGGGTTTTTTTTAAAAGATCTCAGTAGTAGCATGGTGTCTGGATTTGTGCGCGGTATATGGCAATAGGTTCAGCCATGGTTCAGGTTTACATGGGACTCGTAACATAAATAGTCAAAGTGGGTGTTACATTGTACAGTGGCATTGAGTGCCGTAATGTGCACTTCTGCCTATATCTTCGGGGATAAAAGACGTGATGTTATGTTATGTTAAAACAAGAGTAGTTGGTAAAAACACGCATTAGCCCCACTCGGAATAGAACTTAAAATGTCATCAGTTAGATACACGTAGACGTACCAATCAATACGGTAGTTGACAACTAGTCATATTCAATACTTTCATCGAAACGTCAAAAACGATACTGTTCTATGAATTTTGTACGACATACCATCGTCATCATATTTTGGCGTCAAATAGCACAGTTGTATCTAAAAAAAAATGCTAGAATAAATCGAAAATTTAGTACATCGACAAATCAATCAATGAAAGTGTAACTATTTTTCAATACTTAATTGGACTGAAAAATCAAAATAATTTATTTTTGACCCAGGAAACTACCCAATTGAATCAACCTATGAAATCTACATTTATTATGAGTAGGTATATTAGAAACTAGAAAAATAAAGTTGATATTTCCTCACTTATTTCTAAGACCACGTGATGTCTAATATCATTAAACTTCTAAAATATAAATAAGTAAAGGTTATCTCTATTAGAATAGATTTTATTACATTCGGCCGTAGTAACGGGTGTATAATTCATATTATCTCTATGAGAATTATTATTATTTGACCGATAGACACGTGAAATTAACAGAATAATCTAGTATGAAACTAGATTAGACGAAAAAAATTACTAAGTACTTAGTGGTAATTATATTTGTACATCGACAATTTATTAATTGTTGATTGTTTATGGTTATTCAGCAATTTTAGAGAATGTTTCAATGAGCTTGATTTCAATGACAATTAAAAAACAGGTTCAATGGAAAACTAAATTAAAATAAATTAATCTGTTAAACTAAAAAAAAAAATGTTGTTTTCATCTAATAACATTTGATCTATTTAAAAAACGAATTGTGTCTATGGTCATGAATAAAATTATTTAAAAAAAGCGAATACCGACTTTTTACTTTAGTCTTATTTAAAAATGAAATGCTGTCGTTTTTTATATTTTCGTGCCAGTAATAGTATACTGACAAGGAAACAAATTACCATACTTGTAAGTTAGGAGCTAACGATGCTCATTATTTATACACGATCATGAAAAACATAACAAACCAACAAGTGACTGTTGCTTGAGGCTATTACATGATATTAGAGACGATACAAAAATATTAAAGAAGATACAAAAATATTACATTATATTTGTTTTCGGTTTCATTTTCCCATTAGCTTCTCCCAGCGGCTTTGTCCGCGTTCCCGTAGATGCCTACGTGTAATCCCAAATCATAATCTACCCATGTTCCAAATTTCAAACAAACTTACACCCAAACTCATTTTCGCTTAGTATTAGTAAGAAGTAAGATGGAATTATTAACTTATGCTTTGGTGTCATGGAGGTAGACAAAGCACAGTACGCAACCTACAAGGGACCTGCACCTACTTCTACTTCTTTAACTTCAATCGTATGCTTAGGTATTTCATGTATAAAGAAGTGCAATTATAAAGAGGTGATGGTAAATAACTAGTTTTATTTTCATAAAAGGTAAATATTTCTTTTGGCCAGCGTTTCGGGAGCGTTCTATTTACACCCTTTTTTTGGAGGGAGGGAAAGACATCCAATGACTGCTCCCGCCCGGTTGAGCCGAGAGGGAGTGTCAAAAACAACAAATTTTAAACCATTGTAAAGAAATAATTGTAAAAACCAATAATGGTTTCAAGACTCTTACTGACTCTGTTTACACCTTGTATTTGCTTTACAGTTTAATAAGTAACGTCCATTGCGATAAATGTTGCTAACTGCAGGCGCGGTGATACCTTTGTCCAATCACAGTGGCTTCATAAATATAACTGTCCTATACTTAGATACTACAAAGTTAGGTATAATTGGATAAAAAATATTAACTTTCGTTCAAGGAATTAATAACAGAATACGTGATAAATTCGATAATTCTCAATGATGTTGATGTTATCATTTGTCGTAAAAATTGTGCCAATGATAAAATTTGACAAACAATGACGCGAGTCCAATAAAAACTTGCGAATGTGACGCACAGACAGACTAGATATAAATAATATAGGGTCAATAGGACATCGCAGATGTAATTGTTCTCCCGATAAAGGTAAATATTATTCGAACATGTGTTTACTGATGCAACACTATCCACTAAAATATTGATAGTCTGTTGTTTTTCAGAGATTATTATTATTACGTAGGTACTTGCACAAGTTTCATACTCAAACTCCAAGATTGCAATATGCCTTTATCATATTTCGTTTGGTCTAAAAATAAAAGTTCGTAACATTAACGTTTAAACGTACATGAAGTATCGAATGTGAGTGGCACGCAATTTTTATAGAGCGCTCGTAATAATTTTATGTGCCTAGCTTTATGGCTACATTTTCATAGCTTTAAATAAGACATCTCTATATACAACGCAGGTATATAATAGTGCGAATAACTTTTCATTCTCAATAAATAGCTAAGAGTAATTTTTATGTCTGCGGATGTTATTCACAACGGCTTCCTACAACTTCAATAAAGTATGTAGCCAACTTCCGTGTAATCTCTATTTTAGTCACGCAATAAAAGTCTAGCTGAAACCTAGTGGAGTGCTTTGTCGGCAGACCTGTTAGACATCGCGTGCGCTAGTAAACTTCAGTTCGCCACTTTAGAAGCGTGTAAACATTCATCCGCAACATTAAACGCCAACAAATAATTTACTAAAGCACGTCCGCCTCGGAGTGACTAAATCTGTCCAGCATCAGTCATCATTTACTCTCTAATTTTATATCTTTGTTCAGTGAACGTTCACTGAAGGAAGTAGCGACTGCTTAATCGCGTTTAAAAACGATCCGCAGCGTGGAAGACGACATGCCAACTGTGAGCGGCCGGCTGGGCGGGCGTCGACTGCAGGGCGGGCGGGTTTGCGCAAGCGCGGCGGGCGGGCGGCGCCGGTGTGACGTGCCGCGCTCAGCTGACGCCGCGGCTCGGCGGTGACGCGTCGCCGCCACGCATCGATCCCGCACGTCTGTTGCGAATATCTACCGGTGCCGGGTAACGCCGCTGTCCACCCGCTAGTGAGCAACGTGTTATCCGTTCGAGAGTGCACGCTTCGTGCTGTGTTTACCTAAATCCCGATGATGGTGCGACGCAGCGGACGATACACTGTTAACTGGCGAGGATTTAAGGATTTCGCATTCGGAAATAAACCCCCTGACGAAGGTGAGTTTGAGCCGACAGTCGACTGAGATTGGTCGTCAGTCGACAAATCTTAAATCATAGCATAACCTCAAACAAGTGTTTCGGTGTGAGAAATAAAGCAAACAATTGAAATAGTTTCGAATTCTTGAGAGTTAAATCACGAATACCATCGTAAAAGCGTGTGCGGTGCTAAGAAAATTATAATAATTTTCTAGTCTGTGCGTAACCGCTAGCAATTTCTTACACCTGCCAAATATGTTTCTTAGATCTTCTACAATACGAATTCTTAACAGTTTAGTACCTAATAAACAGCTTGCACTCCACCAAATGCAGGTTTTTGGACACAGTCTGTTGTTAGAGGTACTTAGTATCCGTAGACATCGGCGCCCTTTGGTGGGTATCATAACTCAAAGACATAACTCTTAGTTACAATATAGCTTACAAAGATATAATAAAAATAAAATTGCCAATACACGAGTACGCACTACTTATTTATGAAGCGGCAATATATTACATTCTTGTACATTTAGCTACGAGTTTCAGGAAACTGGTTTAAAGAGTATTTTATAAAAATAACATTCTCATACCTGTTTATTATTTTAAAAAGCAATAGGATTATAGGAACCATAGAATAGAATTAAATCTGAAACACAAAATACACATTTTAAAATACCTCACAGAGAAAAGCAATAATAATTATATAACAGACTTATTTTGACAAATATGACAAATATATAATTATATAAAAATATAATAGATTTCTAATTTTCCCATGATTGTCCGTTTTATGTTTAGATGAGACCTATTCATTAACACAATGTTATTGTCTAGAGACAAATGGCAATCGATTGTTTTACGTTTCTATGCCTACGAATACAACCAAGCTGTTTTAAAACCGTAACCTATATTTTGAAAAATAAAGTCTCGTTCATAGGCAAAATAAATTTTAAGCAGGGTGATACCATGGCCTCACAGTAAATCGACGTGAAACAACGCTTGCATTGTGCTTCGTCGAGTGAGGGAGGTTACCGGGGTCCCTATATCCCCAATCCCCAAATCCCCAACAATCCTCAACTTCCTAAAGCCGGTAACGCACTTACGTAACGCCTTTAGTGTTCCAGGTGTCCATGGGCGACGTCGATTGCTTACCATCAGGTGATCCGTATACTCGTATACTCGTTTACCGGTTTATCCCATAAAAAAACTTCCCAAATCTCGTTAACTACAATAGCGTACTTCGAAAACTCGTAAACTTTTAATCAAATCCTTATCTTTTGCCGCAGAAAAATAGGCTAGGCTCTTTCTCTATGCGGTAGATGGCTAGACTACACTTGTTCCTGGCACGTTTAGTTTAGATTAAATTAATATTAAACAGATAGGCAGAAACACTAACAGATTTCCTGCTGTGTCTGTCATTCTGTACATGTTACAGATATAAATTAACAGTGAAATGAAAGAAGTTGAAGATATTTATTAGAATTTTATAATGTTGAAATTTTGGGTTTTCTAATGTTCTTAGTCTTTAGTTGTAGTCGCGGAGAACCTAACGGGTAACCGGGGCTCCGGCTCGACGTGCAGGAGAAGGAACGGGGTGGTTTTTAGTCAGTAAGAGTCTGACACTCCCTTCCGCCTCACCCGGGCGGGAGCAGTCATTCGATGATTTTCCCCCATTAAAAAAAAAAAAGAAAAAAGTCTTTAGTTGTTAGATTATCAAAATAATGTAACATACCTATAACATGATAAATTGTGTTATTGTGTAAGAATTGTTAAATATGAAAAAAATGAGTTTATAATGTAATTAGGAATGATGTCTAGAAAAACCTAGCGTATTTTCCTCGGTAGGTACACTAAGGACACAAGGACTAGATGAATTTGTGTCGGAATGGCAATAAATGCCGTAAAACTCTCGATGGTTAAACCGTATGTCCACATGTGCTAGACAACACATACTTAATTAGAGACAATAGACAACACGTTAGGCATAATTACATTATTGTCTGATCTATGCCATATGTCCTGATTTTCCGTTGTTACGTCATGGTGCTACTCACTACAGACTTATCTGTCAACTTTCTTATATGATAGGGTGAACACCCGCAACACCAGAGTGGTTACGAGTGCGTTAGCGGCTAGGAAGGCGGTTGGGGGTTAGAAATATGCGAATTTCGGGATTGGGGACGGATTCGCCGTCCGGTAACCACATTCAAGCAGTAAAATTAAGCGTTGCCGCGTTGTTTCGCGCAGATTTTCTGTGAGACCAAGGTATCACTCTAGTCGAGCAGACCCACTCTTGGCGACGCATATCTCTCCCATACGTTGGTACTCTAACAACATAACATCACGCCGGTTGTTCTTGAAAGTGTAGACAGAGATGCACATTACGGCACTTAATACCACTGTACCTACAATGTAACAACCACTTTTCACTATTTATGTTGATACTCTGTCTCTTTTTTAAATGCTCATTTTAATTAATATTAGCCGTGTTAGTAGATAGGTACTTATGTATGTATAAACGACGTACGTGCTTCACAATAACCTACATTGCGTGCTATCCGCCCTGTAATAAATGTCGCAATTAGCTATGTAAATCTAACCTGCAACCTACTCAGATTTCTAGCACGTATTTTAAAGGCCTTTTATTAGGTACCTATAATAAAATTATTAAATTAAATTAGTGATACCGGGTAAAATAGTATTGGTAGTATTTATGTAAGTATAATTAGGTAAATGTTTTCTTTCTGTCTTAGCTCATAATACCTAACAACTTTATCTAGTGGCCAGTTCAAACCACAATAATATAAAAAACTTCTTTATCATATCTATGGTTCGAACTCTTTTGATGGGCATTCCATTCGTTTTTTTTTTATATGAAGTTTACTTAATTTACCTATGATGTGGATGACCACATATGTGATGTGGATACTAATCATAGTAAAGGCTTACGATTTATTGACTTTTTTATCTTATTTATTTTTATGTTATAATAATAAATAAGATGATTAGGTATAATAATAAAACATGTAAGTAGTTTACCCACATTTGATGGCGCATTTTGGTCTGTCGTTTAACTCTCTTAATGGCTGCCCTAATGTTCACACGGAGGCAAGAACATAATGTAAGTGTGAATATTCTCCAATGCGCGAGGTTTAACGACTTAACTAGGCGGGAAGGAAAATGTTTAAACTTACACCCAACTATTTCACTTAAGCACGTAAGTATCTACTTATGTCTACATAACACAACCATAGTTTACTTTATACTTAAGTACGTTAATAACTAAATGGGTACGTACTTTTGTTTATCACGTAACGCCGTCAAAAAAACAAAACATTTCAAATATAACCGCCTGTCATTGACAGAACTACCTACCTACACTCCCGGAAACAGGAAAGAATGATTTCCAGTCTCTTCAATATTTCAACGTAGGGGAGATGGGGGAATTGGGAGTCACTTAAGGAAAAGTCATTATTATAATCACAAATAATCAGTCTTATATTGTTTCCATTATTACTAATCCTTAAAAATTAATCAGGTATCGAAACATATAAGTCTTTTTTGGCTGTCATTAACATGAACAAAATTATAATTAAAAAACAAAAAAGTTGTTTTGACTCTAGTTACCCACATGTAAGGGAAATGAAAGTCAGCTCATGGGGGAATAAGAGTCAAAATTATAAAAGAAATAAAAAGCAACAAAATTATTATCTCTTTAAAAAACAAACAATAATCAACAAAATTAAAAATTAGAAATGATTGCACAATGGAATCAGAACAAAATTAATATTTAAAATCGAGTTAAATGCAAAAATCACAGCGATAGCGACTTGGATCATCACATCCTGTACATGCCTCATGGGCCCATCCTGCACAGAGGCGGCATCGGTACCAGATTTCTCTCGGCTTTCCCTCTTCAAGGCATATGGCGCATACAGACTGTTCACGTTCGTTCTGGAAGTTTTGCTGGATGTTTAGTGGGATTTCAATATTTTCCAAGTCACTATCTCCACTCTCAACATATGGAACCTGTTCATCAGCCGATTCTTCAGAGGAACTTGACTTAAATAAGTTCTTTTTTACTTCTTTTATCTTCTTAGTAACTTTGCCTCTTGTGTGCTTTTCTCTTTCCTTCCTTTTCTTAGCTTTTTCTTCAAACACGGTTTTCAGAGGTGTGGCAGTAAGAATTTCTGATCGTTGTGTTCTTTTTCCTTTGCCTTTACCTTTGCCAATATAAGGCAAAGGTGTTAATTGTGAAAGTATTCCAGTTAAAGGTTCAATGTCAGATATATTGTTTTCTTGATTTATACCATCTTTTGATGTATAATTTGTAATCATAGCACTTGTGGAGGGTTGCGGTTCTAAAGTATTGTGACTGTTAGTAAATGCTATTGCTTCTGTAATCTTGTTAGTTGAAAGGTTATCTGAAACTTCAATAACTCTCACATCCGATATGGTGGCAGAAATTTCTTGAACACAGGGAACATCAGAAACCTCTAAGAAGTCTTCGTCTTTGAACTTGTGAGGATTGAGTGGGAATATTCCTGTTGAGGCGAAGCCACTGACTCCTTTCTCTACAGAAGCAACTCTCATATAGGCTTTGTTAAAAATTCCAGCAACTTCATATGGCGTGATTTTTTGTAAATTATGTGATTTAATATACAAATCACATTCTCTGTTGTAAGCTCTCTTAAGAGGACCGTAAAAAACCACGTCAAGAGGCTGTAGCATATGTGATGTATGAGGAGGAATGGACACCACAGTAATGAAATTTTCTCTGCAGAAATTGTATGATTCCAAGGTAGAGTGACTGTAATGGTTATCTAATATTAATAAAACTGGTTTTTCTTTACTCGGTTTCGCGGTTTTCACAAAATGCTGTAACCATTTCATGAATAATTCTTCATTTGTCCAACCATTATTAGAATTTTCGTATGCCGCACCTAATGGTCCGTCCTTCTCTAGTTGTGGTGAATGTCTTTTTCGTGGGTAAATGAACATGGGAGGTATGAAACTTCCACCCGCACTCATACAACAAATAACTGTTATAGTTTTGCCTCTCTCCCAAGAAGTCAAGGAACCCACTCTTTTTTGCCCTTTTGTAGCCAGGATTTTTTCAGTTTCCTGGACGGTGGTAATTCCTGTCTCATCAACGTTATAAATGTCTTGAGGAGAGAACGAAATTTTAGTCATGACTTCTTCCAAGTTCTTAAAAAAATTATTGACTTCAGTTTTATTGAAACCTGTAATTCTCTGTAAACTTATTGCTTCAGGTTTTCGGATACTTATCTGTGGATTTCTTTTAAGAAATCCTTGTATCCAATCCCTTCCAGCCATTCTAGTCTCTTTGTTAAAATTATGAGACAGTTTTAATTTTTCAGCACATTGAAATACTGTCTTTCTTACCTGATTTGTCGTCAAACCATGAAACATGTTACTCAATTGTAAGATACGCTCTGTGAGAATATTTTCTTGCTCTTTATTAAAAACTGTATGCCTACCTAATTTTGGAGGTTTGAATTGTTCTGTCTTAATTCTCCTTTGTAATGTGCTGAAAGGTATACCAGTTTCTTGGGCAACTTTTCGTATTGACACGCCTTCTTTTATGCGTACAGCAGCTGCCTGCAGGTCATCTGCAGTCCAACTCGCTTTGGTGGTCTTCCTAGTCCAGTTCCTTGGCATCTGAAATGAAACAAAAAGTTTTATCATAATAAAAAACGATGCGGGGAATGGGGGTCAATTGACTTTCATTACCCCAAAGACGGTTCGTTTGTTAAATTTGAATTAATATACAAAAAACATTACAAAATCGAGTATTTTACATTAATAAACATAAGTTTAGTTACAGTAATACATTTTAAGATTATTTTATCAGCAAAATAAACAAATATAGATACTCACGTTTTCGGTCGAAATTTCGGAAATTTTACAACGACTCCTCCCCTGCAACACGTGCGTTGCTCACGGCGTCGCGAGCGTCACTAGCGGGTCGGCGTGTTGGGGAGTGCGGGAGGGGTGCCCAGCTAAGCCCTATGCTACATAGCCGTATTCCGTAAAGCTTAAGGTTCATTTCTTTTTGAACTGACCCTCATTGCCCACTGACTCTCATTCCCCCCGGCTCCCCTAAATATTTCCTCAAAGAAAACGTTGAAAACATAATCTTTCTTCAAGGTACTTTGAACCTCGTAACACGTAGGTAATAATAGCATTAGAAAATCAGAAGACGGACAAGTAAATAAACAACAAGCCTCGTAATACCAACATCTTTTTTCTTTTTATTGATATCTTCAATTGATTACATTTCGTCGGATGAGCAATCTGGTCCAAACAAACACCTTTTTCCATACTTTTTCATACAAACATGTGTCTCAATCAATAACACAGAGTACATAATATTGATGGAATGTGTGGTTGCGTGTTTGATGACCTTTGTGTCAATAAAGCTCGTATAAAAAAAATCAATGTGTCACAAATACATGGTTGATGGTATCTGTTTCCCCAGCGACATAGCCAGGGCCGTGTCGGCTTTACGGGCGTGGGTCGGTGCGTAGCAGGGATTATCATTTTAAATGCCAATGGGAAATGTTATTTCGTAAATAGTTCACAGAAAGAGTTAATTTAGTCGCTACCCTTAGTGATTAATTAAACGCTCGGACTACCTACACCTCGACGCGGCGTTTTGCAAAAGCTTCCAGTCGTGGGTAGATTAAATTAAGCTTTTCATTATGTACCTAAGTTGTGATTTGGATACAATTTGGGATTTTATTATAAAAAATTAAGTTATAACAAAGTTTATGGTTTCGTTACTATATTTCAATGAATTTCAATTAATGATTTGAGTAATGGTTAACGGATGATCTCAAAGCTATTTCTTTTTTTAGAAAAGGAGGAAGAGAAACCTGAGGAGGACTTAGCAAATCATGAAGTTATATTTTTAAAAAGTATTGTTGAGAGTCCAGACTTTGGAAGAAAGTATGAGGTAAAAATTATAATTGTTTTTTATCCCCCGTAACAAAATAGACAACACGCTTTTCCGTTCCCCTTCCTAATATTTTTATTATTATTCCCACAGAAATTAAGCTAATATTTTTAATCAAATTATGAAAATGCGTTTTTTTTTTTAAATCTAAGTAATACGATATTTACAAAACGTGCAGTACACGTTCCGTTAAGAAAACATGTAATCTTATTGCTATCCTTTTCTAATGCTTTACAGTGTCGCTTTGTAACAAAGAACGGTTTCGTTCTCTTTGAAGTGACAGACACAGTGCCGTAGCTATACACACACACAGAATCAATAAACTGTGGCATACTTTGAATGTTATATCAACGAAGTAAGGTTAAAAATTGTGTACAGTTGTCACTAGCAACTGTCAAAAGTTGCAGTTGGAAAACAAGATTGTGTGAAATCGTGCTTGTGTTCGTTTGGGTGTGTTCTTTTATTGCAACAAAAACATATTTAGTACATAAATGTAGCTGTTTTCTGCAACTCTCTCCAGTAACAGCCAGTAAATAGTTGATTTATTTCTTATTGGAAATACGACGTAGTATCCGAGTAGTATTATTGCAGTTTTCATTCAACAATTTAACGACAAGTGCCACGCCTATAAATGCTTGTAGCTCGTATTTTGGAGTGCCAACAGCCGTTCCTGGGTTCTATTTTAATTACTGGTGAGTGTTGTTATTACAGTCTATCGATTCGGAAGAGGATTTGATCGTAAAACCTGTCTCGTTGGGCAACGTAAACATAATACGGTCGCTGAGCGAGTACCGTGGCAACAATATACGAACTATTGAACAAGCCGAACTAGCTATTATTGTGTCCAGGGCACACTTTAAGGTACGTACGCCCCTTCCAATATTAGCCAGCCTTCAACGACGTGTTTACAAAGTAACACAAATATTTACTGCACGATTTAGTAATAGATGCCAGTTTAATGAGTGCTCCAGCAGATTTACTGCACTTGTTATTGATTTTCTAATGAATATTAAGACATTTCGATTGTATTGTTAAAGTAAACGTTTCCATGGATGCTAATGGTAGCTAAACAGTTCTTGGTAGTGTTTTGTTTTGGAAATAAGGTTTAACTCACTCAATTGAAGTAATTTGAATGAAACATTAATGTACTGTATTTTATTTCAGGCTTTAATAGATGCTCATGACCAAATAGGTGCAATTTGGCTAGACCGAGGTTCTGGTATTGATGAGAAACCTGCCCTGCCGGAGACAGAAGGCAATAAGGATACAGCAGAAGGCTCTACGGAGGAGAACGGTGACATGCCTGTGGAAACTGTCAAAGTTGTAGGCCTTAGGAAAGTGCCTGGACAACCTTTAGGTTTAACTGTAAGTAGATTAAAACCTTTTTGTATTTTTTTTCTATTTATTGGAACTTGAATAAGTATTAGAGTGCAATAACCAAGGAGCAATGTACTTAGTTTTAAACTCTTTGTCGCAAAGTTTTTTGCCATAAATAAATATGTGATTAAGTTTTGTTAGAAAGTATGAAATCCTACATAAATCCTAAGGAAATAAACATATTTTTTTTAAAAAGTGTCTATGTAAAAAGATATTTAATCTGTGTTAATTTCTATTATGTCCTTTATTACCCCAGGTAACGACTGATGAGCATGGCCAGCTCATAGTAGCTAGGATATTAGCGGGCAGTGCCGCAGCAAAACAAGCTTTAGTGTCAGTAGGAGATGTATTGTTAGAAGTAGATGGAGTTAACATTAACTCTGAAGACCAGCTCAAGGAAGCCGTAGCGAAGCCCAATGATAGGATCACACTTAAAGTTGGGCCCAACCTCAAAGAAAAGACTGCTCAGTTATCTAATAAGCTAAGTGTAAGTATTTTTACTTCATTGAATAACTTTCATTTACTAAATTGGTACTACAATTTGTAGTGGTATATTTTTGTGACATACTAGCTACTGCTGCGTGGTCTCACCCACGCTACTCGGCTCCTATTGATCATAGCATGGTGTTTTATAGGCTATAGCCTTCCTTGATAAATGGGGCTATCCAATACAAAGAGAATTTTTCATATTGGGCCAGTAGTTCCTGAGATTAGTATATTCAAACAAACAAACTCTTCAGCTTTACATAATAGTACTAGCTGACCAGGCAAACTTCCGAAAATCATTTTTATATAGATAAGATTTTTGAGTGTCTAAAAATTGAGCAGTTTTAGAATATTTTAACATAAGTTATATATTCATAAACATTGCTAACTCTGTTATAAGTTTTACTTCAAATTGTGTAATGTTTTAATCCACTGTTGCTAAATATTTGAAAATTCTGAATTAACATGTGTATAGATTGTAAACATGTAATTCATTTTCACTTTCCCACACTGAAATACATAAACATTGTAACTGAAATACACTTAAGACTTCAATATCATATTAATTTTGGTAAGTGTGGGAGAGCCTTGCTTCGGCACAAGTGGGTCGACTCGACCGTAGTGATACCACGGCCTCACAGAAGACCGACGTGAATCAACGCTTGCGTTATGTTTCGTCGTGTGAGTGAGGTTACCGGAGGCCCAATTACCCTCCTCCCCAATCTCCCTAATCTCCGAATCCCCAATAATCCTCAAATTCCTAATCCCCAAAAAGCCGATGACGCACTCGTAACACCTCTAGTGTTCCATGTGTCCATGGACAACGCCGATTGCTTACCATCAAGAGATCTGACAGCTCGTTTACTGGCTTATTTCATAAAAAAAAATGTACTAGTATTATAAATGTGTAAGTTTATGACGATGCATGGGTGTGTGTGTGTTTGTTTGTTTGTTCGTTCGTTCGTTTGTTACTCTTTCACGCAAAAACTACTGTTTGGATTGGGATGAAATTTGAAACAGGGGTATATTATGATTTGGAATAACATATGGGCTACTCTTGATCCCACGGAATATCCCAGAAGCTAGTTACTTTAAAAATATCTACTCCGATTACCCCATGGTTTGCCAGAGCATAGATCTAAGCAAGACGCAATGTATTACCTAGTATCTCGTAGAGTGGCAGTAAAGAGGTTAAATATTTTTTTTATTTTCCAGTGCTATATGAGAGCCCTGTTTGATTATGAACCCAAGGAAGACACATTACTGCCATGTAAAGAAATTGGACTTGAGTTCAAGAGAGGCGATATTTTACAAGTAAGTTTGTAGTTTTAATATGATCAACAATTTTTTTCTTCTAGGTTTTAATTTATTATAGAATGTGAATGTTCAATGCCTTTGTTTAACCTTTTTAGTCTCAAGGTTTTATAGTAACATTTTTATTTGACTTTGCACCTATCTATCCATTCACAACATCACGCCTTTTAATCGTCGACAGGATAATCACATATTTAATACAATAGTTTTATTATTTGATTTGAGTAATCAATTCCTCATATAATAATCACGCACCAGACCGTCCAGACACAACACCACTCAAGCTATTGATGACAATTTTTCAAAAACGAATTACTACTCTTGAATCCAATTCCGATCGATCGACATTGGTATTGTGAAATTTCGTACTCTTGAGTTGCAACACTAGCTCCCATTGCATCCGCATTGAGTAGATATTTAATGAACTAAATAGTATTAAATTTGGCTTTATATTCCGTACTCTGAATGATATTTCAACAGCTCCGATAGGGTGTACCTATAGTTTTGACATTGAATAATTATTGAAATTGTATTGACATTGAAATTGGTTTCAAGAGTAAGCAACCAGGTCAAACCTCATATTCTTTGCTTGACAGTCACGACTGCGGTCAATTGACCTGATCTGCAGACATTTTAAAAACAAAAATTACTTTGCAGGTATCAGACCGGAAGGACCCTAACTGGTGGCAGGCAAGCCACGTTGAGAACCCTGACACAGTGGGACTGATACCCTCGCCAGAGCTGGAGGAGAGACGCAAGGCGTACGTGGCGCCTGAAGCAGACTTCGTGCATAAGATCAGCATTTGTGGCGCAAGGGTAAAGTATAGAATTATATTTTTTATGGGATAATCCGGTAAACGAGCAGACGGATCACCTGATGCTAAGCAACCGGCGTCGCCCATGGACACCTGGAACTCTAGAGGCGTTACAAGTGCGTTACAGGCCTTTTGGGTTTAGGAATTTAAAGATTGTTGGGATTCAAGGATTGGGGATGGGATTGGCCTCCGTGTTTAAACATGTTTAATGTCATGTGTGATGTTTAATGTTCGAAGGGATAGGTAGAAATGCACTTATACAATGTAACACTACTTTTTATCATTGTTCACTAACTAGTTTAATTATAGTCTCCCATGTAATAGAAGTGAGCTTGGGCCATGCACCGATATAAAGACGACGTGCTATTATCAATTTTCAACTATTATATTAAGTGCCGTCAAGTGCAACCCTTCGGGGATAAAAGGCGTCATGTTATGAAAAAATTCTTTTATAAACTACGTTTAAAAAAACTGACTTCAACCCCCTCTTTTTTGAAGCCGGTTTAATTATATGTTAAAACCTTTTCCTAAGTGTAATAAACACTTTTCTTTTAACCACATCACAATCGGTTCAGCTAATCACTAGATAATTGCGCACAAACATACATACATACTTATATACATACGTACAGGTCAAACTGAGAATCCCTCCTTCAATCATCTCCTTCTTATTTTAAAGTCGGTTAAAGAGCTTTACGTAGTCCAAGACTCTTATGTCGGAATACTGAAACGCTACTCAATTTTAAGTCGCGCTTAAGTATAGTTTTGTCACCACTAATTCTTTGTAAAATGACAGAGATGGCACGATATTTGAGCACGACTTAAAATTGAGTAACGTTTCAGTATTCCGGCATTAGCGCATTTTATTAACTGTCAATCGCAATATTTCTCTGTTCTGTGGTCATTTGCATTGGTCTACAATTCGACAGTAAACGTAAAATAATTTATTATTTTTTGTATACTCATAGCAAGGTCATATTTTTAATAGATTGGTTTAGGAAATGCTGTAGGCCAAGAAATATCTTTAAAAGTATTCTACTAATTAGGACATTTTGAAGGTTTTTGCTATAGAGCATCAGTTAGCCTTTGTTGTTAATAAAATTCATGAATTATTTTTCCTTTATTTTACTTAAAAAAAAAAACGTTGTCCCACACTAGGATTTACTACTGTGTGTGATCGTAGGTGCTTTTACAAACATACAATATCACATACACATGACACCCAGACCTGAAACAAAAATATGTGGATGTGGATCATACAGAGAGTTGTTCCGTGCGGGAATCACACCAGCTACACGTTGCGCGGTTACCGATTGCCCAGTCATCGCGCCAATCGTGCAGTCAGAATTATTATTACCTAATCATTGTTTCATAATAATAAACAGTCAATTGAGTCAATGTACCCGGAATTAAGATCAGCACATTTGTATGACTAAACAACTAACTTGATTGTTTACACATTAGTATATACCTTTGTCAGTTTATGAATCAAACGAGGAATTCTCACGAACACTTTGTATCAGCGAAATTTCTTTCAAACGTGTGAAGTTCGCAAAACATAATGCACTTTTACTTTAATTAAATGTTAATACAATGAGTCAGTGTTCGGTTCTAATTTCATAGATGTCTAGACTACAAAGTTCAAACTACAAATATTATGATTATTAAGAATTGAATGAGTAATTGAATGAATCGGATATCAGACCATATCTACAATATCTCCTCAATAGTTACTATGTTAACTAGTCTTTTCACTTTACATACATACATACATAACATCACGCCTTTTATCCCCGAAGGGATAGGCAGAGGTGCACATTATGCCACTGTACCTAATTCTTTTTTTTTCACTTTCTCGCCTAAAATAAATGGCAAGCTCCTATTAAGTTAGTTCAAGTATTACTTCTATATCTACTCACTATATCCCGAGCGTACGGCGCTTCGCGTTCCGCGCGCGCCTCAAAGAGCCATCAGACCTTCACGGATGGGGCCCAACAGGGCTGATGCTGATACGGAGTCGCGGAGAACCTAACGGGTTACCGGGGCTCCGGCTGGAAGTGCAGGAGTAGGAACGGGGTGGTTTTTAGTCAGTAAGAGTCTGCGGGAGGGATCCCGCCTCAACCAGACGGGAGCAGTCATTCGATGATTTTACCCCCTTAACAAAGATGCTATATGTACATATAAAGCTGTAGAGTGTGTTTATCTCTTTGTTTGAACGCATTAATCTAAGGAACAACTGGTCCGATTTGAAAAATTATTTTTGTGTTGTATAGTTCATTTATCGAGGAAGGCTGTAGGCTATAAATCATCACGCTACGATCAATAGGCGCCGAGCAGAGCGGATGAACTCATACATGTGTTATTTGGCATGGGGTCGTAAAATAACCACCAAATTTCAATCCCATATTAAATCTATTTATGTTGGTTTGACTTAAACGAAGTTGCAAAATTATACAGACCTAGTATTGCTACTAAAATCAAGATAAAAACACCTTGTATACTTGTTCTGACTTAAAACAATCCTACCACCTACACTTTTCCTTTTTAATCAAAACAACTTAACTGTTGATATCAAATCGGTCATCCGTAAAAAGAAATCGATTAATAATTCGGTATCTAATACTTAAGTATAGACTAGAGTCGCGGAGAACCTAACGGGTACCGGGACTCCGGCCGGCTCGACGTGCAGGAGAAGGAACGGGGTGGTTTCTAGTCAGTAAGAGTCTGACACTCCCTCCCGCCTCACCCAGGCGGGAGCAGTCAATCGATGATTTTCCCCCCTTAAAAAAAAGTATAAACCAGAAATACCTATTTCATTTACGCGATAGATAAAACAACTTTGACTTTTTGATTTCAATTTAATGTCATGTTCAGCGTTTAAAGTGTAGTATACGTATACTATACCTTACTGTTTACCAAACCTATGTACCCAGATTCGTGGGTATATCTACTTGTATAGTTCCTAGTTCATTGACCTCTAAGCTAGAACTTTGACATTTCAAGTTCGTTGCGCTTGATTTGAAATCTGAATGTCACGCTCTGTATTACGGCCTCTCAATCTCTGTATGATAGGATTCACCATTTTTTACAAAACAGGGTAAATACCACTGTGAATACAAATTACTTACCCGTCCTTTAAACTATAAAAACTTTTATTATGTTTGTCATCATATTATTATTATTTATGTATGTATGTGTTTCGAAACTAGTACAGCTTGTCTCAATATGTTCATGTGAGTAACCTGCGATTTTTAGTTAATTTAGTATGTCCCACGATACTTATTATAAAAACATATTATAGCCTTGTTAGACTAGTCTTCGTAAGCGCTAACTTACCTGTATAAATATTTTGATATTAAATAATAAAGAATAATTGGAACTTTTTTTGCGTCTTGACTATACAATACAAAACCTCTACCATGCAGGCATGACATGATATAAATGGTCACGCATCCAATGATTGACCGCGTTAATTAAGTGTACTTTTACGCATTAACCTATCAACCTTAATTATATCACACAAAAATTGACGCCATTAATGGCATCTCTAGTTACTAAATCAAACAACTCAAAGGTACGTAATTAAGATCGGTTACCGTTAGTAATCTCCAACTCGTCTGCCAAACTTGGAGATTCACTCACATCACATAACCATGCTTTAAGTGGCCACTGCTGACCAAAGGCCTCTTCTCACACGGAGAAGGTTTGAGCATTAATCACCACACTTGCTCAATGCGGGTTGGCAGGTCAGGGTTCCTTCACCTTTTGTCAGTGGTGTCTAAATAATCTTAGAAAGTACATATAACTCGGAAAAAGTCACATTGGTACTTGCTGTTGGTAGGTTTTGTCAAAGTCAAAGTCAAAGTCAAAGCATTTATTTCAATTAAACCATAGTTTGGTGCTTTTGAAACGTCAACAAATACAAAATAAATAATAGTCTGTCAGACAGTCCGTCAGTGAAACTAGGTGAAGCTAGGTGCTCATTCCAAAAAGTAGATTCGAATGGAGAAGAACGAGCAAGAAACTCCATTCGTTACTCTTTTAAAAAAAGTATGTTCTACAATGTCTCTGATACATATTTCAATACTGTACGCATATGTAAGAACAATGCAAAGACACGCTTGACGCATTATACTAATAACTTACAAAAAAAAAAAAAAAAAAAAAATAAATAAAAATTAACTTAAAGTCCAACATGGTGCTCACATATGCATACTGACAATCATTAGTGCTTCTATACAAGAAAAGGAAACTATTTGTTTCAATAAAGAAATGCTCGATGCCATAAGGAAACTAGATTGTCTACATTAGAATTAAAGTGTTAAATTATGTATTAAAATACCTACTATTGGAATTTAGCTACTGACTACATTTGAGTATTGTCCAGTGGAGCCGAACCAACATGCTGCCAAGCATTCTTATCTTCAAGATAATCTGTCAGCGTGTAGTAGGCTTGATTACATAATTCGCGCTTAATATATGTTTTAAATTTATTTTCACTGAGATCTAGTATGCTATTTGGTATTTTATTATAGCATTTAATACCTAACCCCATAAAGGATTTCTGTACTTTGGACAGTCTGAATTGCGGTATAGCTAACTTATTTTTGCCTCTAGTATTAAAATTGTGTCTATCGCTTCTTTTTTCAAACAATTGCCTATTTTTCCTTACATACATTATATTTTCATATATATATTGACAGGGCACCGTTAAAATATTTATCGTTTTAAACAATTCTCTCAGCGATTCGCAACGGCGTAAGTTATATATTGCTCGGATAGCCCGCTTTTGTAGAATAAATATTGATTCTATTTCTGCAGCTCGACCCCACAACAAAATGCCGTACGACATAATGCTGTGGAAATAACTAAAATAGACAAGCCTAGCTGTATCTACGTCCGTGAGCTGTCTAATCTGTCTAACTGCAAAAGCAGCTGAGCTCAATCTCCCCGAAAGCGCCTTTATATGCGGACCCCATTGTAGCCTATTGTCTAACGTAATGCCTAAAAATACTGTCTCGTCGACAAATTCTAACTTTTGACCGTTCAAAACAATATCACTATCGTTACTATGCACGTTTGGTAAACTGAATTTAATACATTTTGTTTTTTTCTCATTAAGTGCTAGATTATTAATGGTGAACCAATTATGCACTTGAAGAATGGAGCTGTTTACGTCGTCAAGATTATTTGTACGTCGATCTATTTTAAAAATTAATGATGTATCATCTGCAAAAAGCACCATTCGTGGTTCATTTTTAAATATAAATGGCAAATCATTTATATAGACTAAAAAGAGAAAGGGACCCAATATTGAACCTTGAGGAACGCCCATATTCATCCCAGAGCCCTGCGAGTTAATACCGTTAACATGAATCTTTAACTGTCTCTTTTCTAAATAAGATCTCATAAGACGGAGTCGAGAGTTTGAACCCGCAACCTCATGCATGAGAAGCGGAGTCTTAGACCTTCGGGCCAACATGACGACGAGATGAACTCAGAATAAGGCAAACCCTCATTTGTTTGTCCATAGTCCTACAGAGGACGCTAAAAGGTTCTACATTTCTAGATGCTATAATCTATTATATATTACAGATATCAAAGAAGAAAAAGAAGTTCGTATACGAGTCTCGTTCGAGCGTGCAACTAGAGGGCGCTGAACTCGCTCTGTACGAGGAAGTTGCGCGTACGCCGCCGTTCCTGCGTAGAGTGTTGGCGCTAGTGGGCACTAGGGGCGTTGGCCGCAGAACTATCAAGAACCGCATGATCCAGGAACATTCGGATAGATTTGGTGCTGTTGTGCCACGTAAGTGCTTGCAAAAATATGCCCTTGATCACCCACCATCCACTGCATGACTTGTAAATTAAAAAATAACCGAAAAATCCTCATATTTTTTTTCCAATAAACCATATACATAACTTTACGCCTTTTATCCCCGAGAGGGTAGGCAGAGGTGCACATTACGGCACTTAATGCCACTGTACAATGTAACACTCATTTTTAACTATTTTATGTTATGAGTTGGGACTCACATGGACTCATCTGGCATACACATACCGGGCAAATTTCCAGACTCCGTGCTACTACTGAGATTTTTTGAAAATACCCAGTAATACTTTGCCCGACCCGGGAATCGAACCTGAGATCCCTTGCCCGGCGGTCACACTTGCGACCACTCGGCCAATGAGGCAGTCCATTTCCTCCCTCATCCAGTTCTTCCAATAAAGATTTTGAACCAATTTATCCAATAGAGAATTTACTAGTGTCAAACCACTAGACAGTCATTTTTTGACAGCTATTTCGTTGGACAATTAGCTAGTGTATCGTGGTACATTAAAAATCTGATAAGCACAAAAATGTTAGCTCAATCAATGACTGTACGGTTGATGCGGTGGCTGGGCAACCGGATTCGATTCCCTCACGAAGCAACTCTTTGCGTAATCTATAAATTGTTGTTTTGGGTCTGGGTGTCATGTGTATGTGAACTTGTATGTTTGTCAACGCACCCACGACACAGGAGACAATCTTAGTGCGCCAACGATTTTTAAAAAAATCCAAGAAAGACAAGAAAAATATGGAATATTTGTTAAGTCAACTACTACTTATGAATGTATATTTTAATGATGCTCTACTATATTCCAGACACATCCCGCCCTCCCCGGCCAATGGAAGAGAACGGTCAATCGTATTGGTTCGTGTCTCGCGAGGAGATGGAACGCGACGCACACGCCGGCCGGTTCCTTGAGTATGGGGAACATAACGGACACTTGTATGGTACTCATTTAGACTCCATTAGAGCTGTTATGAAGGAAGGTGAGTTTTTTATCCGTTCTCATATTTTTATCTCTAAAAAAAATATTTCTATTACAAAACTCTTTGTGATAGTACAAGTACTGAATGTATGTACGTTAGACCGGAATTTGCTCAACGTTTTCGATTTACTCGCGCTTACGATATCTATCTAGTGAGACGTAAGCATTAGTCCAATTGGGTACTTGCCTTGCCTTGTACTTGTACGTCTATTTTCTATAAACTTTGTACGAGATTGTGTGTTGTGACGTCACGTTTTTTAGCGTCAAACAGCATACTCATTTCTTAAAAATTTTATGAAAAAATACTAAAATTAAGTTGGTGATAAAATCAATTAATGAAAGTGTGATTATTTTTTAACACTTTGTTGTATTTGATAGTCGAAATAATGTATATCTGATTAAGGCAAGTACCCAATTAGCTTAACCGTCACAAGTTGAATGGGCAATGACTTGACATAAGCTAATGTCAATATTATTGGACGATAGACCTCAATCCTCAACCTACTAATGCAATGAATATTTTTCCAGGCAAAATGTGCATATTGGACTGCGCACCACAATCTCTGAAACTGCTTCACAATAGCGGAGAGTTTCTCCCTTTCGTCGTCATGATAGCGGCTCCAGGAATAGAACAGCTAAGGAACTTGACTTATGCGTCCAATCGTAATCTGACGGTGAGCAACACAAATACATTTTATTATTGTTATGTATTTTAATTTTAAATCTCGTTCATGTCCTTGTAGAATGTCTTGGTTATGGTATAATGGCCCATTTTATTTGAAACTAGATTTCGAATGCCAGTTTATTTTTAGTTCAGAGAATTTGGCTTGAGATTAGACAGTTTATGTTTTTAAAAAGCTCTTTAATTTGTATTTTTTAATAGAGCATGTATATCCCATTTTGCTATAATGAATGTGTTTAGCATTGACGTTTGTTGCGCATGCGTAGTTCGACAGGCAGAGCTCCATTCGCTACAGTTCACGGCGCGCGCGTACCCTTGAGTCTCTTGCGTCGCTTTATGAGGTAAGTTTTTACTTATAATAATAGTAATTTACATGCATTGTGCTATGCTGTGTGCTATTTTGTTGAGTAAACTATAGAAAAAAAAGAAGGACGTAAGTTAAAAACTACATGATGAGAACCAATCTGGAATAGAACAGACCTACGATGATGGGTACTTCTGCACTACGTCTATCAAGTTTCACAACATAAAAACAACATTCTCTTCATCTCAGTTTCTCATTTTTTTTTTTATATGAATTTACAGGAAGAAGACATGAAACAAACCCTAGAAGAGAGCGCCCGCATACAACGACAGAACGAAAAGTACATAGATCTCGTTATAACTAACAATAATATCGATACGACTTACTCTAAAATCAATGACGCCTTGCATTCTCTGTCCACCGACCACCAGTGGGTACCAGTCAGTTGGATTTACTAACATTCTTAAACTATGGAAGAGCGCAAACTATTGCGCTAATGAGAGCTACCGTTATTTGCCCACCAGGAGGCGCTAATCTAGTTTGTTTGTCCAATCACTGTAGCTGTCAAAAATTGAACGTCCAATAGCGTGACACTAGCTAATTCTCTATTGGCGGACAAGACGTAAGGATTACACTAGCGTTGCCCGGTGAACAAAACGGTAGGCCCCGTTGCGCAACCCTTGCGCATAATGCGCAACTTGCGCTACTTCTCATAGTATAGACAACAGGAATCAGACTATAATACTGTTATAAAAGATGTTAATGAATGTTAGGTTATCTTTATGACAAAGGATGGTCTGTTACCATCGTTTATACGTCTTCCCGCACTGATTTAGTATTTTTAACATATCTCAGCTTTCAGCTATTTGGGCAAGATTTAAAACATGTTATAACGCCTAAAATGAAGTTAGCCACAATAAAATGCAATTGAAAGTGTTGCCGTAGTTGGAATGCAAATGTCATGCAAAGTTTAGATATAGCAATCTTCAAATCACAGTTATCATCACTCGAAAATTTTGCATGCATTAAAAAAAATGCCTGAAATTGCAAAAACTTTAATCTCTTTAACGTATAAGCAAACGAACATCACATGGTTGTATTAAAAAAGCTTATATTAATTAATTTAAATTAACTATTTGATCTTAATATGAATTTAGTATAAATATAAGTGCGGGTGTATTTAAAAACGAATATGTTGAAACAATGTGCCACATTTGTCCCTATTTATTTAAACAAGGCATTCCAGTTATTTTAAATATGTCCGTTTGTTACCACAGCAAATAATTGTACAATCTATTAGTCAGAAACACATTTGAAAGGATGCGCAACCCAGCAGAAAACAAAGCTTTATGATTGGTCATTTTTAAAGAAGACGTACAGTGATTGTCTAAGCCTTAACACATGTCATAGAATAACCAATCATGCTCATTTCGGGTTGCGCAGCGTTGTACTGTAACCGAATTGTGTAAACGAAAATTGATTTTATTTCTTCAGAACTAGAGTTACTTTTGTAATGAAAAAACCCTGCTCATCAATGAATGACGAATTAAAAGTATCGTACATTTTTGTATATTAAATAAATAAATGGTTCAATTATATTCCCACCTCAGATATTGAGCATTGTTCTAAGGTATTAGTATAAGTATTATAGTTTAGCGCAGTTGTGTGGCCTAAATCATTAAGTATTGAGTATATTTTGTACGAATTGATGGACGTATGTAGTAGACACTTTTTGCTTATAGTTAATGCAAGATAAAATGCATTTTTCTTATCACACTGCCCGCAAAAAGCGCGCTGTAAAAATATTATTGTTTTTATTGGAGTACATCACATGAAAATCAAATGCATCACGTTTTAAACGCAAATGTATTGTATTATTTTTTTATTTTTACATTATTCTGCTATATTTTACAGGCAGTATTTAAACTATTTAGTGAAAATTATTGTCTTGTAATGTAACTTATGCTATTGTTAAGGAAACAAGTAAATAAATCGACATTATGTAACAACTGATAGTGTTAGTTTTAAGTTGATATTTTCATTACGTTTATAGTTTGTATGTATATTTTTGTGAAGAAAGAAGACACCTAGTTAAAAAACGCAAAATATTTGTGCAATTTTCATTGCAAATGTTCACATACTTAGCACCAACTTAAGCCTAAAACTATGGTGCGGCAATATGGCAGCTTCAAATAATATTTGCTTACATTATTGTATTACTTATTTAAGCTACATCTTTATTATGACTAGCTTTGTATTTCTTTAAGAATCTCACATTCCGTCCATTTTGTTTTGTTGTTTAGCTGTAAATTTTATTGTGTCAAGAATTATTCAATATACATTATGTAACAATATGCTTTATTTTATTTCAATGCTTTGCATTTACTTTGAATAAAACTCTGTGCATGGATATTGGAATTATTTTATTAGTCGATTAATTTAGTATTCTGAACCATTACTATCACTGGTTTGTCTGTCGTGTGGTGTTCTTGTGGTGACGAACAGATGTCTTAAAAATATTAGGGTCGATGTGATTCAATCCTGCTTCACTTGTAGCCGTTATAAGGTTGGGCTCTATATCCGATTTATCCAAAAGATGCGGTGCTAACAGTAAAAACAGTTGCTGTAACAACAAAATAATAATTTGTTAATTTATTTTGTATTTGTTTAAAAACGTCTTCACACTATAATGTACATGTGTAGTGAGTGATCTGGAACTAAAATTTGTGGATCACATCACACTGAACTGTAAACTGAATTCTCATTCTCACCTCTGCCCAAGGAATCAACGGTAGATTAGCAAAGGCCGCTTGCCAACCTGGTAGGCCCAAATGCACTAACGCCATCCTAAAGTAATTCGTGAAAGAATCAGCTAGCCAACCCCAAGCGCCTTCTCGAGTCGCCAGCCACACTGACCACATCCCGCCTGTGTGAATCAGGCATATCTGCAAAACAATAAGAATTAAAGAATCGTAACTAGTTCAGGCAACGCTTTCTGATATAACTTTTAAGACTGTCCAATCCGCTATTGCGATTATGGCAAACTCCTTTCGAGAAGGCGCATAATCCAGTCAGGCTATTGATGATAAGGTGCTCGTAGAGTCGCACGCGTGTTCTATTTGCGCGCGGAAGCAGGTCGCCGGGGCGTTCCGTGCGAGGCTCAAAGAGCCATGATGAGAGACCACCACAGATGGGACTCAGTAGGGCTGATGCCGATACCGCAGAAGACTTAACGGATTGAAGAGCAGAATTAAGAACGGGGTGATTTTAGTCAGTAAGAGTCGTTTACACTCCCTCCCGCCTCACCCAATGTGGGAGTAGCCAATGAATGATTTTCCACTACAAAAAAATAGGCTGTTGGTGATAATCGAGAGGGACGTTTAATTTATCTACCTACCACAGGATACGACACCAAAGTATGTCACTATTCTTCAGTTATACAAGGACTTGAAATGTGGGACAAGCTTCTTACCTTGCCATACTCTGCTCCTAAATTGTGCTAAGAATCGATAATCGAAAAAGGCAGTATGAGTATAACTAGGTATCACTACTTACATAACAAATTGAATAATACCTTTCCAATAGTCCTGCAAGAATCCAACTCGAATACTTTGCTCTTGGTATTTAACACAGGTCGAGGCCCCGTGTGTTGTCTCGTCATGGAGAAGTCTAACAAATCCTTCAATGCTGGCGAAAGGCATAACTCGTTCAAAGAATTCACTCGAATCGAGCCTACTGGTAGTATTTCATCAGCTGAAAACAAAAAGTAGGTACCAAACAAACCGTAAAGAATATAACGAAAATCTAATTTTAAAAATTTACTAAGTACCTGTTTCATTCTACATAATAGGTAGGTAGGTACTTATTATAAGCCTAATGAAGATAATTAGGAAGGCTTGCTTGATATCTTATTCCTAAAAATAAAAATAACTAACCTGAATATTTGTAATGCCAAGTTAATTGGAATCCGTCGCTGGATGCGTAGAAATTTCGGAGATCCTCTGGAAGTAAGGCGGAATGTCGCTGTTCCCATGTCGACAGGGCTACGCGGTCACAGGGCGATCTACGTTCGACGTTAACATTACATATCCTAGGATCGGATTCTGCAATGAGTTTTTTTAAGTAAGTGTATTGTGTAGTTTTCAGGAATGGCGGAAAATTAAATCAGAGCCGTATTGGCAAAATGACGGCATCGCCGTGTAACCTTATGCTTGCCTAGTTAGAAAATTACCCTAGATAGAAAATTAGGGGTGCCTGTGACATAATTGCCTAGGGCGATCTTTAGGTTTAATCCAGCTGTGCCTGAAATAAACATAACGTCATGTCTTTTATCCCCGAAGGGGTAGGCAGGTGCACCTCTGCACATTATACCACTACAATGTGACACCTACTTTTCACTACTTATGTTAAGAGTCCCATGTTGATGTAATAGGGGGTGAGCCTATTCCCATATACCGGGCACAATTCCAGACTCCGTGCTACTGAGAAAATTAATTTAAAAAAAACCCAGTAATTCTTTGCCCAACCCGGGAATCGAACCCGAGACCCCTTGCCCGGCAGTCGCACTTACGACAACTCGGCCCACTAAGCAGTGCCTGAAATAAACTCAATGTCAAAATCTAAAACATTTTGATGAATAATAAATTTTGACTAGTTTTATTCTAGAACGCTTGGAAATCCTGCAATGTAGCAAAAGCTGGAAACCAGCGGCAATATTTATTCTCTTGTCATTTATTTAATAGACAATAATCCTAGGTTTCAATACTGGTTTCTACCAAAAAAATTACATCTGACTAACAATTGTTTCGATATGTCCTATCAGTGACAGTGAAGTGACAGTAATCACTTCCGTCAGTAGGTACCGTGCGTCAACTCTCGTGTGGTAAAAAATAACCTATTAGATTTGATAACATTCAAGAATAAATAGAATAATTTAATTGAAATAAAAAATTATAAATAAAGATAAAATAAATATAACAATGACTAAGCCAATGGATGGTGTTTGTGCTATAAAAGAAGAATTTATCATTCAGAGGCCGGTCAAAAGTACTACTGAAGATAATACTAATAATAAACGTAAGTTAACTGATAATAACGATGAAGATAATGATTTAGATAGTAAAAAAGTTAAAACTAACGAAGGACAAGAACAGAATACAAGTAAGAACAAAAAACGAGGCCAAAATAAAGCGAGACCGAAAACTTACAAAGACAACAAGGAAAATAAACCATGTCCTTCTATTGTGTGCGTCGAAGCAGCTGAAAATTCAAATCCATGCCAGTACAATAACTGTAAATATATTCACAATGCACTCGACTATATAAAATCAAAACCCAAGGACTTGGGCGAAACATGTTATTTATTTGAGACAAGAGGAAAATGCCCCAGAGGCATTGCTTGTCGCTTCGGGTCTAGTCACATCACACCCGACGGGTATAATATGGTTAACTTAGAAAAATGGAAGCAATGGAAAGATGATACCAAAAATACCATTCAGCCTGCGCTTCAGACAGCTCTACAAAAAAGAAGATATGATTTTAGTTTATCTGAGAGACTGATAAAACATCTAGATAGAAAGAAGAAACCAAATGAAAATAATAAGGAGACACAACAAAGTAATGAAGAGTCTAAGGAAGCACCAACAGAAAATAATGAAAGTAAAGAAAATAATGAGGAATCTAAAGATGCACCAGTAGACAAACCTGATGAAAACATACACAAAAGTGGTGTTGTCACTGATGAAGACTTGATCAAACTGTTACCAAGAGAAAAGAAGATCATAGACTGGAGGGACAAGTTGTACCTTAGCCCCCTGACCACAGTTGGAAACTTACCCTTCAGGAGAATTTGCAAAGAATATGGAGTAGATATAACTTGCGGAGAAATGGCTTTATGTGAATCTTTACTTAAAGGAATGAAACAAGAATGGGCGTTAGTCAAAAGGCATGAAACAGAAGACTTATTTGGGGCACAAATATGTGGCACTAATGTGTACACTATTACAAAAGTAGCACAAATGTTACAAGAGAACACTGAACTTGATTTCATCGATTTAAATCTAGGATGTCCTATTGATTTGATATACAAAAAGGGAGGAGGCAGTGGTATGATGCACAGAGTAAATGCATTAGAAGCATCAGTAAGATGCGCTTCAAAAGTATTAAGCATACCTTTTACAGTCAAAATGAGAACTGGTGTGTATGAAGGAAAAAAGATAACACATACCATAGTACCTAAAATGTCCGAATGGGGTGCATCACTTGTTACAGTCCATGGCAGGTCCAGAGAAGCTAGATACATTAAGTCCTCCGATTGGGAATACATAGAAACTTGTGCACAAGCAGCTGCACCTTGCCCTGTTTATGGCAATGGTGATATCTTGAGCTACCAAGATTATATTGATAGGAGAACTGTTGCTCCTACAGTGCAAGGGGTAATGATTGGAAGAGGAGCACTTATCAAGCCTTGGATATTCACAGAGATTAAGGAACAGAGAATTTGGGATATAAGCAGCAAAGAAAGGTTTGAAATATTAAAGAAATATACTAACTATGGTTTAGAGCACTGGGGCTCTGATATGCAAGGTGTGGAGAATACCCGCAGGTTTTTACTTGAATGGTTGTCATTCTTGTACAGATATGTACCTGTGGGTTTACTAGAAAGACCACCACAAAAAATTAATGAAAGACCTCCTTTGTATTTTGGTAGAGATGACTTAGAAACACTAATGGCATCAGGAAACTGTTCCGACTGGATAAAAATAAGCGAAATGTTATTAGGGCCTGTACCTGACGGATTTAACTTTTTACCAAAACATAAAGCAAACTCATATTGATGAGAATTATTATATTATGTTTATTGTAATTTCGTTACAGTATGTATTTAGGTACTTGTTGTTTTTATTGTAAATAAAAAATCGAGGAGAAATACTTTTTACTTATTTTATTTATCAAATCCATTTGCAAAATAAACATCACGTCTAACTACCTATGTACCCGATTTAAGACCTACCTACCTCACTTTTTCAAGCTATAAGTTATCTCAAAGGTATAAACCAGTCCACAGAATAAGAACAGCCTATGGCCTATACGAACTTACCTAACAGTTTTGTCACTCCTAAAGTGATATTTTCATAAAAAGAATCTTCAGATACAAGGTCGACACAGAAACTCATAATTCACCAAATAATTTTCCTAACTTGTTATTATATTTTTAAAACTGCAACTAATATTAATTTTTACTTATACAAAACAAAATAATTCTTATTATTGTTATGATTAGTTCAGAAAATTAGGATGACATTTTCAAATCCTTTCATTTGAGACATTTCCTTGTTACTCTGTAACCATAACAACCCCCTATACGTACTTATTTTACTCTTTGATACGTTACAACACTAACGAAGAAAAATAGGTAGGTACCTAGCTGCTCAAGTATTCATCTCAACGATCTGAAGCAACAATGATGTTCCTTGGATTTGATTCAGACAAAATATTTTCTAGCTATCATAATCAATATATTTACTATCAGTAAACAAAGAAAATGTATGTATTGATATTTTTTTGTATTGATTCTTACTCCTAACACTTTACTGCTGATTTTCCAATTTTACTACTGAGATTTTAAAGTTTAAAACCATTTGTTCCCACTAACGTATATCGAATGTGGTCCAGTGGCAATGCGTATTTCCAAAATAATTATGTGTTTGTTAGCTTAGTTAATATGCTAATGGAATATAATAGAAACACATTATTATTAGTGTAAAACTTTAATTTCGTTTACATTTATTGTATTACAAGATACACTTCACTAGTCAAAAAGATTCATGAAAATACCTATGAATAGTAGGTGTTATTATTAGAATACGGTACATACTTAAAGTAATCTAATATCCTGCTACAATTAAATGATACTTAAATGATCACAATTGCACTTAAAAACACAATACAAACAAAATTCTAAGATTCACAAAGTACTTAATGCATTACCCAAATAAAACTGTCTACTGACAACACAGGACATTATGTTTCAATTAATCAACACTGGATTGTAACAAATTGTCTAATCATCAGTAGAAAGTCCTTACCAGAAACTCTTTTTGGTAGTTTTAGCAAAAATAATTAACATTTGATGCTTTTTTGTAGTGATCTAATATCACTAATTTATGTACATTTTACGTGACCATTATAATTGTTAGTTTTAGTATACATAATAAATTGAAAAATATATCGTGAACATTATACTGGCACTTTTTATGAAACTATGTATCAAATGAGATAATAATATTTATTTTATTTAATAGTAAATCTAAAACATTAATGTAATTAATGTTTATATACAATGCATTATAATGTGTGTACTAGTTGAAAATTGGGGAAATACTCAAACACATGACTGTGTAACACTGCACTAATCACACATTAAATAAATACAACATGGAATGGAAAAAAAATAGTCTGTGTCAAATCTTATGTAACTAAACTATGTTCCTTACTCCATACGATCGATCGTTCACAATTCACTGATGTTTAACGTCGCCTGCGTCGACGAGAGTCCCCATTATATCCATTTTCTGTAAAAAAAGATACCTATCGTTAAAACATGCCTCAACAACATTTTTTTCTGACAAGTTTTATAGAGCACAGAGTATAATAATAATTACAATAATTATGCAGGTGTTTACCATACAGACCATCACTGTAGATAAAAGTCTGACTGACAAATACACCAAGACAGCTTATATCGTGTAATGTAGTGGAGTAATGGAGTTGTTAAAATAGGTGAGTTGGCATTGGTTTGAATATAACAAACCTCAGTCGCAATCATCGTCGGCGATTTCTCTGGCGGTCATTATTGTACCCCACGGAGCCATTCGCCAGCGCACCGTTGGCACCCATCTGGTCCATACCGAGACCGTAAGGCCGACCGGGACCAGCATTTTGTGGACCATAATATTGCATTCTACAATCAGCAGCATTGTAACCCTCGCTACTCTCATTTCCTTGAACATTGCTATTCTGTTTAATATTTTTAGATCCATATGACCCAAACGCAGTAAAGTTAGCACCCTGTGGTCCAACACCATCGACAACGCTCGGAGGAAGCATGCGCGGCAAGAGGCTCCCGTGAGGTACGCCGAGACCGCCAGAATTGTAGCCGCCGCTGGGCGGTTGACCCAGCCCGCCGCCATCAGGCCCACCGAGCCCTGACGAGCCGAGACCTCCTGAGTTGGCAGAGTCTAAGTCGTCGTGATCCCGTCCTCGGCCGCGGCGTCGCCGGTCGCGGCCTCGCGATCGCGAGCCAGCTGGGCCATCGGAGCCAAGTCCACCGGACGAACCGAGCCCACCGGACGAGCCCAGCCCGCCTCCGGAGCCCAGCCCGCCACCGGAACCGAGCGCTGTGCTGTTGCCGAGCCCGGGGCCTGACGAGCCGAGCCCGGGGCCTGACGAGCCCAGCCCGGGGCCAGACGAGCCAAGCCCACCGCCGGCCCCGAGCCCGCCGCTGCTGGAGCCGAGCCCGCCCGCAGCGGGTCCATAGCCGCCCGAGCCACCGAGCCCGCCTGAGCGAGCCCCGCGTTTTCTGGAATCTGACTCGAGGCCACTTTGGCCAGGGCCCCTTTGCTCGTGACTACCTTTAGCCGAGGACTCAGAGGGCGGAGGAGGAGGCGGTGGTGGCGGCGGGGCAGCCCAACCACCCGGAGGAAGCATTGATGCAGGGAAGTTTGGAATCATCATACCATACTGGTCAGCAGGAAAATAAGGAGGTAAAGCAAAGCCTTGTCCATTTATTGGAGGAGGAGGAGCACACATATTCATTTGAGGATTAAGAGCCATCAAAGGCGGTATTTGAGGCGGCTGTTGTAAGTAATTCTGATTATTATTGTTTACAGGATTATTAGAAATTATTTTTCTATCATTAGGAGGAACTTTATTTTCCACAGGGGATGAGGCTGGAACCTTGTTAGTGTGATTGGGTAACTGGGGACCAATGGGAGTCGGCAGAAGGGTTTTCGGCGTGGGAAGAAGAGCTTGGGGCGCCTGTTGTTGACCCGAATCCGAAGTATTCTTCACTGGGCTGCACTTGCCTGAGCGAGATCGGCTACGCGACCGGGAGCGGGAGCGTGAATGGCTTCTCGATGACCTCGATGATCGGCTTCGCGAAGATCTGGAGGAGCTGTGGCGTCTGCGACGACGATCACGTGAGCGAGAACGGGAGCGGGAGCGACGGCGGCGTGACCTGGAGCGGGAGCGAGAACGACGCCCACGACGGTATCTTCCGCCACGACCTCGGTGTCCTGGCAAAGAAAAGAAACGATTAAATACCATATTTCGGCGTGGCTAATAAGCTAATTAATTTCAATCTAGTGTAATAATATTATAACACTTACGTCTACCACCTCCCCCACCTCGTTCAGCAAGTTCTTGCAATTTAGGGTTAACTACTTGTTTGGCTTCTTTCAATACAGCCACTAGGTCGGCTGCCTTAGCAGCGTTCGATGGCGTGAAGAACGTATAAGCTGTTCCAGTTTTGTTAGTTCGTCCAGTTCTTCCGATGCGATGTACATAATCTTCCGAATTACTTGGGTAATCGAAATTGATAACGAATTTAACATCATCAACATCTAGAAACAATAATTTTTAATTAGTTTAACCAAAACAATATCAAGTTATTATATTTTAACAAAGTAACCAAAATAAAATACGTACCTAAACCTCTAGCAGCAACATCCGTAGCAACTAGAATGGGAGCTTTCCCACTACGAAAATCTGTAAGAAATTTAACGTATGAGCACCATGCAACCACATTATACAAAATCAGTTTGAATTTACAAACATTGAAACTCTGCAAATTTAACTGTCACTGTTGAAAATGTAATTTATGTACATACCCGGTAACAGTCAATTATATATTTTTTTATATTCAATGAATCTGGATTACTTTCTGTTTTATAATCATTCTTACCACTCCCAAGGTACTGCATACAGTTGTATTGACTAATGCGCTTTATGACAGACAAAATGGAAAAAATATGTCCCTACGAAACAAACTTCAGGAGAACTATTTCAATCAAGAAATATATTCTACTCCAGGTCTATGTCGCTCCCACAACAATATCACCAAAATATTTATCCAAACCCTCTATGTGACCAATCATTGTTTGCTGCTATTATTTTACTCAACACTTCTCAATAAGTATTTGCAACTCATCTCACATTTCACCCCTTCTCGGCCACCATAACATATGTTGAAGCAATATTGTGTTGATGATTTTATGATGATAAATTAATTATATGATTATGTATAGTTAATAAATAATATGTGTATAGTATGCATGATCAATGTAAGTATTACATAATAAGGTATTAATAAGTAAAGAAAAACAAAAGTTTGGCAGGAAAGTCAAGATGTAAACCAGGAAAATGATGTGAATGAATGTCTAAATGAAGAATTGAGGGCAACCTCGGGAGGTTTAATGAGAGACGTAAATAATAATTTTATTCCATTCACTATTGTATTAGTAAACTTACTAATAATATCAACTCCGTCTGTTTTATATCGCACAAAAAATAAAAATTGAGAGCGAGAGGTGAGAGGTCGCCCGTCTGCACGAGGGCGAGAACCGAGAGTCGACCACCGTGGTCGGGGCGACGCAGCGCCGGCGTCGACACCCGCGGGACTGCGCTAGACATGCGCCGCGAGATGCGCCGGCGGCCGCCGCGCCGCCGCGAGAAGCGGCTCAGACTAGCCGCGGGAGCGAGTCAGAGTGCATAGGGCTTAGCCCCGACAACTAGAGGCGGGCGCGGTGCGGGCGCTGTCGCCGCCGCGTGCGGCTGGGCGGCGACGAGCCGCGCGCTGCCGCCCCGCCGCAGGCCACAGCTCGCCACAGCCTGCACATGCAGACACTGGTTCAAAATGTGTTTACTGACTGCGCTACACCCAACGCGCTCGCGTCTTATGTCCGACACCGCTTCTCGACAACCACTCGTGCTTTTTTATTTCAATTTTATTATACAGCACCAATTTGATATTAAATTAGTTTGGCTATCATTGTGGAGCTAGTATAATACAAATTACTGTCAAAATAATAAATTAAATATTAAATCATCGTAAATAATAACTATGTTTAGACTGAACATTACCTTGTAGAACCCAATCTCGTTCATTTTGTGACTTATCTCCATGAATACATACTGCAGGCCACCTAATAAAAAACCATATTTAATTTAAATTACTTGTCACATTTTATAATAGCTGTCAATTAAGTAAACATTATCATTCATTCATTCATTATTGAGTGTCATTATATTATTAATTTAGTCATCATTATGTACCAAATATACCAAAGTACAACTACTATAACAATATTGTTTAAATTATACTTCATTACTTAAGAATCATACAACAATAAAAATTAAACCTTACCCATCGCGTTTCATTTTTCTCGTAATATCATCCACTCTACGTTTGGTTTCAATAAAAATAATAGTCTTATTTTCTTTTTCTGCCATTATTTCTTTAAGGAGTGTACTTAATTTGGTTTCTTTTTCATATTCCATACAAACATCAATGATTTGCAGAATATTGTGATTAGCTGCCAATTGCAGAGAGCCTACATTAATTTGCAGATAATCTTTTAAAAATTCCGCAGCTAAGCTCTGAACTTCTCTGGGCCATGTAGCAGACCACATAAGAGTTTGACGGTCAGGTCTAATTTGTTCAATGATCTTTCTTATTTGTGGTTCAAATCCCATATCCAACATTCTGTCAGCTTCATCCAGCACTAAATAAGTAGTTCTTTTTAAATTAGTTCTTCCACTCTCAAGAAAATCAAGAAGTCTGCCAGGGGTAGCAATTACTATTTCTACACCAGCATCCAAGTCTCTGGCTTGTGGTCCCTTTGGTGCTCCACCAAACAGACAAGTGTTATGAATTTTAGATGTGTTAGCAAACTTGTCACAGACTTCTTGAATTTGTTGTGCTAATTCCCTGGTAGGAGCCAGTACAAGAGCAATAGGGCCATCACCACGACTTGATTTTGGTTGGTTGTTAATATGCACAATTGCAGGTAAAATGTAAGACAGGGTTTTTCCTGAACCTGTAGATGCAATACCAACCATATCACATCCACTCAATGCAATTGGCCAACCCTGCGCCTGGATAGGTGTTGGCTTGGAAAATCCCATTTTATCAATCTCATCCATAACATAATCAGGGAAACCGGCTTCTTCGAAGGTCATGGTCGGTTTTGGGATATTACGTCCTTTGAGAGTGATTTCATTATCACTTCTCCAACCTTCCACTTCAGATTCAGGTCTATTTTCTACATCAATATGGGGTACATAGAAATCTTTTTTGAATGGTTTTAGTCTACTTAAATCCCACTTCGGTTTTCGTAGACTAGCTCCTGGATTGCTTCTGCGTCCACCGCCGTAGCCGCCGCCGCCTCCACCGCCACCGCCTGATCCAAGACCATAACGGGGGCTTCGACTGCGACTTCTACTCCTGCTCCTACTACGGCTACGACGTCTATCACGACTACGATCCCTAAACATACACAAAAACATGAGAATTTATAAAAATACCATTTTTTATTTTCGAACAATGTGCTGTACGAATAGTTTTATATATTTACCTTCCTCGTCCCATGATTACTGTGACAAGCAATAAATAACAATTATAATCCTGACAATTGGTGCAGTCCTTTATATAGATAACAATTCACTCACAATAAACTGAATACACAACAATCAATACAATTTTTACACTGAGGACGTACAACATCAGTACGCCATTCGTTGAGAATGATTCCAAAATGGCGTCTAACCAACTACTTGGGAAGAATTCGATCCGGAAGTCGACCATAGAGCATTGTAGCTTTACCACAAACAATGAAAGTAACAACTTTTTATAACAGGCAACACAATAGGATTTTTTTTAAGAGGGGAAAATCATCGAATGACTGCTCCTGCTCCCGCCTGGGTGAGGCGGAAGAGAGTGTCAGACTCTTACTGACTAAAAACCACCCCGTTCCTTCTCCTGCAAGTCGAGCCGGAGCCCCGGTTACCCGTGAAGTTCTCCGCGACAACCACTGATATGAATGGCGACAACACAATAGGATAGATCCATAGATTATTAATGCCGTGTTCGCACTACGCTAGAATTTTAGTAGAGTGATATTGGTATGGCTTAGATGTAATAATTTTTATAGTAGCTTTCTCACGGTTCCGTCAATTTACCTCTAGCTTCTATGCAAATAAATGCAAAATAATTATAAATATTATATGTATTTTAAAAATGTCGTGGTGGCCCGGAGGTTTAAGACGCTGGCTTCTCATGCATGAGAATGCGGGTTCGAAACCTACCAACGGCAAGTACCAATGTGACTTTTTCCGAGTTATATGTACTTTCTAAGATTATTTAGACACCACTGACTAACGGTGAAGGAAAACATCGTGAGGAAACCTGGGCTTATAATTTCTAATTATAAGTTTGTAATCGCCAACCCGCATTGAGCAAGCGTGGTGATTAATGCTCAAACCTTCTCCGTGTGAGAAGAGGCTTTGCTCAGCAGTGGGCATTTATAGGCTGTTGATGATGATGATGATATGTATTTTAGTTTTATTTTATTAGTTCCTTATTCACTAATTCACTATCGGTAGAATATTATTTGGTGCACTCAATATTTTGTTTAATCTGTGACAGGAATCCATTTTCTGCGTTGTTGTGACATTTTGCGTTTTGCTCTTCAACTAAAATAATTGAGTAAAAAAAGAGTTGTATTGTATGAATATTCTCATGTTAACGAACATTGTACTGTGAATTAAGTGATGATATTTATTTTGCACTATTAGCATTGGCATAAAGACATTTTTGCATCGTGAAGAAAGACACGATGGGTTGAAATAGTGATCGCTATCGGCAACAGTTTACTATTCGCATTTCATAATTCATTATTTACACACGCCATAACAACAATGGAACTAGATGTATCACCTGCAGACAAAATAGACAACGATATGGAATATTCAGAAAATTCGACAGACAGTAAATATACGCCATGTAAAAATGACCAGTATTCTATCATACGCATTCCCGAAGATGGGGAAAAGTCAAGTAAGCACTCCTCGAGGAAACAATCAAAGAGGAGAAAAAAGAATTCCAGTCATTCACGGCCTTTACCAAGGATAATAGTCAAACCTTTGCCTCCTCCTCCTCCCCCTGAAAACAGGGAATGGACAGCAGCCACATCGTTTTCAGAAAGCAGTTCTAACTCTAGCCGACCATCAACTATGCGAGAAGTATTGGCTAGTATCCCTGGGTTTTGTATGAAACCCAGAAAGAGAAGTGGCAAAAAGTTATCTACAGCCGCACAATTGCAGCAAACAAGAGAAGGTTGCATTGACTTAGAAACACCGGATTCAATATTAGTAAATACCAATATAAGAGCATTACTAAATAAACACACATTTTCACTTCTACCACCTTTATACCAATATAAACTTGGGCAGCTACTCCCAAGTGTGGATAGGTTAAGTCCTTCAGGTCGCTTAAATTCTTCTAGTCTGAATAATGAATTTTTTGCCCGTGCCTGCTTACAATGGCAAGACAGCCTATCTGGTGGAGAATTAACTCCAGAAAACCAGCAAAGAATGAAGACTGAAGCAGAAAAAGAAAAAAGCAAAATTGATCCTTGGAAATTGAAACATTTTGAACCAATTTGGGGAGAGAAATGTAGAAAAGAAAAATCTTCCATCAGTTTGAATTCAGATCGCCCATCTCTTAAAACCACAATAAAGTTAAGGCCAACAGCTTCAATAACAAGCAGTAGTACAGTTCCAAAAATTAAAAAAAGTAAATCTGGTAGTAGTAAAAGAATGCGTTCAGTGGGAGCAGTTACAAGATCTTCAGCTCGAGCTGATGATGTAATAGAAGAACCACTTTCAGTGTGTAGTAAACAATCAGCTCCGGTGCCAGACTTATTGCCTCTGAAACAGTCTAAAAGTCACAATCATGCTAACTATGAGGAATATCCGGTAGACTTTACTTTCTCAGATTCATCTTCTACACAGAGGATGGATGACTCACTGTCTACTACACCAGTTGACCCACTCCTGCTACCAGATGGGGATTCAGAAAGGAATGAAGTTAAGCAAGAACTAGACATCAGTGTTGTTACTATTGAAGAAACTTCAAAAGATTGTGAAGAGGATAAAGCCATAGATTTTGATAGTAATTTAAATGAGTCTTCTAAGAGATCAAGCAATGAGAATGCAGACTATACAATGGCAAAGAGAATTAAGTTTGAAGAAGACTATGAAATGCATAACTCTAATTATATGACACATAATGCAGAAGTTACAAATCACTATTCAGATATTGAGACAAATTATTCAAATGAGCAAGTTTGTCCTAATGATGAACTCTTGTATACTGGGCAAGACCATGGTGACACTAATAGTGAGGATAGTAAAGCCACTGCATCTGTCTATGAATATGATGCAAGAAGTGAATCTTCAATGTCCAGTCTGAAGGTAGATATGACTGTAAATAACATGAGTGTGAGTGAATCTACAGGTGCTACTGAATCCATTTCTTACGATAATATTGTTAACGAGGTGGAGGAGAGTCCTGAAATTGATAAGGGTAGTTCTGAAAGTGTAATATGTGAAGTTCAGGAACCATATGTAGAACAGTATCAGGAATGTGTGAAGTCGGACACAGATGTAGAGTCACCACAACACTGTAAGGAAACTGTGGCAGAGCAGGAACAAGCAGTGTGCCAGAGCTACAGCCAGGAAATGGATGCAGTAACACCTGATGTCCAGTCTCATATTAAGGATGATGTGATGGATAGTCCTAAATGTGAGAAAGAAAGCTTGCCTCAGAACATGTCACAGAATTATTATGATGAACATTTCAAAGATGCAGAGTCTTTTATTTTGGAGACGAGCCTCTCAATACTCACATCACGTAAGTGTATTTGTAATAGCCATAGAAACTCTTTTACGCATTATTTTATTTATCAAGTGTAATTAAATGTGTATGTTTAATTGGTTTTACAGAGAGTGAAGATGTAAAATATTCATCACATCCTAACTTGATGGAGTTGTCATCGTATATGAGTGAAACAAGTGAGTATGTCGTATTTGTAAATATAACAATATATTTAGTTGTTAGATTTTTCTTATAAGAATAATTTGACATGGTATTTTTTTTTCTTTGTAGAGATAAACATGGTATTTAAGAAATGACACTTTTTGTCAGTTCTACCCATACTTATTATTATTTGAGGTTGCATAATTATATTATAGAGTGGTTGCCAAACAAGTGTTATTTTATTTTGTAACTGTTTCAGATGTGACTGCTGTTGTGACAATGCCTTTAACACAAAATTCATCAATACCAATGATGGAAGTCACTAATACATCTGTAAGTATATCTCTGAATTTGTTTTTAATTGATTGAGAACAATTACTACAGCAAAACAACCACATACATAGTAGGTTGTTAGTATCTTGTGGCTTGTTTACTAGTGAAACATTATTTAGGTACCCTAATTAACTTACCTGGTGATAATGATGTACTTAAAATATGGTGTATATTTATCTGATTCATAGAGAAACAACAACAGGTATTCATGTGTTATTTAATTTGTAATTATTTTTATTACAGATTGTTTCCTACCCTGATGATAACATGAAGGATGCAGCTAAACCCAAGGCATCAGCAGTGTCATGGAAGAACGACAATGACTGGACAAACAATGAAAATGTCATGTCTTTACATCCTTTTTCTAATTTAAGCACAGAGAATACCAAATATGTTAATGAAGACTCCAAAACAAGTATGGACGATATAAATATGAATGATGAAAATTGTATGTACAAAGAAGATAGGGATGCAAATTTTAATATGGAGTCCTCTAATTCATCTGAAAGTTGTCAGTCCATAAAAGATTCATCAAAACAAGAACTAGATGCGGCAACTAGCCTGATATCTAGTACCGCTGTTACAAACCCACCGGTGAATTCTACTACTATAAGTCAGGGAATCTGGGCTCGAGGTAAAAAATCGAAGATTGGAAAGGAATCTAACAGGTATGTGCATATGCTTTGTAATATTCATCCTTAAATACAGTTTCAGAAACTTATTATGCATTTAACTCTTGGAGTACTGTCATTATAGACACAATTAAACTGTCAAACACCAAGCGGTCACCGGTGACCGCAACCTATTGTTCTTTAATTGTGTCTATAAATACGGTACTCGACGAGTAAAAGAACAATAGGTTGCGGTCACCGGTGACCGCTCGGTGTTTGACAGTTTAAGAAAATTAAAATCCTCAGTACCCTTTCAGTAATTTATTTAATGTTAATAATAATAGTTACATTACTTAGTCTGTTGAGAGAGAAAGCAATATCTTGTCATGTTACATAACATACTACAAAGAACAAACTTTTATTAAATGTGAACTTTCTAATTCCAGGAGTAGAAGCTCAAACAAAGTGCCCCCAGGCACAGTGAACCTAGAACGCAGCTATCAGATCTGCCAGGCGGCGATACAGAATAGTCCGAACCGCGATGCATTGCGCGGTCAACTGCGACCGCCGCCCGCACTACTGACGCGGCCCGCGCGGTCCGTGCGGCCGCCACCCCCGCCTCCGCCCGTACTCGTACGACAGCTGCCAGTATCTGTGATGCCTCATAATGAAGTAAGTGGAATTAGATCTTTATTGTTTTATCATAGGGTCGAGAATATAACAGATTGTAGCTGGTTGATATTTTAGTATTTGTAGAGTGCTTCTTGAGTAGTATCTACCACAATTAATAATTATTCAAATGATGTAACTAAGGAAAATTGTTGCTTTTTTGAGGTCGATTTAGTTAATCAGATAAGTATCTAGAGAAATATAATATTTAGACTTTAATACAATTTACATCACAATTTTCAGATGAACGAGAATCGGTCTAACAACGTGGGGCAGTATATTCTCGTTCAAAGAACTCCTAATGTGGCGCCGCGAGCTTCCAGTGCTCCACCTGCGAACCAAAATACTAATGTGGTTAGTATTTGTAATACATTTAACTCAAAACTACCCATATAAGGGAACTTATTCTTTTAAACTCTCACACATATGTACGTGCTTATAGCAGTTTGTTGGATACGTCGTATGCACAGGAGCTTAAATTCATTATGTAAAATGTATGTACATAGAAGATTCATAGTAATTCTTCATTACAGAGCGTAGCACGGTGCCGTAGTGTGGGCGCGGACGACGCGTGCGTGTGTAACCTCCGCGCCATGATACTGTGCAAGAAATGCGGTGCCTTCTGTCACGACGACTGCATCGGATCAGCAGAACTATGTCTCACTTGTCTCATACGCTGACCCAACCTCTATGGTTTCTCTACGGCCCTTTATGCGCGGCCATTGCTATCTTGCTAGCATTATTACAAGGAACTTTATATAGAACGAATTTAGCTACAGCCCTTATCATATTTATACCTTTAGTTCAGCGTAGCTAAAATAAAACGGAAATTGAGTAAATCCAGGATTGAGGTGTGTGTGAACAAAGTAAATGGTTGTTAGGAATGGTGGTGCTATCTGTATGAATGTATCAATAAACAAAAATATTTAGTTTGTAACCAAGTACTAGTATTGACAATATTTTGTACTTCACAAATCATCAGGTTGCTTACGCAGATTATATTGAGAAGCTTTAAGTTTGTTGGATCGAAGTCACGCTAATGCCAGGGTTACATAATCATCGCTGAACTTGAGTGAATCAAATGTGATAGCCACAGCTTACGAGTTACATAATATTCATTACAGACTAAATATATAATTACAAAATAATCTCTACCTCTAAGGCAGAATTAATTATCTTTTTTCAGATATCAGAATTATTTAATTACCTGTCCTGAACCTATCCAAATATATATAATTCGACTTATGCTAAGCAATGGCGAGGCATATAGTGTTTTCTTGTTAAAATGTTTATTATTCTTCAAACAGCAAATATATTTACTCATCATAATGTTGAAATAACACTTGAAATTTTAATAATTCAAATAATAACTTGTACACAATGAGCACAATGTATTCAAAGTAATTTTATAAGTCGTACATTATTTCTGATTTAGATGTTACGAATACATATTTAAAAGCTTATCGAAATAGCAGATAATTTGATAGCATTTGTTAACATTTATTTGATACAAATAATATAGTTGTTGTTAAGACTACGTACAGTACATAAGAAAGTAGTCGCTGCGCTGAGGATTTAATTTTTGCCATTATATTTTAGTATTAGGATATCATCACAGTTTAATTTTATGCTACTGTTATATTAATTTTAGTGTTAGTTTACCATTTCGTGACTTTATTTTGTATGTAGTTTATCAGTATCGGCTTAGTATTGGTATAGTAAGAAATACTTGTGCACCATCTGATATCCCATCTATTTATAACATTTATACTTAAGTGTATGTACAGATATTTATTGATACGTGAAGGCTGGCGGGGTGGACATCGGATGAACTCTTATTGTAGGTATTTATAGAACATTACTTGTTATATTTAAGTTTTTCATTATGGCGTGTACACTAATATGACACTAAGTTATGCAATATATTTATAGTTGTCTATAATATTTTTATAAGAATCTTTTACAAATTGAAAAATAGCTTTTTGCTAATTTAAGATTTTTCTTGTAATATGTATCCAAACATAAATCCAAATTGTCCATATAATCTCTTCTGATCTCTTGTTTTACTGTCCCAGTAATATAAATAAGGACCTTCTATTGCGTATTGGGTGTAGTGTACAATGGTTATAATTACGTGATTTTATTATAACGAGAATAACTGATTATCAAGAAATAACATATATTAAGATAGTTGACAACTGCTCCAGCAATGCCTAGTTTGTACACATAGCAATTGCCTTACATGACGACTACAGATGCTAAGTTACAATTAAATATTCATAGATATAATAGATAATTTATAATACAAGTGTTGCTCACTATGTTTGAATCACAAAATGTATATCTGTATATTTTAGCTTATATTATGGATAAATGTTGAAAAGTCTATGTATACATGTCACAAAAACTAGATACAGTCTAGATTTCTAACGACGCGTGGTTAAAACACTATTGGGACTTTTAGAAATGTATAAAAGGATTTGTAATTCTTTATAGTGTACTTATTTCATAACCTCGGTACGCAATCATTTAATACAGTGTTAAAGAATATTTAAATACGAAAGTTACATTTGTATTATAATGCCTATGTTTAAGAACTAACAACCAACAACTTTTATATGAACGGCTCTTTTTTATTTTATTTTAATTTGTATGATTATTAAAAACTGCGTTTATTTCGCGGACTTGTCGCATTATTGTTATTTATTGGTAATTGGTTATTTTATGCTCATGAACATTTTTTCTCTAATAAAATTATGTTCTTCTAAGATGCTATTTTTTATTTTTATCATAGGTATCACCCAATCTTATAATCCTTATTTAGACACAAAATATTACAGTCTATGTTAATTTAATTTCGTTGCATTTGTAACAATCTGAATTCCGTGGTAATCTGAGTAGGTATAAAAATTGCCTCGTTGGCCGAGTGATCGCAAGTGCGACTACCGAGCAAGGGGTCTCGGGTTCGATTCCCAAAGTATTACTGGTTTTTTTTTAATTCTTAGTTGTAGCACGGAGTCTATAACTATGGCCGGTATATATAGGCAATAGGCTCACCGTCTATTACATGGGACTCATAACATAAATAGTGAAAAGTGGGTGTTACATTGTACAGTGGCATTAAGTACCGTAATGTGCACCTCTGCCTTCCCCTTCGGGGATAAAAGGCGTGATGACTGTACGGTTGGCGTGGTGGTTGGGCAATTGGCTGTCGTACAACGTGTAGCGGGTTCGATTCCCGGACGGAACAACTCTTTGTGTGATCTACAGATTATCAGTTCTGGGTTTGGTTGTCATGTGTATGTGAACTTGTATGTTTGTAAACTCACCCACGACACAAGAAAAAATCCTAGTGTGGGGCAATCTTTTTAAAAAGCAGAAAGAAAAAATGTTATGTGTATAAAACCTTCCTAAAAAGATATTTTTATATTGTCGTTTGAGCTGCGTGATTTTATTATTTGTTTAGCGTACTCGAATACTGTCTCATTGTTTTCAAACTTACAACTATGGTAGATAATTTACCTCAGAAGCATTATAAGTGTCTAAACGAGAGTCTACCGCACCCGTGATTTAAAGGAATATATGGCCGCAAGTTTGATCCATTGGGTATTTCCACAGATGAATAAGTGATATGTCTGTGACAGCAACAGTGAACGGAAACCCTTAGAGTATTTAAATAATCTAAACGGAAACCGGATCACTCATCAGATGTGGACGCATCATTACAAATTGCAAATGATATTCAATTCTAAATCAATTAAGACTATGATATCCTTTACCTAAAATCTAATCTTAAAAGGCATGTGTCCAGAGACCAAAGTGAAGCTTTCCATTATCTAACTGTATCAACATAGCTTCCATGCCTTCCATTCACTCCAAGTTATTGGTTGCTTTTACTGTTATGACTTATGTTTGGACGAATACCAATCCGCCCATTCATATTATCTGACCAATCACAGAATGACAATTAGCAGTTTGACCAATAAAGTCTAAATTTGATCAGTGTTTCTAGAACTCGTGAGATGTTTTGCTTGATTGAAAGATAGATTTTTTTAGTGTGGTGCGTTGTGCGGTGGACGGGTGTTTGTTATTTTCTCGTCTAACGAGAAACTCGGTTTTGTCGTTATTATGTAAAATTATCCTTCTAAAATCGACAAGATCTGATTCAGATTAAATTTTCCCAAAATGTCGACAGTTCTGCTAGCAGTTATTGCGGTCATCTTGTGTGTACTTTTCAGAATATTGAATGTTAATAGTCAGCCCCAAAAACCTGTGATCTACGGAAGAGATCGAAGTTTTATTGAAAACATTCTCTTTATTTCACCATTTCTAAATGAACCGTAAGTATTGTTTGTATAGTAATGATAGTTTTCATTTAGATTTTTGATATTTACATCCTCTCCAGGTTCAGGCACTAAGATAGGTTCTTTAGTTTGATGATGTCATTACTAACAACTGAGGTCGTAAATTTTTGTGTCACGGTTTTATCTCGTAGTATTTCTTGGAAATTGTAGAAGCTTCTGCTGGAAATACTACCTGCTTATTGGAGAACTTATCGCTATTGAAAAGAGCGATATGTTATCTTAATAGTTTTATTAGGTGTATTAAAACTAATATTTTGATATCTATTTTGATGCCGGATACGGCATCTTCCAGAAATAACAATAAGTTTTAGCGCAACTGAGAGATTTGTTATGGTTCAACATGTTTATGTTGCGCGTACTTTCCAACTGACCATTTGGTTTATTAGAATATAAACACACGCGCCTCAAAACTCGACGGAACATAAGTATTTATCTACCTACGTATCAACAAATTCAACTTGATGTATTTAATGAGTTTCTAATTAGTTGTGAATCAGTCAGTAAGATCTAAAAATAAAAAACATCAATTACCTGCACATGTTTTGTTTGCAATCATTCTAGAAATATCTATTGACTTAACCACATTTTTAACAATACAAGTTTGGCAAAGCTACTTTTTTGTATATTGTGAGTCATAGACCACAGATGACAGCATAGGTATCTGATTTGTCTCACCGGCATTATAGATGTGATGTCACACTAACATATCTACCAGGAAACAGATGATTAACACTACTATTTAATCACTACTGTAGGAAAAATATTAATAAATAAACAGTATCAATGTTTGTAAATAATAAACAAAACAATAAAAAGGTGTCTGTAATTAAAAAAAATGTATTCCTTAGAATATGTTATTTAAATGGTTGCATAATTAACATAATTTTGTAAACTGTCATAATTATATGCATGCTATTCAAATTGCTAATGTTACAAGACAATTTTTTTTGTCAATAACAATTTGGTTTCAATCAAACATTATTCTAATGTATTTATACTATTTCTGGTACTATATTACTATTTCTTTCTGTATATATATACTGTCTAGTCTAGAGTGTCTAGTATTAATGATTTTTATTTCTAAAAAGACAAACCTCTTTGATTATTGCCCCATACTTATCTACATTAGTAACATGTATTATAATAGGTACTTGTATGAAAATTATATCAATATAATATTTTTCCTATAGGAGAAATTTCACTGTTGTATCATTATTATAAGGTACCCATTACTTTATTCACAAATAAATCAAAATGTTTATTTAAAGGACTGGTTCTTACTTTATAAATATAATGTTTTTGCAAAACAACTGTGTAAATATTACAATCAATTAATTATCCTAATGCATACATTCAAACACATACTGTACAGTTCAAAATAATGCTAGTGTCTATCGGCTAATTAACCCGTGAGTCAATGAGATTTTCAATTTGTCTCATTCAATAGCAAGGCCTTGAAATCAGCATTGCTTCATTCAAATTCTAATACTATTGTTTTAGTTAATTTATTTATATTCAACAATACTTCGAATTAGTGTTATTGTTCTACATATACACAAAAACAGTATTAACAAATGCTAATCGCCAAATTAGGTAGATTACCTAATTATTATTCTTAAGTAATACCTAATATTAGGCATAAACATAATTATTTACTGGTTTCTACTAGCAGTCTCGCTCATATCTTATTTGAAAATATTCCATGAGAATTAATGTCAAGATAAAATATTAGTCATGTGTTATTCCCGACTGTAATCTCTGTTTCATCCTGAATGGCATAATTTATTTAGTAACGAATATGCATACATTTCTCACTTACTTTTACATTAATAATATTATATGGGATTATATTATTATACAATAAATAAAACCATAGATGAAGGCTTTAATATCAATATTTTTTTTAATGTTGCCCTACCAGTGTATAGTATAGACTTTAACTCGTCAAGTACCGGTTTTATAGACACAATTAAAGAACAATAGGTCGCGGTCACCGGTGACCGCTTGGTGTTTGACTGTTAAATATCAATTTAACTCGTCGAGTACCGGTTTTATAGACACAATTAAAGAACAATAGGTCGCGGTCACCGGTGACCGCTTGGTGTTTGACAGTTTAATTACCAACTTGTTGTTTTGAGGCACAAGTATAATATCTTTACAGCTGTTCGATCATAGCGACATTTTTGTACACAATCGTCATAGATAGGTACTTACTACGATATCTATTACAGGATCTTGATATGATTCAATAAATTATCTAATTTGTGTCATTTATGATACTTGACTGATAAATTATAATTGGACTAGGCGTACTGTACAATGAATGATTCACCACACCTAACTCCTTACCTATGTAACTAAAATGCAACTAAGTAGATATTGTACAAAAACAAACATAATTGTTCTTATTATGACTAATTTTAATCAGTTAGCCTTGGTAAGCTTTAAACAGCTCACGACTAAAAGATAAACAAGCATACAGATACAAAATTAAATTCTAAGAATCTAGACTTGCCACACATCAATCGATCTATGTTTAGCCACGCAAGTAGGTACGTTGCACATGGTATAAAAACTCCATACCTTGGCGTTCACGCAAGTAAAGTAATGATTCATAGTAAAACATAGCAAAAACCTAGGTAAAATGAGTCATACTCGGGAATTAGTTATGACAAAATCACTCGATTTTCACCTGACCGATAAGATCATAGTAACAAAAAAAAAACATGAATTGAAAACCTCTTCCTTTTTGGGATGTCGGTTAAAAACTTGATAACTTACTAAATTATTAAAAAATAAAAGTTAATGTAACAGAATATCTGTAAGTTCTCTATTCTAGATTGCAAAAAATTTAATCAAAATGTACAATGCAATAGTTTCTTACGAAAACTTGGTTTCAGATACATACCGACTCGTCTATGGGGCTTCAGTGGACATGTGCAGACAATTCTACACAGTCTAATTGGACGTGTCCGTTGCCCCTGGCCCATAGGCGGACGAGTGTCGCTAGTGCTGCCCGACAAATCTACCCTCACCTACGACCTCTATGAACCGGTTGGAAACGAACATGAAGGTAACATAAATTCAGTTTTTACAACAGGAAAATACATTCTGTTTTTCTGCGATAACAACATTTTAATGAGACTTAAATACAGTAGAGATCGTTCTACTTTCTAACTACCGAATTTTATTATATGCATGGCAAACGAAAAATTTCTAGTATGTTCCATTGATTTATTACAATAAACCTAAGTTTAATCCTTTGAGTACCGTCATTATAGACACAATGAAAGAAAAATAGGTTGCGGTCACCGGTGTCCTCGCGGTGTTTAACAGTTTAAAAGGATGCACTCTAATTGAAACTGCAAATCTGCTGAAATGTTCATCCGCCAGTTACAACCCCTCGTACTCCATAAAACATATAGTTAGGTACTATATTCCTGGTATTTTCCATCCATGCAGTATTTATCAACTCGGGCACGTACCTATAAATTGATTTTATCTAATCACATTGTACGTACGCTGATGAGCGTAGGTGCGATAGCTTTCCCGTCACATCACGGAAGATAGAAAACTGATTAGACTGGCATCTTAATCTGATTGTCACAACAATACATATTATAATAGAATAGAGGCAAGCAATACAAGGTCGTGGTTACGATTAATGGCCGCGGCTCTGAAGTCTTTCCACTCGATTGCTTCAAGACTTGCATCACGAAGGTATTGTTCAGCGAACCAACCTGTTAGACTTGTTTATGTTAAAAACTCTCCCAGATCATTTAGCATAGGTGTCTATTGGGTACACGTTCAATATTAAAAAATATGTTCCATTCTTCATTTTAGGAAGGTACAAGAATTTACGGCAACAATATTCCCCTCCTCACCTTAGCAACAGATTTTTTTTAAAAAGCCTAATTTGTTACCTCTTGATAAAACATTTTATGGAATGTCTAAAATAATGTGCGTTTCAATTCGATATTACGCTGTATATTGCATCATCAAATACAATATCGCGTCATGGTGTAATATCGTGTATACCTACAATACTTAATTTATTATTCATATCAGTGGCGTGGTTAAAGTATATCGGTTTTTGGTCCCAGGAGATAACAAATTCACAGCGCGGAATTAGTTTTAGCGCCGATATCGAGTGTTTATAGAGTTTGATAAAATAAAAATGTTGGCGAGGTTTTCTTATGCACTATGTAGCCATAAAAAAAACTATTTGTAGATCCACCAATGTAATATTTTCCATTACTTCAACGCGCTAATTACGTACTGAAACTAACAATCAGTTTTTTGTTAAAATCTCTTTGAATTTGGTAGTCTTATTCATAAGGACTATGTAACTAGATGCTATCATCATTCTTGCTGCCACAAAGCATGTCGGTAAATGTACGGGCAAGTGCAAAAATAAAATAATTCGACATGGCAATAAATAACCGTCTGTGTAGTGTAGGTTAATTTGCATGTAGTAGAACCTGTCACGAAACATCAAACCGTATCAGCGATTATTTCAAAATGTACATAATACTATCACATTCTTATCAGTAGGAAGTTTTAAGTGAGTCAGTAGTACATTTGAGAGAATTGTCTTGAGTCTGATATCAAGATCAATGGAGTGTTATGCTTTCTCTCGGTATTAAGAGTGTTGTAAAAGAAGGCTCATTTAGTTATCAGATCAGTAATTCTGAGAAATAATACGTAACTGTATGATAAGCTGTGGTGTTGTTACAGAGTATAAAAGACAGATACCTAAAAATATTATTTATCGTAGAAATACAGCTAGAAACCATGGGTAGGTCACCCTTTTAAGAATCATAAATTATTCATTAACTTGCGTTACAACTTATACCAAAGAATCATTAGCAAACAAACCATTATTATAATTTATCACAAATCGTAAACCTTTTACATTGAATAAGTAGGTAAACGACAATCATGTTTACTCTCACGCAAGCAAACTTTATGACCCGTAACATATTATTATTATTTTATGTGGATTTTAATTCAAGAAAATATTAAAAATAAATAAAATAACAGAACTCTATACTGCACTGGAACTGGAACGATCCATTTTACCCATCGATATTTGCGAGTATGAATAATTATAATTACATATATCAACCACAATTTATAATAAAAATCGTAATATGTCATGCTTCGATTAGATCATAGATTATTTCTACTTTTAATAATTGCAATCACAAAATAATGTGCAGTGTAATTTTTTATCTGTGTACGTAATAGCAGGAAAAACAAATCAGTTGCGCTGTTGGATGTCATCCCGCGGAAATTGAGTGAACGGAGAGCCATGTTTATGGCTTGTCTAGGCCGGGAGACTTGCCGTTCATTATTTTTGCATAATAGTCGGTGATTAATGATACACAGTGTAGATTCATGTTCTGTTGTTAACCTTATCAACTCTATTCACTTAAACTTACAAACGGATGTAAATACACGTAAAATATTATTGTCCAATGCAATGCAAGCCGTGTTGTTATGCTCCACACATGAAGCCGACGACGACGGTTAAAGTAGACTAAAATCTTCACTTTTTGGGGTCCAGAAAGTCTTACCAAATGAGTTATGTTATATAGCATTTTGACAATATTTAGAATGCCGTAAGACTTGACTTGTCGGTAGGTAGCTAATAAACCTTGGGCCTTGACACAGTATAGAATTCAAAACGCTCAGTTAAGGAAGTCGTTACATCTAACAGATGGTGTACTAGTAATTTTGTTTGTTTATTTACAATATTATTGTTTGCTTAAACAACGTATGTACTTTTTTACTGAGGTCCAGACAAAACCGATTGAGACTTTATACCAAGTACGTGACCTCATTGTAGTTGGAAAAACGCCAGTAGACAGGTTATAGTTCATTGATCTACGGGTTAAAAATCTAGTTAAGTCGTAGTCTCTATCTTTTATAAACTAAACAGCTTTTGAATCATATAGAGGCTCATGACCATGAAGCATGAAGTCATGGTCGATCTGCGTAGTGTATCCGAAGATAACCCGTAAAAATTTTGCTAAGGCCTTGAAATCTGCAAGAAACACTTGCATAAACTATTATTAGGTATTAATACCACTGTTCCTCTATTTATTATAGGATAAATATAACTGGTGGCTTTCAACCGACCGATCTGGATGTCATTATAAGAAGTCTACGTCGTCTAAGTTCAGCACTGGGCTTCTTGTTGCAATATATAGCAGTCACGAGTCCCGACTTGATATTCTGATAGTTTCATTGTACTTTTTGTCATTTTTAAAAGTTTTTATTCTCCAACAGATGACGTGACGGTCGCGATCTGTCCCGGCATCGGTAACACATCGGAGAGCGTGTACATACGAACCTACGTACACTATTCGCAATGCCACGGCTACAGATGCGCCGTGCTGAACCACATTGGAGCTCTCAATAGCGTACCAGTCACCGGCAATCGGATCTTTTCATACGGTAAGATAGTAAGACTCACACTATGACCTACCTACGGGAGTTGCAGTGGACTGGAGTCCCCTACATGTGTCTGTCTGTACGTGACAAACTCTAAAACTGCTGAACAGATTTTGATGCGGTTTTCACCAGTTAACAGAGAGTTTAGTGTATCTATGTATAATGGCTAAAGATTTGACTACTGCAGGCAGAGTTGTGGGCTAAAAGCTGATTTTAATATGCGCATAATCCTTCAATTTAGTGGGTTTGCATGCATATTTTGTAAGTGTAATCAGTTATTTTGGAACGTAATGCTTGCATATGCAATTTGAAGTGATACGGATTACAACGATAAGACATAACAATATATGGTTAGAGTAAATAACTACATTACAGCTTCAGGTTAAGCGCAATGGAATGTTCACAATTTTTCGTAAATGTTAATGCGAAGTTATGAATTGTCCTTGTAAAGTGTCATTATGTTATTTACTTACATAACAAGTTATATTCTGTTATTATAGTAAAAACACATGTATGTAAAAGGTAATCCTAATGCCTATTACATAACATCATTATTTATTATGAGCAAGGATAATGCAGAACGAAACACCTGACCGGCGATAGCGATGCATAAACGGATATGCATGAGGGAACTGATCTAAATACTTGTTTAAACTGTCAAATACCAAGCGGTCACCGGTGACCGCGACCTATTGTTCTTTAATTGTGTCTATAAAACCGGTACTCGACGAGTTAATTAACAGTATACAGTTTTAAAGGCAATAATGTTTATTCTAATATACACAACTAGCTGTTGCCCGCGACTTTGTCCCCGTAGAATAATGACTTCTGGCAGAATTTAGGCTTTTGAATTAGTTTTTAAAATTTTATTAAGGGATATTATTATTCTAATATATCTATATTATTCTACGGTAATGAATTTCGTCAGAATTGATTCAGTCCCGTAGGTGATAGCGTGATAATATGTAGCATAATATATTATGTTGACCCGACTTGCTAGTAAGATTCATGCAAACTTTGAAGTAAATCAATGCAGTACTTTTTGAGATCATTCCGGATACAGGCAAACAGACAAAAATTCGAAGAACCATATTTTTGGCTTCGGTATCGATTGTAGATCACGCTCCAAGTATTCTTTTTAACAAATACTCAATGTGCAGTTTTGACTTTTCTAAGATTTTATTATATGTATAGATTCACCACACAAATTATAGCAGTTTAGCAACGAAACAATGTAACCAAGAATTATAATTATTGTAAACCTGATTGAAAAAGAGTACCATATAGAGTTTCTAGCTCGTTCCTCTCCATAGGAATCTTGAAACCAGCAAATAGCTTCTGTAGAAGACTGACTGATAGGGCGTTTTTAATATTAATTTTTGTCCTTATCTAACAAAATCAAAAAAAATGTTATTATCTAATTGAAATAAATGATTTTGAGTTTTTTCTGATAGTCAACCATCGGGTGATGCAGAGAAATAAACCCTTATAATTTCTTAACAAAAATTGCATATACATAAAAGTTGGCCTTAAGGTTAAACTAGTCGCGGGCTCGAACTCAATCAAGGGCGTGGCCAAAAAGCGCGCTGTCTCATCTAACATCGTGTGCGACAGAAATAGTACCAGTGATGAGCAGTTAGACGCTATCTATTTGCACGACGTATTGTTCGCACGCACACAAACACAGCAAAACGTCACTGAACGGTGCATATATCTGTGCTGTGTGTGTTTACTCGTTAGTAGTAAAGTCGTACACGCTGCTACGATTTTATGATGCTCGCATGAATTTAATAATTATTGTCACAGGGCATTGTAATTACTGACAATTTTTTTATGATATCAACTTATCATCCGATCCGAAGAATCCACGAAAGGCTAGGGATATAATTTTATATAATATTTTTTTTTCTAAGTACCAATAACTTTATGTACCTACTACAAACTAGCTAGATGCATCTTTTATCTAAATAATACAGTTCAAATGTCATATTTTCATCAGGTTATAATGTTTAACTAATATTATAGTTTGTTTGGTTGAACATAATAATCTCAGGAACTACCTACCTATTTAGGTAGGTACTTACTGGTCTGAATTATTTCCTGAATTTCGAGACAATTGATCTGTCATTATGTTTTCATAAAATTAAATATATACTTACCTAGTTAGGTACGTCGGTGACTACCTAAGATTACTAGAAGTAGTGATAATACCACATAATTAGATTTTCGTCATTTCGTCCGTAACAAAACTTGTGGACTTCATACCTACATCGTGTAGGTAGGTCCCTAACTCCAGCTTCGTGTTAGGTACCTACAGACTTTTTGGCAGCTCGGAACGTAACATAAAGCTGCGCACTAGGTACCTCCCTGACACAAACATAAGTAGAGATACCGGCTCGAATCTTGAGCGCTCGGCATCAAAGTGGGTAGGTATACATTGGCGAGCTAACCACTGTAAAAGGATTTTTGGGAGAAGAATTGTAGGTAGCAACAATCCTTCTCACAATACCTACTACTAAAGAGACTTGATTTCTGCGCAATCTGAGTCGACGCTCAATATTCATGCCGGTATAGTATCTGTATTAGCAGCACAGGAGAGCGCCGCAAGGCTGGGTATAATTGCTAAGGGTTCACCCTTTTAGTTACTTGCTTATTTATTATGCTTTTATTTATAGACAATAAAAAACAATGAACCTGAAAAATCTTTATTGGTAATCGTAATATTTATCTATATCTATATCTATCTATACATATAATAAATCTGTAGAAAAGTAATTTTTGTACATTGAAGAAATTGACAAAAAAAATAGCCAGTGTGTTAAAAGATAACCAACAGAACCCATTTCCATCATTTTTGAAATTTTTGTCTGTTTGTCTGTTTGTTTGTGCGCGCATCACGTAAAATCTACGAATTCAATGCAGACATTGTTAATATATAAAAATTCTACGCAACTCGAGGTGTAACTTAGTTTTTGTTTCATCGAAATCGGTTCACTCTATCAGAAGATATGATTAATTTTGTGAGTTCAAGTAAAATGTTACAACACGCAATTCAGTATAGTACTCGAAATTATATCTTTGGAAATTTTTTTTCGTTTGGTCATTGGTTTGAAGTCCGAAGTAAAGATACTAATTGATATTATAAACAAGTAGAATTTTTTTTTTATGTGGGAAAATCATCGATTGATTGCTCCTGCCTAGGTGAGGCGGGAGGGAGTGTCAGACTCTTACTGACTAAAAACCACCCCGTTCCTTCTCCTGCACGTCGAGCCGGAGCCCCGGTTACCCGTTAGGTTCTCCGCGACTCCGAATCGGCATCGGCCCTATTGGGCCCCATCTGTGGTGGTCTGTTGGCTCTTTGAGGCACGCGCGGAACGCGACGCGCCGGACGCTCGGGTTTGTTTCTGGTCGGACGGGGAGCCACCCATGTTCGCCGTCCGCAGGCCCGCGCTTACAGTGGCCGGATATCGTCCCGCGATCCCCGACGCCCGGTGTGTCCTTCACGATGGCTGGGTTGCTGCTGGGATCCGCACCGATAACTGTATCTAATAAAATCTAATTAGATAAGGTATAATAAATTGTAGGGACGACTTACCCATTGTTTATTATATATTTTCCAATGACACTTGGAAATTCCAAGTGTCATGCAATCAACCAAAACAACTTCACTAAATCACGACAATTGCACGACAGCGCCTGTCGTGCAAATAATAATTGTGCAAAAAATTGTGCAAAAACGCGTGTGCGTCTTCCCCCCGCCCCGCGCCACTGCCGGGGGAGTTTTATCCAGTGAAATGCACGATAATCCATCACAAAACGAGTGCGTAAAAAAGTACGATTTAGTGCTTTAGAAAATAGCGTTTTTTGAAAAAACCACTGCTTAGATCAATTTCAAATAAATTTTATAGAACTCTATGGTAATTGTGCTGAGTCGGTACGGTCTTCGGTTTGGAGATTTTACACGATTAGTGGTATTTTTTAACACCCAAAGTTGCGTTAAAATTGTAAAGAAAAACAAAACTTTGTTGGCTCATAACTTTTTAGTAGTTTTTTTTTTATTTTTTTTGTTTCCGTACCGACAAATGTAATTACAAGATAAAACGATATCGTGTTTAATTTTGTAGGTACACATTCACACTGTCGAGTAATACCACCCCGAACTTTCTATGGAAAAAATATCGACTAGTGTAACCTTAATAATTATGTAGAAACAGCTGCCGTTGACCCATAGAAGTATTAAAAAATTAGACATTACCACCTCAAGTATTTTGCCACGTGTACTTCCTTACACATTTTAGCTTCCATCATTGAACTAATGCACGATATAAATAGAAATACTGTTAAGTAAACACGATAACCAGAAAATGAACTCCTTTCGTAACTCCGTGCTATAATACAAATGCATTCATATAATTCTTTCACACGTTATGTAGACCATCTCGCAATTTCCTACCTTAGATTTTGTAGAGATTGTTTACACATTGAGCAACGTTCATTTGTCATATTTATATCATCATAGTATAGTATCAAGAATTAGATTGTCACGAACGATTCCGACAAGGTTTTTTTTACATGGCAACACGAGATACTCTCATATCCATGTTGAAATGGGTACCTCTGATTTGCTAGTGATATTTTCTACTCCAATGTATAGTAGTCTTTATCTCAATTAATTGTTTTAAAGTGCTATTCATTAGTTTGACCGCTGTTTTTATTGATATTCAGGCTAGTACTTACTATGTACACTCTGACTCTATACATAGGCATTCACTTATGTGCACATATATGCAGCCTACACCTTTGCACGTAATATAGCCACTTTCACGTCCAGGTCATTGCTACCAACAACTACCTATACAGCAACTTGCAATGCAGTTCTGATTTTGCTAGTGGCATTGTGTTAATGCTGGTGTATAAACAAACTAGCTATTACCCGCGGCTTCGCTCACGTCACAAAAGGATAAAAAGTAGCCTATTTGACATATACCGATATACACAGCGCCATCTATGCCAATACTTTTGTTTTCCCTCGGTAATTTCAAATTTTACCGGAATAAGAAGTACCGTATTATTTAATCCGGACTTCTAACTTGACGTCTGCAAACATTCAAAGCAATCGGTATATTAGTTACGGCCTGAAAGCGGAACAAACAAACTCACTTTCCGATTTATAATATTAGTAAGGATGAAGAGTAGACCGGACATACTACTACTACTACTACAGAGCATAAAAAGATTGAGTACCTCTTTATTTTTGAGTTGGTTCAAATCTATTCAGCCTACCTACGTAACGCAGACTATGTACTACATATCGGAGTTCAATGATTCCTATTACTCTTAATGGAGGTCTTTTCTCGGTCACAAAATCAATTCTGGTTACGTGTTTGTATACAAAAACAACAGCCTATAGGTATCTTATTTTTGTCGCGCAGAACGTAAAAGGTTACCGGGGCTACGGCTCGAAGTTCAGAAGTAGGAACGGGGTGGTTTTTAGTCAGTGAGAGTCTGACACTCCCTCTCGCTTCACCCAGGTGGGAGAAGTCATCGATGATGTTCCTACCTTAAAAATAAAAAATAAACTTATTTCTAAGAAAGGTGACGTCACAACTTTTTATAATCAAACAAAAAAAAAACGACTTTTTAAAAGAATAATGAATTTGTATTTAATATTTATCTAGTTGCTAACTGCCGATGATTTAAAGGGGAAGCCCTTGGCTTGTAATCGACTATAATAAAATTATTAGTCACCAATTGACACTCTTGACTCAAATGACGTAATGGAATGTAATCATAACTAGGACTTACCTTTGTTTCTTTTAACCGCAGAAACAAACTACGATCGGTACCTTTTCTAGAACAAAATACGATTAAAAGGAATAGGGATGATGACAGGGTATGAAAATCAAAAATCTAATTAGTCCGTCAGTTAGGTACCTAATGAAAAATTATTACACGATTTTTTTTTATTTTGTTGTATAATAAAATGATTATCAGATACAAATCAAAGTTTAGGAGGGGGAGCTAAAACGTCATGTCTACGTATAAAATGTACATAGAAGTGACTACACGCGACATTTCAAATCAATAGAACGTATTCGTTTCTGTAAAAAAAATAAAAAATACGTGTAATGTTTTAAAATAATCTACTAGTCTGACATTAAAATAAAAATGAGTCATCTACCCTATTGTAAGTATTCTAGGTATCGATAAAATCTTTATGAATAGTTTAGACTGGCTTGCTTAGGACTTAGGACCCTCCCCATCCAAAGTGCGCCAGTTGCCATTTCCCACAATTTTCGCATCTAAGAGTGAACCGTGAGAAGTATTGCAAGGAGCATTCCATTAAATTCCGATCAATATACAATACAGTATTATTATTTTTCAAGGTTAAATTCATATTTGAAAGTAGTTTGGTACCAAAGAGATTGTAATGGTCTTAGGTCGGTCAAAGTTTTAGTAACTTAAAGCTATTCGATTGGCCAGTTTAGAATTGTTCCGGCAATTTGATAATAAACTTATAGCTATTAACTAATTATTATCTGTTGATGTGTAATGTAAGAAGTTAATAGTATATCCTTGTTCATTGATGAACTTGATGAGTAACAAACTAACAAGTTCAACACTATGTACAGAAATATCTACATCTACATGATATTATGTAGATACTAAGTATCACTGGCGCGTGTAAACTCCGTATGTTAATAATACATGATTAAATTTAGCGCTAAATAAATTTTTCTAATGAATTGACGGTTTTAAATTATTTTTTACGATGCACATTACTGAATTGTTTAAGTATGTACTTATGACGCATTCCATTGTTTATCTTAAGCACTTGTTAGGTTGTTGTAAAGAATTCGTAAGCTATGCTATGCTTCAATTGTTAGTTAAGGAAAATGCATTCATTTGTAGATACTTATAGACCAACTTATAAATGTTTTCTGTTCATTCTTATCCTATAATCTTTTAAATTCTTTTACGTTTATTGAGCTGGTGACTTATGGTTTACTCGTAAGAATTAATTTTATTTAAGAAATGTAGTATTCTATTCTACTTATGCAATATTGTCTTTTGTAATATTTTTTTTGTTAATTCAGACAGTAGTCAGTCTTTTTGTGGGATTGTCTGGATGCGTTTTCTGCTTGATCAGCAGTTTATTATGGTTTATGGAAATTATTACAACAATGACGTAAAAGTGTGACGTAAAAAAAATTCTAACAATGCATAAAAAAGTCATTACTTCTACGCACGGTGAGATATCTGACTCCTCAAATGTGGTTCCATAAAAATCATAGTAATAATCTGTATGTAACATATCGTTTGTTGCGTGCTACGTATCTATTTGTCATCAGTTTGCATGCCAATTACGGTTCGCTATGTCGGGCTTGAAGGAAACACGTTCATACTGTGACCAAATTGGCAATGGCGTTCAAAATGGTCAAGTGCATTAAAATCGATGTGAGAGATGTTATACAATACAATAAAAATACATCTATAATACAAATGGATTATGAAATGACCATGTAATTAAAAGGTGCTCCTGTTTTGTAATATGTATTATTTAATATTATTCTTACTGCACGTTATTAAAATTAATGAGTTTGTTACTACTAATGCAACAATCGTTAACCCTAATAGCGTTAACTGTAATATACCGATTAAGTTTAAAAATGTCATATTTAACCTATCGATTTGGTCATTAACGATAGGGATAGGATTGTTAATTAAAATACTTTTACGTAAATACTCGTACATGATAATATAAAAAAAAACTAGTGAACGAACTGACAAATCTACCAATCAGCCGATTGAATAATTTTAACTTTCAGCTACTAATAACTAAAAACTACCGCAAAGTTAAGTTCGACGGTTCATTAATCTGCCGTCACCACTCGACACTGGCAGTATAGCCGACAACTTCGTTTTGGAGACTCGGTTGCCAAAAAGGAAGAAAAAAAATAATTTTAAGAAGTATTTTGGTGAGTCTGAGTAAGAATTGTGAAGAAAATACGATAACCGATAGATCAATGTGGTTTGAAAGTCGCGAGTTTTGGAGGTGGCTTTTAGATCAAAACCAATGCAATTTGATGAGCACTTTAGGCACCTTCAGTTATTTTAGTAAATGTCTTATATTGCCGAGATCCCAATATCCACAAATAATACAGAAATTGGTTTACGCGAGGTAATCCAGACATACTTTTTATAGGGCCGCATATACGAATTGGCACTGACAAAAAAGGCTAAATTGTATCACCGCTTTGAATTGGATTTACGGTTTCTTTTTTTACCTCAAAGAGGCTTTGCCTGCCTTGCTTCGCCTGTAGAAAACGAATGGGAACTTATAAGGCTCCATAGAGTAATCTAAACTTTTAAGTTGCACCATGTAAAATGTTTTCAGACAAATGTTACATGGTGCAACTAAATAGTTCATAGATTAAGTACGAGTTTTTTTTGGGATATGCTCGCCAAAACCTAGAACCGCTGCAACTCCTGTAAACCAGGATCTAAAGTACATAACTAACTAAATGCAATCATGAAAAATTCACAAGAATTATTATTTTAAACACTTTAACAATAACGATATTTTTATTTCCAGGGCACACAGATGACTACAACTATATGGTAGAGAATCTTTTGGACCGATACCCCAACACGAAACTAATTCTAGTCGGATTTAGTCTGGGTGGCAACCTGATATCTAAGTACTTAGGAGAGGACAGGAAGAGGCCCGCGAATATCATTGGTGGAATCTCAATATGCCAGGGCTACAATGCTATTGAGTAAGTAATTAAGTATTTAATTTAATTTAATAATGTAGTTTATAAAAGAAGTCTATGGCGACAAAAAATTACAAAGTAACGCTGGCCACACTTCTCACGAATATCATAAGTTCTATGGTTATGAATAAAATTATAAAAAAAAATGTCATAAGTCCATGGTCTGGACATGGAGACCGGACAGTAATAAGAATACAGTGAATCGATACTTTCTTGAACACCCTTTTTGGAGCTGGAGGTAGTTACTTAAATTGATGATAAACAAGATGTAATCAGGACTTTAGAATTACTATTATCTTGACATTATTACGGGGTCGAGGTTAAATTTTGTTCTTTACTTATTTTGCCAATAAAATGAAATGACCCCTTGGACTCTTTCTCGGGACCTTGTGTTAGTTACCTATTTTAAAGTACTTAATTAAAAGAAAATGGTTTAATTTCTTATAAGGAAAGACATTGTATTAGTTACAATATAAAAATGGAAAAGATCGTGGGTTTTCAATGTCTTTTCAATACGCATGGTTAGCCAATTCTTACTCAACAATAACCTTCATAAGAAATTCCAATAAAACATTAGGATTAAAATTGCGAAATTTCTCGTAAATCTTATATGAACATGCTTGTTCGACAATATTTTTATTTACTTATGTTTGCAATATTTCACTTGGAATAATTTCACGTATGACGGCATTGGCCACTGAAATGCTTAGTTTTTTAAAAGTCTTACAACGGAAATTTGAGATTGTAAGCAGAATTTAAATCAGCATAGTATCTGCTATCTCCGTGTAGCAAATCGAGGTCACGGTACGATAGAAACGTCTAATTATCTTAGTATTAATTAAAAAAATGTTTATTTACTCGATTCTTGCCTCGAGCCTTCACCTCGATAAATAACATTAGATTTTAATATATTATTTAGACTGTCTCATAGGTCTCTATGTAATAAAACAGGGATCTTGACGACAAGTCCAATTAAATATTTTTTCGAAATGCCATAATCATTCATCAAATATTTATAAGTTATACACGAGGGCCGATTTCGATAGGATGGATTTCACTAAATTGATTTGCCAAGTATTCATTGAACCATTTAGTAGCTGCAATAACCATTGGCATGTATATTGAAATACATACTCTACTTTGCATATGCGATGATGTAGGGCAATAAAAAGTTACTACAGTGGTCGAACAGAACTATTAAACCCAAGTTAATTAGTAAGTAAAATAATTAGAATCAATGTAAGGAACGCCTCTCTGGCAATATTTTACACAACATTAACTGCTTCGTCGCGCGTGGCGTGGACGTAGGTGTGACCATCGAGAAAGGGGTCTCTCTTGTTCGTCTCTAAAGGCGGGTATAACATTAACAATAGTGTTATAATGTTATAAAAAATTCTTAGTTATGCAATGCAGGCAATACCGTATATATGATGAAATTTACATCTACTACAAGTAAATGTAACATGTCTCTTTCGATTATCTTGTTCTTTTATTTGATGGGCCGACGTTTGACCATTATCTTGTTTAATTAACTTTTATTCCTCTTACTTTTAGCACGATGGTGTACCTCCTGCAATGGCAGAACTTCCGTCGTTTCTACCTGTACATAATGACGGACAACTATCGTAACATTATCACACGACACAGGAGAATGCTGCTGAGCCCTGAAATGAAGAACAGATACGCTTTAGATGAGAAGCAGATCGTCTCCGCTGGTACATTGCCTGATCTCGATGAAGCTTATTCTAGGTAAGATTTCCTTTTAGAACTTTTTTACTATGTCGAATTCATTTAGTGATTTGGTCGTTCGGCTGGTTGCCTGTTAATTTTAATTTACTGGCCTGTTTGATGCACAAAAACCTCTTCTATTCTTATTTTGTGAAGGACATTGTAAATTTTAATATTATTGAAAACTAGCTATCTAGCGACGACGATTTTCAGGATTTTTTCTGTCTTAACCTTTTATTTGCTGAAACTTTGAAATACGGCCTCCCGGTATAAATCACATTATACCCGCAATTTTTAACAGACAAGAGGTTAAGAACCTTCTCCTAATGATAACAAATAACTACAACAAAAAAATAAGTGAAATTGGTCCAGCCATTCACGAGTGATGCCGTGACCAAGAAAAAAAGGGACTCATTTTTAGACTATAACCATGTAACTACTAGTAAACAATTTAATATATAGCTGGAGAGCCAGTGAACCCTGGGAGTAACGGTCTCCCTGTAAGATTAGAAATTTGTATACTTACGATTTATGGTATTCTAAGAGCAATAGCCATGACCTGGCAGGCGTCAGCCCTGCACGTCATCAGCCCCTTTATTTTTTGAACTGTTAAGTAAATTGGGTTTCAAAACTTGTTTCTGTAAAATTGAAAATTTAATAGGATAAAGTTTATTTATTGTACATCTTAAAAAAAAATTGACAGGTGATTACAATAAGCAGAAGTATATGACAGATCAATTAGAAAACGCACAGTTGATGAGGTAATTAATAAACTTTATCCTGTATACTTGAAATGTTTATATGTCTTCAAATAAACGTCTCAGAGTAAATATGTACAATGCCAGGCGGTTTTGAACAGCATAAGACATTGACAGGCGAGGGTAAATATGTACAATGCCAGGCGGTTTTGAACAGCATAAGACATTGACAGGCGAGGGGACAGCTGCTAAGAGCGTGCGAGAAGTGTCATGAAGATGGTACAATACATAAAACTCAGAAATCAGCAATGGTTGAAATTTTAAAGGCAAATTTTAAAGGCCTCTTCATGGTTTTGGCACGATAAATCATCATTTATATCGACAATCACAGAATATTATGGACACTATAAGTATGGCATTGTTTGTAATTTAAGTTCACTATGGTATTCCCGATAAACTCAAAACTCATTCCATTTGTCTCAAATCATTCCATTTGTGCACCAATGTGTAATTAAAAAATCTACGAAAGCTTCTTTAAATTGTATGTTACGAAGTTCTTTCATAAAATCAACTGGTCGAATTTGTTCTTGTCCGGTAATGAAATAATTTTTGTTTCGTACTTCTTGTCGTTTGGCTCGTTCATAATCTTTAATTGACGGCGAAAAGTATTGGTCGAAAATGATATCTACTCGTGAGGCATGTGTAGCTGTTAGTAGCGACATAATATTTTTGGAAATACCACTAAATGTTTTGGGGATATTTTTTAATGTATGCAGTAAGAAGAATCCATCAAAAATGACAACATCAAAACGTCTTGGTACGTCTTCACAGTTGCCTTTAAAATTTCAACCATTGCTGATTTCTGAGTTTTATGTATTGTACCATCTTCATGACACTTCTCGCACGCTCTTAGCAGCTGTCCCCTCGCCTGTCAATGTCTTATGCTGTTCAAAACCGCCTGGCATTGTACATATTTACTCTGAGACGTTTATTTGAAGACATATAAACATTTCAAGTATACAGGATAAAGTTTATTAATTACCTCATCAACTGTGCGTTTTCTAATTGATCTGTCATATACTTCTGCTTATTGTAATCACCTGTCAATTTTTTTTTAAGATGTACAATAAATAAACTTTATCCTATTAAATTTTCAATTTTACAGAAACAAGTTTTGAAACCCAATTTACTTAACAGTTCAAAAAATAAAGGGGCTGATGACGTGCAGGGCTGACGCCTGCCAGGTCATGGCTATTGCTCTTAGAATACCATAAATCGTAAGTATACAAATTTCTAACCTTACAGGGAGACCGTTACTCCCAGGGTTCACTGGCTCTTGGACTAATACCTATATCGTAATTTTTTAAAGTTTTCAGTGTTTTACTACGTACTATGTAGACAGTTTACACAACGTGTCTACTCTTATCATTGGTTGAAAAGAAAACAAACCAAGTTGACCGACCGACAATAAAATTAAATGATTTTTAGATTAAAATTTAAACAGACATTTTTGTAAATGATGATATGATTTTTCATTAAGATATGAATAAAGTCGAATGGCGTGACTGATCGACCATTATTCTTATTTTCAATAATATAACTTAATATCACGCTTTTTATCCCCGAAGGGGTAGGCATAGGTGCACATTATGGCACTTAATACCACTTTTGATTATTTGCATATATTATGAGTTCACATTTCCTGACTCCGTGCTACTACTGAGAATTTTTTAAAAACTCAGTAAATCTTTGCCCGACCTGGGAATCTAACCCGGGTTTCGGATTAGATTCCCAGAAAGCCCGACAGTCGCACATGGGACCACTCGGCCAATGAGGCAGTCTTATTTTCAATATTCTTACATGAACACTATCATAGATGTTCGTTTGGACTTTCTTATTGTTTTTGGTCATGCATGAGAGGTTGGAAACATCAATCAAATCAGTATTTCTGTAATGTTTCAAAAAGTGGTTATGAATTATAACAGAAATGCCATTCTCGTCAATCAGTCTATCTATTTACAAGCTTTATTAGTCTAGTAGTAACCATTATTGGTCGTATAATGTACATATTGTTACAATGACCATTCAATTGAGGTAAATAGGTAATTGTGGTACTCGTTTCTATGTCGCCGTCGCATTATCGTACTTTGTGATCTTTGACCGATCACGCCATCTGCTGATTTTTATTATTGCCGAGTTTTAAAGTTTTCATTTCAGACGTGTCAATGCCCTTTGACTGGTGACCTAATAGGTATAACTTAGGGCTATCAGATAAATTCTCGATAATTGGGCACTTCCCAATTAGTCAAATTCAATACTTTTTCGACCTGTCAAAAACGACAGTTTTCTATGAATTTTGTGCGAGATTGTGTATTGTGACATCAAGTTTTTTTGCATCAAACAGCATAGTTACTTTTTAAAAAATTGCTGCAAAAATACTAAAGTTAAGTTGGTCATAAAATCAATTAATTAAAGTGTGATTATTTTTTAATCTTTTATTGTATTGAACAGTCGAAATAATTTATTTTTGATTAAGGAAAGCACCCAATTTATTACTATATATTAGAAATATTCTAATACAAAAACAGAAATTTTATGTCTAATTAAAATTGAATTTTCACTGTCGTTTTATTTTGGTTTTCTTTAATGTAAACATATAAAGTAGGTACCTAAGTATGTTTTTTAGTGACAACATGGTTGAATAGCCTTTTAGATATATTATCTTGTATTGTTTCAGGAAAGTGTACGGCTTCGAATCGGTGGCTGATCTCTACAAATGGAGTTCCTCTGCTTTCTATCTCCACAATATTAAGACCCCAATGATTTTCGTCAATGCTCGCGATGACCCCATCGTACCAGAACCCCTATTGCCTATTGTCAGGGAATTTGTTAGTGAGTACAAACTTTTTAATTATTTATTTTATCCTTAAGTTTTGAAAATATTTTTCTCTTATATAAATACAGAACAATGTTTACATACGTAATAATTAAATTCCCTTGTGTCTTATATTAATTATTTATGAGATTATGATGAAAAATAATGTTATTTTCAAACTTTAATAATGACGTTGTATTTATAAATGTCAATACAAGCTGAATACAAAAACTAGTCTAGAAATGAGTGAGGTATTAACTTGTTACAAACACGACACAGGTTAGGTCTCTGTCTACCTGCGATTGGCCCATTAAAATTATCGATTCTTCGAATTCTGTATATTTTTGTATTACATTTTCGTATATGGGTGCCGTTTGGTCATGTTGTGTCACCGGTATTTTGGTTAATGACTTTACATTATTAATTATAGCATTGCGTCTGTATATATCATTTGTGACAAATCTACTAGAACAAATGTGATCATTGTCTATTTACGTCTCTAATTTTCTCCTAAATTACTCGCCTAATTTTAATGGTTATTTTCATTAATGTATTTTTTATATTTGCTCCGAGTAATCTTTAATCTATACTTATTTATGCGTTCGCTTTCTCCTTTTATAGTTTTTAGTACACAATTTAAATTTAAACGTATGGAAATGGCTGGTATTTGGAAACATTGCGCAACGCTCGAATGAGGTCATTATCATTGTACTTACGTATGAATGGAACCAGTAGAACTTGATTTTGAATCTCCATAGATTTATTTATATTCTTGTCTTTATGTTACTAAATTCGGATGCGAAGGCTGACATTTCATAAGTCAATTCATTTTAGGTAAAAAGATTGAATGACTTCTTTCGTCGCTTTTAGGAATACATCAGACTAAAATAAATGACATTTCCTTTCACAAACAGTAGCGACCTGTGTATCATTGAAGTACATATTTCTTACACTCGGCGGTTTGAGTACACTGTTTGAATAAAACTAGAATGATCTATGCTAATATGATTTATATCAATTAAAAGTAATATAAAATTTGCACGATTAACCAGCGTGGCAGATAAACCAGATAACGGCAACACGAAGCAAAAAAATGTTTATAAATCAGACCGAAGGTTATCTGTAATAATTTTAACGTCACTTAATATTCTGCAGTATTCGTACGTTGTTGTCTTATATATGAAATTTATCTTTACAGGCTCGCACGATAAGGCAATGTATCTCGAACTGGCTCACGGCGGACACTTGGGTTTTTACGAAGGAGGTTTGGTATACGCCAATCCCGTCAACTGGCTGGACCGCGCCCTCGTCGGACTTGCCGGAGGTTTGCTCATGGCACATAACAAGTGCTCACATAAAGACGTCGCCGCCTCCGTCGATTATATACCCTCAGAAGATCAGAACGAACCAGATCTCATCAAATCAGCCACCATTGTCTACCGTGATCCATTAGAAAAGGCACCCCAGTTGGCATATTAGGTTAACTCTTGAATTGTAGATCACTTTGGTATACTTACATGTCTTATATTTATTAGAAGAAGAAAAAACTTATATGAAATGACTGCAGTCCATTTCACCGGCAGTAACATTTTGATGAAGTACTTAAATTGTGTTGTTAGTACATCTTTTGGAGGTAACGATTCTCCATCGCGTTTTTATACGTCCTAATAAATAGTTGATATATTGATGTAGCAGGCAGAACCGTATTTACCAAAGCCTAGTATAGGAACGAGGTGTTCCTTATATGCCCTAAGTAAGATATTAGGCAGGACCTAAGAGGCAATATATGTTATAAACGGCACATAAGCTTTTTATAAATATTTATTGTGAAGTCGTTAGTGTTTTTCAGGCTTATTGTCGAACTGTACGTGAATAAAATGAAGTTAATGATAGTTATTTTACGTTGTGACTAGATGAGGTGAGAAGGCGTGGCATATATCGATAATAATAGTGTAGAGAATATGTTTATATATGTATTGTTATTATCTATGTACATGTCAATATACAGCTTTATATTGCAGTCTGTTGTAACTTGCACAAAATGTTTGCTTTTATATACAACACTGCCTATAAGTTTTTTTTGTCATTGCATAATATATAGTGGTTAAACAATAGGGCTATAAGGGCTGACAAAAGGACACGAGTTTAGTGAGCCCCTAATTAATAAGTCCTCTATTTTGCCAGTGATCAGAATAGTCAGTTATGCTGCTGAATTAATGCCACACCTCACCTTCACAATATTATTCGAATGCACACAGGAGACACGGGCCTTTAGTTATTTGTTACTATTGTGATATACTTAACTGATTATTTATATAATATGCATTTTAATCTATGTGCCAAGTGCACGTATAAAATATGACGGCCGTACAAACAGCGCTATTTTAACGGTCCTGGGTTCTAGTCCCGGTTAAGTCAAGTATGTTATATGTATTTATATGTAACGTTAATGTTTGATGAGTGAGAATCATTTACAAACGTACGAGTACATGAAATTAAGATATTTATCGAATAAATTGTTTGTAAAATATTTTTGTTGAAATGAATGGTAGATGTAAATGCAGTACAAATACAGATTTGCACAATTTTAGTTGAATGTTCGAGTTTATTATTGATGGATAGTCCTCGCAAGTTGGTTTATTGGTAATTTGTACGTACTTACATTTCAATCTCATTGAATTCCTTTAATGTTCCTATGAAGTAGCTAGAGTTCAATGTTGTATTGTTTTGTGCAGTCAATATCAAAAGACAATCAACTATGTCTGGAATTTTCCAATGTGATTGTCTTTTGAATTTGACAAGACTACGAATTAAAACTTTGCGAGAGTAATTTTAATTATTAATTTATTTTCTATAACTTACAACAGGAAAGTCTGCAATACACAATTTCGTATAACGAATTTATATTGGAGACATTGTGAATTGACTGGAAATGGGTTTTTAAAATTATGTATTGTGAAAAAGTTTGTTCCTAAGAAAACTTTTAACATTATGGAATTGTTCGCTAAGCGATGTTTCGTGAGCTTTGTTGCGGAGCTAACTTAACTTCCGTCCAATAAGAATGTTCATAAGTTGAACGGAATTGAGGAGATTGTTCAAATCCTGAATAAGGTCTGAGAGGTGGGAGTTTTGTATATGTATGTAGGTACTGTAAATTAGAAACCCATTTCTATATTATGAAATTGAGGTCGAGATAGATAAACATTTCTTAGTAGGAGCTAAAAAGTATTTATTTATTTCGACTTGTATCGTTTTGGACCACGTAAGGTCCAAATTCGAAAGGGATGTAATAAAGAGGTGTGATTATAAACAGTTTCATAATACTTACGTCCAGTTGGATGTGTGCGTATGCGCAAATGTGTGCTGCGTGGTAACTTCGATGTTTTAAGCTATGTGACTGCCTTCGATGTTAGTTCTATATTTATGTAAAGCTTTGCATTTACCGTGAGTGGCGTTCGAGCATTGTTTACGCTTAACAGCGTTTGGCTTTCGGTGCCTATTCCAACAATGCAAAGCTCTTTTCGTCTAAGGTGTTCGCAGACGTACAAAAACATTTGCCAATATAAAGGCCTGCACAACTTATTGATGTATCGACGTAAGCCCCAGTTATAAGGCCTAGTCAGTCATAAAAATCTTTGAAATGTTGTAGAATTATGAACCATTGATGTTTCACTCAATTTGTTTGAAAATGCTGAGAACAATCTTCGTTTGTTACGTTTTTAGAATTTTCCACAACATACCTATTCCATAATTATGATCTCGCAGTGTGAATTCCGGCAGCAATATGGGTGTTTTCTTGCCCGCCGACCATAGCCAATAAACATCTTTTGATGTTTGCGCCAAAGCTAAGAGTATACGGTGTAAAATTTTAGTGCACATAAAATGTAGAGAGGATATGAAGCATAACTTCAAGAGTTCAAGTTCTCATATAAATCTTTTGTGGCGGGTATAAAGTGATACTTCTTCAGCATTTATGTAGACATTTCCAAATAATTCCACTGATTAAATGTTAAATGTGTTACTGAGTGTGTTCATGTAGAAAGATTGGCATAATGTTTGTTAGGAATTTATTATCTTTTAGAATATTGTGTCTGTATTAGCTTGACTTGTATTCAAATAACCAAGCCAAGTAGACCTTTTTCTAGGCGTGTAGTAATAAGAATTGAGCAAGTATGACACTTGCGGAAATGTCAATATATTTTTATAAACTAATAAATTTCTCTAACTGGATTTTGGAAATTGATAAAGTTTATTACTCAGTGGTTTATTAAAATTTCAATTTAACGGTTTACGTATTTACTTGTTTTTACCACATTACGGGGTTTTTGCACGAAGTAATGTTACGAGAAATATGCAGTTTTGTGAAGCATAGCGATACTCATAGCTTTCAATGTGATAGATTCAAATAATGTGTTATTGCTGTCTATAGATAACCGAGATTAAACAGTACAAAGATAGGATCACACCAATACCATAAACAAATTATTGTAATGTTAATAACTGACAGTACATATTCTTTGTATTTTAAATCCATTATAATGATGTATGCTACTTAAATGACTTGATGTATGTCAGAATTGCCCAAATGTTTAATATTTTATTTATGTACACGTAATAAACGTTAAAATGAATAACACTCTGTTGTTTTGTTTTATCCCATTCATATTGAAATTATTCATTACAAAAGGATTGATAAATAAGTATATTTCTAAGTCAATAATATAAAATTTCAAAGACGGGTGAATTTACGCTGCCTTACATTCTAGCAAGTTATTATATCTAACTAATACTATTTTAAACATATTTTGTAAATGGAATATTATTATGACATTTCTTGTCAAGATTTTTACAATACACGTGAGATTCATAATAATGTAAAAAGATCAAATTGGGGTTTCTTTATACAAATTGACGACATTTATACAAAAAAGATATTTGAGCAAAAATAATAATGAGATCATGAAACTGTTAAAACAATGTGCTTTGTTGTTGCAGACAAGTAAATAGAAAAGCCTTACTGTAATAAAACAATCAATACTAATGAACGAGACTCACATTTTACGAAATATTTCATAGTTACGAAATTTCACTGACTTATTGAAACAAGTGCTGAATAAATAAAAAGTATTTAACATGATAAATTAATACTATCAATATTCCAAATACAAATATCACAACATTTTTCTTAATTACATCTTATTTCTCTTTACACATACATCTTAGCATAATACACATCAATAGTTAAGTAATTTAAGGTAAATACAAATAAGAACATTTACATTAGAAAATTATTTCAGTGCCAGATTTACATTACATTCATCCCTTTTTATAAAATCATATTTGTTTTCTAAAAGAGAGCATTGGTTTGCTTTATAGTAAAATTATAAAAATAGCATGGCCACTGGGAGATTAAATGCATTACAATTATCTCAAATTTTGCTTTTATGGGACTGTTAGAACTTCTACAAACACCACAAAAATTTCTTTTCTTCTTATAAAATACCTGTATGGTCATTGCACGTAAAATAAATCGTAATGATACAAATGCGAAGAATACACATAAGCCTAGCAATATTTAGATTTACAATTAAAAAAATAGATGTTCATTCAGTCCCATAATGTAATGCTAGCTGGCTGATGAGTAATAGATGCCAATATAAGTTACCAATAATTTCACTTAATACTTACAAAAGATACTTTAATACTTATTACATAGGTACCTTCGACAAAAAATAAGTCCATAGCTATTAAGTATTCCTTCATGATTCATTGAAAAAAATATTCTTTACTTTCTAACTAGAGTTATGAAACTGATTGCTTACAGTCTTTTTACATATCAGTTTTTATTAGATCTGAGTATTTTCAGAATAAATTAAAGCTTCTTTTTACAAAGTAGGTAATACATATATATTATACATAAATAAATTACGTAAATGCAATCAAATCGTGACTGGTGTCATATAGTCAGCAGATAGATGTAGGATCCCCTTCCATAGTGCATGCTATATTATCTAATTTATGAGCTAAGTGCATTTTGTTTTCTAGTCCTAATATAATTTGTTCTCTATATTTACTGACATAGATATACAACTCTTTTAAGGCCGAAAGAGTGTCGAACTCATTCAACTGTTCCACTGAGAGTTGTTGCATAGAAGTACTTAGCTCTTGGTCTGTTACTTGAGGTAATTGAGATACAGATTGATAAAATCTTATAACCATGTCTCTATAAGTAGGCAAGTCTTTAGCAAATAGTAATTTGTTAGAAGGAGAATCTTTACACAGTCGATGTTCTGTTAATGAACAAGCATCCATGAACGTTTGAGCGATAACTGATAATGAAGAGTCAACAGTAGCAGTTTTATTTATATCAAAAATAAAATCTGGATTCTTTATGAGATTCACCCAAAATCTTAGAGGTAAACTATTCGATTTCCAAGCATGGACTACTTCAGGATTCATGATACCGTGTGTACGAGCAGCGTCATCAAAAAGGTCAAATAACCATTTTACAGCTGGTGGCAAGACTTCGTTCACGGTGAGAATAGTACTGAAGAAGTCATCGACAAACTTGTGAACTGTGCCTTTTGTCGAGAGTAGTCGCGTGAGGAAAATCTCTGGAATAGCTTTATGACTATGCTCTGATGACTTGTTGATAATGTGCTGGTACTCTATAGGTTTTACCAAGTGATAGTAGTGAACGTTTTGATCTGTAATGTCACTGTTGTACACTCTTATATGAGAATTGGAGCAATATATTCCTGTGCAATTCTTGCAGGGTATTTTATACGGAGTGTTAAAACTATCGTTTTGTCGTGATATCAAGGACATGATAGCAGATTCTTTGACGCCGTAATGGGCTAGTGTATTCAATTTACGCCAACCATTAATCGTTTTAGTGGTAACGTCTTCATCTTGGAGCGTAACATGTCCACCTCTTCCGTGACGCCATTCTAAATCAACTTCATGGACGGATGGTCTCATAGAGAATGGAGTATTTTTAAATAGGGCATCTAATATTTTAGATTTAACTTGTGAAATACTGTCGCAATCTAACACTTTACATTGAACTTTTTCATCAAAATCATCTTGGACTATATGTAATGTTATAGTTTGGTAATCAATTTGTTCCTTCAGAAGTTTTTCTTCCGACAAGGAATATCGAGCTTCGTGAGTTATTGCATCTACAACTCCCTTTTCGATTTGATGCTTTATTGCCTTGAAGAGCAAAAACAACGAAGAACCTGCATAGTCTTTTAAATAATAATACATACATAAAGCCATCCAGTTCGTTAACATTTTTTCAACCACACTCTCAGTTCTCCTTAACATGAGTTGTGGATGTTTATTACATATAGATTTATCAATAAGACGCAACAGAAGGGACTTTAAAATGTCTGTAGCATATTCCATTTTTCCCATGAGGATAATCATCAACAGGGAAGCCACATTCACTTTGTCTCGAATGTTAAACGACTTTTGTGACTCTAATGTGTCTATAAATGACAAAAGGAAACATTTATTATTCAAAAGTTGCTCAAATTGAATCATGGCAGCGTCGTAATTGGTTCTGGGAGTATTAATAAATTGACGTTGGACATTCAATATGGGATGGTCCGACACGCCTGGGAAAAACACCTTCATTACGTAGTTTACATGATCAAGCGTCGGTATACCTGAATGTTCTAAATCAGCTGCCAAATCAGACATATCAGTTTGCAACTCCGCAAAAGCCAATTTACATTCTAATCTAACATTGCTCTCTAAAGTGTCCATCTGAATTTGTATTCGTTTATATTCTCTTTCTGCTTTTGTACTGCGACGTCTGTACATAACTAACACAATCATAAATATGAGCACTAAAAAGAAAGTTCCACCAGCTATTCCAGCAATGACTTCCGGCGGGAAGTTGTAATTTCGGAGTAATTCATAGTGAAGGTACCCAATAGGAAACCGTAAATTCTTTCCAATTTTAACAACCACCAAAGGTAGACTGATTTCAGATATTTGCAGACCATTTTCATCTGTGTTAGCTGGTTGTATCTCAGGAGGAGTGCACAACAGTTGTTGCATGGTGAGACTAGTCACATTACAAGGCTGTGTTCCAATAGTAACAATTACGTCAGTTTCATCACTTGCTCTTATTAGATTCTCACCTTCTATCACCAATGGGTCTCCCTTATAAGATTTCACGCCTTTGTTAGGAAATTGGTAAACATGAGGATCATCCACATACACCATATGTGTTCTAGGAGGATTAAAGTGTTTTTCATGCATTGTTTCCACATTATCCAAAACAAAACCAACTTTCATTGCAACCTGAGGAGTACTTGTTTGTGTTTTAGTTGCTTGCAAAATTTCAAAATATTTGTTATTCACTGCAGGACTAGGACATTCCATCTGATGTTCATTAAGCACAGTACAAGCTGTGTGATTCACAGGAAGAACTTCATTAGCAAAATATAGTTTCATAAGGGGTTTTTGAATGGTATGCAAGTTTGTACCATGAACTGTTATCATTCTGCCACCAGATACAAAGCTTTTCAACGGTTTTATTTCCATTATAGTTGGGTCTGCTGTGTAATTAAATAAATCTCCATGTAAAGTACGATTAGCATTATCTATTCCCACTGTCAATGTATGAATCACTCTGGGTGCATTTGCTTTAGGAGTAATACATATTAACCTACTGTTTGATGTCTGTGTTGTATTTACAGAGCAAGGTAATTCATCCAAATAGGCAGATATTGATGAACCAATATTTAAATGCTGCCCTCCTATTGCTAACTGAGTGCCACCTGCCACAGGGCCAAGTGTTGGATAGAGGCCCTGGAGTTTAATGTTTTTATAACTAAATAGAACAGATGATTCTGTGTGACCAGAATCATTTTCCACAATAACAGGTGCCACAGCAGAACCATTAGAAGGACCTGTTCGACATGTGATGCTCACAGACACTTCAAAGTCTACTATTTCACATGGAACCTCCCCAATTCTAACTTTCCCAGATACTTCTTCAACTCTCAAACCAAGATTACTGCCTTCAATGGTAACTATGGTACCACCTTCAATTGGTCCACTTAATGGCTTTATCATATCAATTCTAGGTTTGGGACACTCAGTTACTGGATTTTCCAAACATGTTTCACTATAGGAACAAGAATTGCCACACCAGGTGCATTTATAGATGGAGTTTCGAGTTATACAAAGAGAACAATCTGCATGTTCCCTGTGAGATCCTAGAATTTCACATTTGTACAGTGTGATGTTGATTGTGTCTATGTAATGTTTGTGATTCCAAACAATTTTAACACTTACATTATACTCCCCTACATCTTCTTCATATGAATATGTTGTTTTGTCACACACAATGTAATGATTTGACTCAACTCTTGCAGGCAATATCATGTTGGCTAGCTCAATACTCACTATACACTGGAACCCAGTGTGACCTGGTTGTAGGTGAGGTAAATTTTCTACTTCAAGTTCCAATTCTTTAGGCACATTATTAGGTAGTAAAATAGGTTTCTTGTATTGTCTTATTCTAGGACAATGTCCAATACCATGATTTAAAAGTTTAGTAGGATTGTTTTCACCACTAATTATGGTCCTCTGGCAAACAGATGTATCATGAGTGCACTTGTTATCATATATGCACCAATTACAGGCCCACTCACTCAATATGCAAGAATGACATGTTGTATGCTTAGAACAATCATAGAAAGCAAAGTTTCTGGAAACAAAATCTTTGTTTGTTTCTGATGAGTGAACAGAAAGCGAAACATACACATGATCTTGATTTTGTGTGATTTTTGGCCTGTGTTTAACATCAGGTGTAGGGCAAGCTAAACCATTAGATGTTACAGCAGCATCTATAGCCGGAGCATTGCCAAACACACACTTGTACTTGGATCCAACTGGCAGTTCTGGTAAAGTTCTAATTATAAGCTGCACTGTTGTCACTTCATTCATAGATATCCTGTCAGGCAGAATCTGTTCAAAATCAATGCACTGCTGGCCAATGTATTGAGACAACCATCTGGGTGCACTCTGTGTTCCTTTTTGACACATATTTTGAACTGTGCAGCGTTTTTCCAAAGAACACCATCCACAATGAGGATCATTGGATTCCAGACAAGCAGAACAATTGCCATGTTCAGCACATCTCTCAGTTGGTATTTGCACTATTGTATTTCTTGCCAACACATACAGTGTCTTTTGGTATGGTGACAGCGTGGTATCTGGTAGGATTCTCTGGCCAGCTAAAATTTGTTCACTTGAATACTCTAATGCCTTATCAGCATCAATGAGAACTTTCTTTAAAATGCCATTGTTAGTACCTAGAAAAGCTACAGTATGCAAACCAGTCACAGACATAGTTACAGAGGTAATTAATGTATCATTCCAATTAATAACAGACATTGTTTTAATAGGATAAAGCCCACTTATTTTAAGACCTACCTCACAAAAATTAAGTATATTTCCTGTTGAACCAACACTGGGACACTTTCCATCAGATATCATGCCTGATATGTAGCCCATGTTGCGAGCCTTAGTGCTACCATTAAAACACATATGGACATTCTCATTAAACTTAATTTCTATCTCTTGCAAAGAAAATACACAAATAGCTGACTTTGCCATAGGCTCATTAGATATACTTTTAGATGGACTAAAAACAGCTACAAGAATAGAATCTCCTGTCTCTATACCCAGCTGGGCAGCCAGGTTGGCACCAGCCTTGGCAATCTTAGCATCTTGCACTAAATTATAATTGACCACTTCACTCTTACCACTAACACTTTCTTCCCTAACATGGCACTCTAGAGTAACTTCTGTGTAGCTGTTATAGTTGTCATCATTGACACAGGTGCGGGCTAGGCGGGATACATAGCCCAGTTCCTCATTGCCAGCAAGGTGGGAATGTTTCTGGATTATCAAAAAATATGCATAGTCACTAGCATTAAAGCCATACATGTACTGAACCAAGAAGTTGTCTCTGTATTTAACATCTATTTGTATTGAACTCTGTTTGTTGAATGTCAATTGTGCAGTGTCGAGAGTCATCAGGTCGCGGCTGGATATCGCGGGGACGTCGTGCCTGTACTCTCCATTGTTGGTGAATGTAGTTCCCACATAGAGCACATTAGATCTGTCCCATGAATTGTACCTCTCAGGTCCGATGAACGCGTAGGTAGATGCATCAGCGTCGTTAGCCGCCACACTCACTGGAACAAACTCCGGCTTTGCAGACAGATCTCCAAGCTTGTACTTGGTACAGGAACCCTGCGCCACTGAACCGCACGAAATCACTCTTCCGGATTCTTGGTCTATCACTAATATTTTATTCACGTTATCGGTCCATGTAGTCTTTATATCTGACGAAGTGCAACCACTTGCATGACACATTGGGTTGTCAAGAATCGGACCCGTGCCTATTACATGGATTGGTTTCAAATCAGGGCTTAACTGATGAATCCAATTTAACGAACCAGCATACACTTGGCCGCTGATCCTATCCACAGCAAGATGATAGAAACGGTAGGTCTCATTAGGCTGATTCGGATATTTTGATATGAACTCGTATCCATACACTATTGTGCACTGAAGCCAAAATGTTATGACTAACACTGTAGTAAAAATAGCCATGATCACATTTTAACTTGCATTTGTATTGATAATTTAACCTTTACACAACTTCTACTTTGTTATTATTTCATTTTCAACCCATTTTCATGCCATTACAAAAATGTAATGTAACTTGTAAAAGCATCCATCGATACCCCTATACTTATTATACTCTTTGTGCCGATGACACGGAATAAACAATAGAGTTTTATACAACCATAGAGAACAAAAACCACCCAGTTCAGAAATAATTAGAGTTGTGTTTGTTTGCAAGAATTGCAAGAGTCTTAGAGGCAGATTTAAAATCATTCTAGTCATTTCGCAACTGGATTATTTTTAGGATTGGAGTTTCACTGTTATTTACATAGTTAGCAGTTAATACGTTAACAAGATAACATACGGTCAAAACACTAATGGCGTAAATCAGATAATCAATGCTGAAACACAATTTATGACTTCAAAATATTCGAGCCTGCTACGTTTGAGCTAAATGCTATCAATTAAGTAACTTTACAATGTAAAGCCGGTGCAAAGAACGTTTTACATCTTATTTTACACGATTTCTAACTTTGCTCGATTTTATTTCGTTCATTCTTTTTAGTTTGGTATAATCTGTGTATCAAACCAATAATTTTACCACAGATAAGCTAAATATTCCGAGTAGAGTTCTCTTCTCAATCTCTATTTGTCTCTTCTTGCGTGTATTGCTTGTCTTGTTTTGTCCGGTTTTTTGGGTTAATATTTATATTACAGACTTATTAATTGTGACTAATGTATATAATAGTGATCTAACACCTGTTTTAGAGTAATGCAATGATGTAAATGTGTTAAAGATTATTTCTTTCTTATATTTGTTGTTTTTAAAAACATGTTGGGTAATTCACACTTTGGTGAAAATACGTAACTTTGAGACTTCTTACTGTGGACAATGATGGCTTCGATGGCTGCAGGCGGACCTGGGGATCCGCACACCCAGATGAATACCTACAGGAGCTATGTGACGATGCTGGCGGACCCGGGCGCCAAGGATGAGATCAAGCTGAAAGCAGCCCAGGAACTCAGCGAAAACTTCGAGGTATCCGGCAATATCTTTAGCATATAATACATACATATATCATGTAAAGCTTACAAATAAAGTAGACAGTCATTGATAGATTCATAAATATTGTGCTGCAAAAAGCTGTCCTTAAAACTTAGAAGACAGAATGTAGTTCTTCGTAGCAATGTGCTATTAATTACCATGACCTTGTCAATCCCTCACGGTTAAAATGTTTACAGGTAATACTCAGCTCCCCACAATATCCACAATTCCTTGACCACTCCCTGAAAATATTTCTCAAAATACTGCAAGAAGGGGAGCCACACTTTATAGCGGAGTATAATATCCAACAAGTGCGGAAACTGATCCTAGAGATGATCCATCGTCTGCCCATCAGCGAAACTTTAAGGCCTTATGTAAAAAGTATATTAATATTGATGTTAAAACTGATGGAGATAGAAAATGAAGAGAATGTCCTGGTGTGCTTGAAGATATTTATGGAATTACACAAACAATACAGGCCTACATACTCTACAGAAGTGGATGTAAGTATAATCTTTCCTACTATCCTCTTACTTTTACACTCCTTAAAGTTTGTAAGAATATATGAATGTCAGCCACTTCACCCGCATTCATGGCATATAAATCACCACATGGGTTATTCCAGACTATTATCTATCTCTATAGCAAATTTCATCCAAATCCATTCAGTAGTTTTGGTTTATTTTAGTGTAAAATGTTTATTTATTTTTAGTGATAATGGTGGTGTTTATTCATAATTATTATGTTAATTATGTCTATCTTTTTATCTAGATTCACAAGTTTCTGCAGTGGGTGAAAGGTATATATTCAGACTTACCTAATCATTTGCCTAAAATATTTGAACCAAAACCGACTATCAGAGTGAAGGATTTGTCCGAGGTGAATATAGAACAACTGCTGCAGGAGACATACACTACTACACCAATCCATACTGAAAAGAAGCTTCTTGATGGTAGTGTTGTTACTGTAAGTTATTTCCATTTTTCAATTTTTGTTGTTTATATAAAATTTTAGATACTTTCGCACGGTGTAACCTGATGCTCGGCTCCTATTAAAGGTAGCATGATGTTTTATAGCCTATAAAAAAATAAATAATAATAATACTGGTAGCATTGGAACCATGGGATGGGACATTGAATACTTTTTACCCAATTCTCTAATTAAGAATATTGTGCTTATGTTTGTGTTGTTTATTTAAAAATGTATGTAAATTGTCAGTATGGGAACATATAATGTAACTTTACAACATTATGTATCTAAATATTTGTATAACAATATGTTTTTCTGTTACAGTACAACTTAATCCCAAGATCAGTGTTATCACTGAAGGTAATACAAGAGTTACCAATTATAGTCGTTCTTATGTATCAGTTGTATAAACAAAATGTCCATCAGGAAGTTAGCAACTTCATTCCTCTCATTATGGAAACTATCACTTTGCAACCTGCAGCTACTCACAGGTAATGTAACAAATAACTACTAAAATATAATAATATGTACTTTAAATGAGGGCTTGACATTATTTTAGGGGAGCACTCTATGAAATAAATGACTTTAGTAAAAAAAAGTTAAAGCTTTAAAAAGTAAACTATCTACTAACTACCTAACATACTTAATGACAAGATTTAATCATTTCTCCATTCATTTTAATCATTGAAAATTTCTCAAGTAGTCTCAAGTCTTCAAATCAAATTACATAATATAATTTTTATATAAAAACTTTTAACCTTTTTTACAGACAATCAGCCAGTTTTAACAAGGAGGTTTTTGTTGACTTCATGGGTGCGCAAATTAAAACTTTAGCGTTCTTAGCGTATATCATAAGAATATATCAAGATACAATCGCCAATCATGCCAATCTGATGGTTAAGGGCATAATTGGTCTACTAACATTATGCCCACCTGAAGTAGCGCACCTGAGGAAGGAACTGGTTATAGCCACTCGACATATTCTTGCCACAGATTTAAGGCTGAGTAAGTGAAATCTAGTGTTATTTATTAAATGGCTAATATTTAATACATTCTTCATTATTGTATGATTTAAATTCCACTTAAATAAAAATTACATTGTCGTAATGTTTTATCAGCTTATGTTGAAATTACATTTTGTTTGTTATTGCTAGAATATTACAGTTTTTATGTTAACTTTATTCTCCTATGCTTTTATATTATGACTATTTTTACTGTCTATTTCTTTCAGAATTTGTACCTTACATGGAGCGTCTATTTGATGAAGATGTACTGCTCGGAGGAGGGTGGACGGTCCACGAGTCTTTACGTCCCCTCGCATATTCCACGCTAGCAGACTTAGTGCATCATGTCAGACAGCTACTGCCACTGACGGACCTTGCGATAGCCGCACATTTGTTTTCAAAGAATGTACATGATGAATCCCTTCCTACTAGGTATTTATACATTCTTTATTGAAAGTTAATATTAGTGTTTTCTTATCTAGCATTGTGTCGATTTTTCGTTAATTTTCCAATTATAAGAATTTATTATTGAATAGCAACTCATTCCTTGCTCATTTTAAACCAGTCTCCTGCTGTAATTGCCTGTTCGCGATAAATTCATAAACCGATGTAGAAATAGGAGATTAAGGAAAGATTTATGTCGGAATACTGAAACGATACTCAATTTTAAGTCGTGCTTAAGTATAGTTCTATCTCTACAAATTCTTTGTAAAATGACAGAGATGGGACGATATTTGAGCACGACTTAAAATTAAGTAACATTTCAGTATTCCGGCATTAGATGTGTAAATACTTTCTACTTTTTACATTTGTTTTTCATCGTTAATATATTTATGTTTATTTCGTATTCCAGTATACAAACAATGTCTTGCAAGTTGTTGCTGAATCTGGTGGACTGTATTCGTCAGAGGTCTGAGAGTGAGGGCGCGGCGGCCGCCGGCACTCAGCCTCAAGGGCGACAGTTGCTCATGCGCATATTGGAAGTATTTGTACTCAAGTTTAAAACTATATCCAAGTTGCAACTGCCTGCTCTTATGAATAAGTGGTAAGTTAAATTTAAGTGTGGTTGAATTACGCCGGAATACTGAAACGTTACTAAATTTTAAGTCGTGCTCAAATACCGTGCCATCTCTGTCATTTTATAAAAAAATTGTAGAGATAGAACTATACTTAAGCACGACTTAAAATTGAGTAGCATTTCAGTATTCCGACATTAATGATAAAAAAGATAATACAGTGTTAGGTGTACCTAAATGTAATCTACCTTTCTAGGTAGTCTAATTTAGAAAAAGAAAACTTAATCTATACTAATATTATATGTATTTTTGTATTTTTGTATGTTTGTAATGAATAAACTCAAAAACTACTGAACCGATTGCAATAATTTTTTCACCATTCGAAAGCTGCATTATTCAGAAGTAACATAGGCTATATAATATCACGCTAGGTCCTATAGTTGTGGAGCAGTAACCAATAATGTTTTAAAAACGGGGGAAAAGTATCGTTTCTGAGGCCTTCCGTGGCGTGCGCTGAGCATATAGTTAAAGTTATACAAAAATGTTCTATAGATGAATTGTTTATCTTAACATTATTTTTAAAAAAGTCCGCGAGAGCATATGTCTACCTTTTATAGTTTACCCATAACAATCGTTTTAATGATTGGTTCAATCCTTATAAAAGTTTGCTCTAGATAACTTTTGAATTGTTCAATCGGTTACCTTAAGACGCGACATCGACAACGGAGGGCAGGTCGCTAAAAAAAAACTGAGAATCAATATAAATAAAACGTAAAACTATGTAAAAAATCTTAAGTCCCCCCGTGCGAAGCCGGGACGGGCCGCTAGTTTAGAAAATATATTTGTTATTAGATTTTGTTAATTAACTTATAAACTATTCATTACTACTAGTTGTTGAACTAGACTAGTTTTCTTATAAAATATCAAATAGCAATTATATAAAAACTAGCTTTTACCCGCGGCTTCGCTCGCGTTACAAAAGAATAAAAAGTAGCCTATGTGACATATACCAATACACACAGCGCCATCTATACCAATACTTTTGTTTTTCCTCGGGAATATCAATTTTTTCTAAAGGGTTAAAAAGTACCCTATTATTTAATCCGGACTTCTAACTTTACATCTGCTAAAATTCAAAGCAATCGGTTGAGTAGTTACGGCGTG